TAGGATAGCTGTATAGCCATTCGACATTGGTAGTTGCTCAATGAAGTCCATGGAGATGGAATCCCATGGTCGGACCGGAACCGGCAGAGGTTTCAACAAGCTGTAAGGCCGGTGACGGCGGGGCTTATTGCGACCACAGATAGTGCAAGAGGTAACGTAGTCACGAACAAAGTCTCTGACCTTGGGCCAGGTGTATTGACGACGTACAGCTTCGAGAGTGCGGTTCTGGCCGAAATGGCCGGAAAGTGGATGATCATGGAAATAACGGAGGACTTGAAGGCGAAGATCGCCGTGATTAGGGACATAAATACGGTCGTCAAGGCGTAGTAGCTTGTCACTACCTAAGCTCCAACGTTCATTGGAAGGATCTTTTGCAAGTTCCAAACCAGCAACGGAGCTCGGATCGGCGGGAAGGGCGAGGATGATTGCTTGGTGTATGGCTTCGATATCCATGATAATCGAGGCTCGTAAAGCCGGACCTTCCAAGAAGGTAGCTCGAAGGGACGCAGTGAGTTGTTCGTTAGTAAAGATAGGACGGAAGTTATGAGGGTTCACTTGGGCGTAGCCGATATCCCCCTCTTTAGGGTAGACGTCCCAGCGTCTAGTTATCGAATCAGGTTTCTCGCCGAGTTTCCCCGGTCGGAAGCGAATGACCACATTAAATTGATGTAAAAATTCTGACCATCGGACCTGTCGGCGTGTAAGAACCTTGGTAGTAGAGAAATACTCAAGATTCTTGTGATCGGTGACGACGTCCACCGGATCACCCGAACCTTCCAGATAATGACGCCAAGCTTTAAAGGCCTCGAAGATGGCCAGTAGCTCTTTGTCGTGGGTATCGTAGTTGAGTTCCGCCGCATGAAGCGTTCTGGAAAGGAAGGCTAGAGGATGAATTTCACCGTCAGCATATTGGATGGAAAGAATAGCCGCAATGGCGTAATCGGAAGCGTCGGTCTCCACGATAAGTGGGCGATTCGGCTCCCAATGGGCCAGTATTGGCGCAGAAGTGAAAGCGATTTTGAGATTTTCGAAGGCCTCTTGACAGCTGCTGTCCCAGATCCAGGAAGCGCCTTTTCGGGTAAGCCGAGTCATCGGCACAACGATATCACTATAATTATAAATAAAACGACGATAGAAGTTTGCAAAACCCAGGAAGGACTGAATGTCCTTAACCTTCCTCGGGACCGGCCACTCTAGAACTGTTTGAACTTTCTCCTTGGACATAGTCAATCCGTCGGGAGAAAGAATATAACCCAAATACTCAACAGTATCCATATTGAATTCGCACTTCTCGGGGTTGGCGTAAAGCCGATGTTTCCGCAACCGCCGAAGAACCTCCTTGACGTGTTCTCGGTGTTCTTCTGGCGTATCAGAGTAGATTAGAATATCGTCAAGATAGACGATGACACAGACATCGAGCATGTCAGAGAAGATGTCGTTAACAAACCGCTGGAAAGCCGCAGGGGCGTTCGTAAGGCCGAACGGCATGACCTTCCATTCGTAAGAGCCGTAGCGGGTCCGAAAGGTGGTTTTCCATTCATCACCTTCAGCGATTCTAACTAGATGATAAGCGTGAGCGAGATCCAATTTGGTGTATATTTTAGCTCTTTTCGGAGCGTCGAGAAGATCTGATATGAGTGGGAGTGGGTAACGATCCTTTTTGGTAATACGATTGAGTCCACGGAAATCGACGCAAAGGCGAAGTTTGCCGTCTTTCTTCGGGACAAAAAGGACCGGAGCGCCGTGAGGAGAGGATGATGGGGTGATGGCACCAGTAGCCAGCTGTTTGTCAATAAAGTCTTTAAGGGCAACTAGCTCCTTTTCAGACAAAGGGTAAATACGGCCGAGAGGCGGCGAAGCGCCTTCTTCCAAGTCAATCTTCAGGTCGTAAGGTCTATGTTCAGGAAGTGAATCTGCAGCAATCTCGTCGAAGACATCTGCAAACTCTGCGTACTCTTCTGGAATAGAAGGATGGAGTGGAGGGACAGTAGGAGTGGTGGAAGAGCGGTCGGCGGCGCGGGCCGCGACCTCTGAGTGGATAGCACGAAGTAAGATGGGTTCCATACCAGCGTCCTTGCAAGCCCTGTTAAAGACTGCAGCACTGACAAGTGCGATGTCGACCTCAGGAGTTTCCAGTTGAGCAGCGAATTGAGAGACCGTAGGATAAGAATAGATGGGTTCAAAGGGGAATTTGGACGAAAGGGGCTTGGCCCGTAAAGTCCGAGAGCGGGAGCGAGAGCGAGAGCAAGGTGAGTCCCCAGGAGGGGTCTCCTGAATTGTCGGTGAAACCGACGGCGAAAGTTCCGGTAGCGGAATAGCGACCTTTGCAACAACGGGGTTGATGGCAGAAGGCACAGACGTCTGTGGAGAATCAAGGTGTGAAGTGTTACGGAACGTAATGTTTCGAGATGCCCAGTCAATCAACGGATTGTAGCGGGATAAGAAACTGTAACCTAGTACTGCTTTACAAGATGAATCTAAATGTGTAACATAAAAGGGTAAGAGGAGCAGCTCGCCGGAAGGGAACCGAACGGCGATATTCGCCATATCGGTAATGGGTTTAGAAGATAATGAACCATCAAAGAGACGAAGATTAACAGGAGAGATTTTGGTCGTAGGAATGGAATTTTGTGAAACATAACGAGTATCGATGAAAGAGTCAGTAGAACCAGAATCAACAAGAGTAGGAAATTTAAGAAGAGCAGAAATAGGTTCGGCCGGCGCGGCCGAATCGGACAAAGGAAATTCAGTAGTTAAAGATATTACAAGAGATCGTTCAATAGAAGAAAGAGCGGACGCGTTGAGATATAACTCCCCAGGTGAGGTACGAACCTGATCAACGCAGCTCCCGTTTCGTACCGGGGAACAAGAGCTGCGGACTAGTTTTCCGATTCCTCTTCAACAACCTCAACGGTTGCTTCGGGGGTTTCTTCAACCTCGGCAGCACGGCCCTTCGATTCTCGGGCCTTTCGCTTGTTGCAGTCAGCAATCTGATGCTTACCACCGCAGAAGAGACAAAGGTTGTTCTTCATCCTTCTTTCCTTCTCAGAGGGAAGGACTTTCCCATCTGCACCAAGATGGTTGAAAGCGGGGCGCTGACCGCCGGATTGACCGGAGTTCGAAGAGTTCTGGGGCTTACCATTGTTGTTAGGCTTACCACCAGAGAAGGGTTTAGGCTTCGGCGTGAACGGCGCCGAAGAACCAGATGGCTGAGAGTTGTTTTGCTGGTTAGTAGAACCAGTCTTAAAGTCCGAGGAACCCTTCTTCGGGTTCTGAGCAACAAAAGGCTTACCAGCCTCACGCTTTCTAGTTTCCTCGCGTTTCCAATAACGATTGTCAATACGAAGAACTTCTTGACGATAATCGGCGAGCGTCGCCGGCTCGGGCAAACGCGCCATTTCGTCCTTGATGCGTTCAGCTAGGCCTCGTCCATAAGCCCATTTCAGGGCAGCAGAATCCCAGTTGGTACTAGCAGCCAGGGTGTTGAACCGGATATTGTATTTCCGGATGTTCTCGGTTTCCTTCATCTTCAGATTACCGAGAGAATCTTCGGCCTCGCCTTGGGCGTCGTAAACGCCGAAATTGTCCTGAAGCTCCTTTACAAGGGCCTTGAAGGAGGACGTCCAGGCCGGCAGCGAGTCGAGATCCGGATCGAGAATATCAGGGACAAACCATTCTTTGGCTGACCCACTGAGATAGGAAAGGGTGTAGTTCACCTTCCGTTGGTCGGTGAAGTACTTGGGACGGTCATTGAAGACCAGGGCGAGATTGACGAAGAACGTCTTGAGTTTTCGGGGATCCGAACCGTCGAATACCTCTGGCTCCTTGACCTTGCTCTTGGATTCAGAGCTGTCAGAAGGGCGGCCGAGAGCGGCGAGGACGGTACCAAGGGTCTCAATGGAACCCTTGAACCCCGAGAGGAGTTCCAACATAGCTCGTTGCTCGTTGGGGATGTCAGGAGAGATTGGGGAACGAGGTCCACCAGGTCCACCAGGACCGCCGGGACCGCCGGGACCACCAGGTCCACCAGGTCCACTGGGGTCACCAGGTTCACCACGCGGTAAACCGCCGGAATCGTCATCCAGATCGTCATGATTGTTGTCGGCGCCTGGATCGTCGGGGTCGACAGGAGGGTCTTGATCATCGTGATCACCGGTGTCCAAATCGAAGTGAGGAGGTGGGTCACGAGGAGATTCAGAAGCAGCGCGACGTTGGGGTTGTTTCCCCGTACGGCGGGCTATGGCTTGGAGGATTGGAGAATCAATACGAGTAGTTGAACGGCCCCGAGCCGGAGCGACCACGGGGGGTTGTCCACGGCGAGGGGTCAGGACTTGGACAGGTTGTCCGTCCCCAGTGTACAGGGTGCTGTATTCGAATTGTTGTTCCTCTTCCATGGCTTCAGGAAGAGTCGACGTAGTTGGGACTGTAGCTGGACCGAAACCGCGATTACGGCGACGTGGTTGACCGATGGCAGAGATAGAGTCGGAGAATGGGGCAAATGATTGGGCTGTAGTGAAGAAAGTATTTTCTTCGGAGTTAGCTCTAGATTGAGCTCGAGTTTTCGGAGGCATAAAAATGATATGTCAGTACGACGTTAACAGATTGAGTTTAATTATACTGTTAAGATCATGTACACCGTGTAACCGTGCCAAGGCTATAAGGTGTCTAAGTGCGGAAGACGAGTGGGACAGTAGTGAAGTTATTAACAACACCGCCGTTACGCCGTTAGTCCCCGGAGAGCGAGAGTAGAGAGAAAGGAGCTAAGTAGCAGCCAGGTCGGAGCGGCGGTATCGCCGATGACGAGGAGCGGACCCAAGAACGTTCAAGTCCTAAGGTATAGTAGGGAGTACTCCAAGGCGTAGAGCCTGAAGACTTAGAGAAGAGTTAAGTTGGAAAGGGAGATCTAAGTTGATCTAAGTTGATAATTAAACTGAGGAACTACAGTAGCGTACAGACAGTATTTATATCTACGGAACGGCGCAGTGGTGCGGAGCGCCAGACTAACTACTAGGAGCTATACGAGTAGTACCTGCAGGGTAGAGTAAAAGACAATAAGGAGGGACTAGAACGAAAGGGTATGTGTAGCGAGAAAGAACAATAAGAGTGAGATTACAATAGCAAGTAGATCTTCGGAATACCGAGCGGCGGAATGGAGGCCCGCGGCATGGACTTGACATGTTGGCTATATCAGAGGATGCACATTTCGGCGCAGGAGTTTTCTGTAGTTGTGATGAAGTGACAGAGGTCTGCGACAAAGTGGAGGAGACCTGCATGGAAACCTGGGACAAAGTATCCTGTGATTCATCAAAAACCTGGGATGAAGTGATCTGTGACTCGGAAATGGCAGAATCCTCAGAGGGAGAATGATTTTTGACATCCTGTAAGGGAGTAGCAGAACGCGAACGGGGGTCTAACTCCGGCTCAGATAGTGAATCACCAGTTTCCTGTGCTGTATCCTGGGATGCAGCATTGAAGACATGGACTCCTCTGGCCTGAGTCGGAACGATCTCATGCATCAGCTCCCAGAGAGGCCATCCACTTGTTTTGAAAGGTTTAAACTGCTTGTGAACAGATATGAAGTTCCTCCAAGCATCCTCAGTAGCAGAAACAACATTGAAGCCACCTTCATGAGTGTAAGTCCATCCTGAAGCTCCAGTATATGTTTTCTGAAGGACTGCAAGGATATCTGTGTGAAGCTTTCGGAGCTATACAATGATCAACCTAATTAGCTAAAGAAGATAGAAAAAACCATTGAGAACATACTGTAGAGCTGTAGTACTTCTTAATAGAAACAGCAGTCTTGGCCACTCCATGGCTTGGAGGACCACATGCTTCAAGGTGTTTTGCAGCCTCATTGTACACAGTGCTATCAAAATTACCACCTTGTCCTACCCGTGATCTCTGGCTGTGTAAGAACCTAACCAGTGCCTCTACATCTCCAGGTGAGTTCTTCCAATCAACCTGATCCTTTTTCGGCTTGCTCATGTAAAAATATTGTTGAAAATGAGTGGACACGACGTGCCAGTCATAGAATGCAATAAAGAGATGTGGATGGTCACAATCTGTCACAATTATATAACAGTTACATAACTGATCAATTTCTATATACAGGAATCTGACACAAGTAAAGTCAGGGCGACTCTGCACATCAAACTGACTCTCAAAGCATTGCGGAACCTTTGCCAACGCTACCCCTTGCTATTAAATAAATTTGATAGCAGTGAACTCACATATTGTGTATTAGATTGGTTGGTTGGAGTGCCCATTTGATTCCTTCCTTTCTCTTTCACACAAAAATGAGGCAAGCTTGTTACCAAAATGTGCTCAAAACATAGTTATTCATACAAATATACTGCAACCATGAGATACATCTACTTAAAGAATGTTCAAAGCTTTGGAAACTTACTAGGACCATAAGTGAAAATATTGCAAAGGATGCTCAAAGTTCTGATAGATGTTCAAAGGCTTCAAGAAAGATTATAAAATTTCAAAGTGGGCCGCCAAATTTTGGAAATTTCTGAAATTTCCCAAATCTGTGATATCTCCATACGTTCGATACTTTCATCAACCCTTTCAGTAGGTAACCCTCAATTGTTAAAGAATTCAAGAGGACGGTTTTCCTGATGTGAAGCAGAAGCTAGCTAAGCTTTACTCAATTCGGCTGGCAGAAAATGCTTGGTACATTTGAATGAGCCCTAAAAACCAGGGCTCCTCATTTTCTGCTTCTGTGGACTAGAGGAAATCTAAAGGATACTAGTTAAAATGGAAGGAGGAGGAAGCTTGGTAGCTGCAGGTGAGGTGAAGAAGATTGAGCCACCCAACACTGGAGAGCATTTCTATACTCATGAGAGTTACGAGGCTGTAGTTTACGGAAGTATTGTCCTTATGTACAGTACTCCATGCAAATATAATTTCCTTTTATGGTTGTAGTTTCACCTTATTTGGCCAAATGTAACACTGAGTTGAAATGTATTGATTTCCTTGTGACCGGCACGGGATATCACGGAACTGTGACTCTCTGTCACGATTATTTTTTCTCGCCTGACTCAGTGGATGACTTCCCGTAAGGATTATTGGACAGTAATGATTTTTAACAGTTTCTAAATGTCCTAAGCGAACTAGTCCGATCAACAGATTTTGAGCAGAACTCGAGCAGAACCGTCTAGGGAGGGGTCCGGACCCCTCCCTAGACGGTTCTGCACTTGCTTACTAGGATAAGCGAACAGCGCATCAACTGTCCGTCAGTCGCATCAGACCGGCTCAAGAATTATTTACTCATATTATTGGGCAAAGGCTTACGGGAAGTCATCCAGTTACTCCCATAAATAGTTTATGTAAATTTGCTTTTATTTAGCTTTTCTCAAATGTAGGAGGCGCCCCGTTTTCTTGATTCTATAATATTTAATAACCCTCAAGGAAACGGCCGAGTTTTTGCCATGCACGGTGGTGCAGTGGCCTGCAATCGCATGTATTGTAAGCTCATTCAAGGTGATCATGAAAGACATCATATTCACAGTACCATAGATTCTCCTCATGCCCTTTGCGAATGGTTGCCAGAATATATCAATCAAGTGAGGGTGATTATGGAACCTGAGCTGATTTGCATAAAGGCAATAGAAAAGACCATTCTTCATTCCGAGAACCGCAGAGAGGATTTGGTTTGAACTGCCAGACACAACCAACTCATACACTGCTTCATGAAGGTCATCTTCTAATGTAGATACTTATGAATGTCGAGGATCATCGCCGTCGTTGTGCGCTGAGGAATCAATACATAAAGGAATTCAACTAAATATTGCCACACCGCCTCCGATTTTCTTCATCTTTCCTAATCATTCCAGCTCAAGACGACGGCAATAGGACATTCTTGTAAAATCCCTCTTTCCATGTCCTCTCAAGGTACTAGGTTTGGAGAGTGAACCCTAAATTGTGTCAATTCTGAGTAAATGACATAATGATTCGGAACAACTTACTGTTGGGGATGGATTGCAACAAGCATCTACATCCAGAGGCTTGCACTGGTTAATATTAGGAGTACTATCAATTTTATCCCGACGACGCCAAGCTGTACAGTGTGGGGCAGTTTCAGTAGGATGACACTCCGCTGATGCCCAGATTGCATAAACGGTGATTCCGGCGATTCCTGCGATCACAGCACACCAAACCACTACTGCTTTACATCTGGTCCGTGGGTCCATTGGAGCATTCCCAGAAGTGATAACCACACGCAACTGTGATGTGTCCCTATTCCCAACCACTTGTATCGCTTCTGCGTAGGCCTGTTGTCTTGCTGCCTCTAAGCAACGGGGAGACACATTTGGCATCGCTGCTGCAGGCTGTACTTTGTGTTCATCAAAGGATGTCGAGGCAGGATTATGCAGATGAGCGGCAGGAATGTTATTGTTAAATTGAATGGCCTCTTCATAGGAAGGGGGAGGGCCATGGAGATGTGCATCTCCAGGACGTGGAAGGTGGTTGAGCAGTATGGAGCCTTGTTCGGGATTGGTAGCAGCAACGTGCACAGCAAGGGTGATTAAAGGAAGGAGCGCGGAAATTAGGAAATGCATAAGTGAGGAGCCATTTGTAGGTGGTAAAAATTGAACTATGGTCGCCGGTCCAGCCGGAGACAAAGACTGAATGAAGAAGATGAGTGGAAGCTGTTGGCAGGTTCAACTTTTTATACCATATACATTTCCGGGGTTATCGATGAAACCCGTCGGATAGGACGACACGGTTGTCCCTGGTTGCATTATCCTTTCCTTTCCAAGGAGAAAAAAGCCTCACCAAGCGATTGCATTATAATAGTCGTCGTCGCTATCCAGCATCCAGACCGCCCTTCGCTGGATCTCTTCTTCACTTGTCCATCGACATAAGCCAGACCGCAATGGCTTTGATTCAGCACACATGAAGTGCGTCGGAACACGTGGCGGAGCCGACACACTGCATCCAACCTTGGAAAATTTCACGCAACGTTGATGTTTTGTTGCTGCGGTACTCGGATAGACTCGGATATGAGATTCCAAAAATGTCTTTGGCATATCAGTGAGTAGAGCAAGAAGAAGAAGTAGGCTATTATGGATCCCTCATTTCTGGACTCGAAAGCAATTTAGAATGGGTGAGCTATCCTGAACCGTAACCAGTCCTGCTTCTGAACTCAGGTCGCGACAGATTTGTATCAGAAATATCAGATCTGACCTGATTGCAACAACATATGTACATACAAACGTATAGATATAATCCCTCTTCGCCAAGTTCAACCCTCCCAGAGCTGGTCTCTTCCCACATTCAACACGCTGGTCGCTTCAGTACACTCATTCTCATCCTTTCTCCCAAATCACAATTTCTGCAAGTAGTTGGACAGTTTGAATTATCATGCACTCCCGTTCAGTTCTTACGACAGTCATCGCGTTCGGAGCTGCTTCCTCTGCTCTCGCTATTCCATTGCCATCTTCCAGTGCTCTCGGTAGCACGGTATCTTCTTCCACGATACCAGCGCTAGCGCCTACTACTATAAATGCCCGCGAGCTGGAATTATCTGTCCTTGATGGTAATGAATGGGTATGTATAGATTGTTTTTTTTTTTTGCATTTCGTCAGTTCATTCATACTGACTCTGTTTTTTTATACATTGTGCAGCATCCCCTCGCGCATTATGCCGGAGAGCTTGACAAGCAACACATTGATGCGGTCGCGCAGCTCCTGGGGAAGGAAAACATGGTTGTTCCTTTGGTTAGTATCTATAGACTATTATCATTGTATTGCCAGCTCACCTGGATATTAGCCTTCCCCCAAGCCCGATGTCAGTGTTCCACTGGTCCCCGTTCCTATCTCAGCTGATGTCACTACAGTCTCAGAACAACTCGCCAACATCGTCCGTATCAGTTCTATTCTTCGATTCCCATTTCATGTAAGTAACAAAATAAACTGTCTTTCTAGGTCTTCGATGACCATACGGAATCACCGCTCCCTCTCCCTGATCCTACGGTCATGCTTCCCAAGGTCTGTCAAGTTCTTCCCTCAATCATTTCATTGTTTTTTTTCACATTTAATTGACGATGCTCAGGTTGAGTCCGAGTCACTCACATTGACCCTCGATGTCGCCCGTCCCGCACCTGGGCTTTCTCCTATTCGTATTGAACGACGTACAGGGGAATCCAAAATGTCAGACAAAGAGGTCACAAATTACTTGCTTGGATTGCCCGAGTCCAATCGCATAGCTCTGCAAATGCACATCAAAATGAGTTCATCGATCGAGACACAAATACAGACGTCCAATAATTGGGTGGAATTTCAGAAAATGGAAGGGGTTGAAGGGTTCATCAAAGAAGTCACTCAAACTGTCGAGTACCCAAGTATTGGTAGTTTCCCGGAATTTATAAAGGCGTATTATGTATGCGTGAAGCACCAGCTCTTAGGTTGGTGTATCTGATTTGTCGTACTGTAAACCACTATTTATCTTTTAAACAACACGAGTACCTGTTTTGATCAGTTTGGAACATTTGCGTGTCTTTATATGTGCCGGGCCTTAACGAGTAGAACAATGTTCACCAGTGTTTCCCCTATCCTCATCCCTCCGTCCCCATCCTCCTCTTCCATCGTGACCACCCGCAGGCTAAATCCAGCAGAAGTTCATATCCGTTGTTGTGTTTCCTTGTACACGAAAGCAGAGCATGACGAGTCCAGATTACAGGGTATAAATATAGTATCTACCATGATTGATCATTCCGAAGCTATACACCAATCCAACAACCCGCCCTTCACACATAAATAATAAGCCTCGAAGAATCTCGGAACTCCAGGATCAGTGAGTTGATTTTTCTCAATGTACTCCTTGACCTCTTTCTTCTCCTTGAACTCCTTCCAATTCTTTATTCTTCATATTCCACGCTCTCAGTGGCATTGTCTGAAAAATTGTCACCAGAGACCAGCGGTTTGGAACCTCTAATTCATTCAAGTACGATTTGGCTTGTTCTTTGGACATGGTATCCCGTCGCTCTATGTGGATGGGTGGTGTCGGGCTTGATAAACTAGACGATGCTGAGAGTGATTGGTCCTTGGCCTGAAGATGGGTGTTGGTATTAAAGACAAAATCAAGTAAACCGGACAGAACTGGACCAACCTTGGGTAACACGTCCGTAGGGTTAGTAGGGTGAGTTAGTCCTGTATGATTGTCGAAGATCTACAAGGACGGGTGTTTTCGTTAGCCTGATACAAATGGAAAAGGGGAGAATAATACAGACGACACTGTCGAGGTCTTTGCCATGACTATTGACTGAGCTAGGAAGAGGTACCGGCATCTGGATGTCAGGCTTGAGCTGAGACTAATTATTGCAAGTATCTAATCAATGAGAATACACACATCGAAAGGTGCTGTCGCTGTCCCTGGCATCGATACCATGTCACTGAGTGCAGCAGAAGATGATAATGGAATCGCAAGAGCGGAAGAAGCAACTCCGACAGCAATGATGGCTGTAGTAAGCACTGAACAGGGATAAACCATTGTCGAAGATTTTTTTTGGACAGGTGAGTCGACCAGCGAGAAGAGACCAGCTCTGGGGGGGAATTGAACTTGGCGAAGGGTATTATGTATGTTGTTGCAATCCGATCGGAGCCGATAACCCCTGATTATACCTTATGATCCCATATGAAAATTTTGCCCGATGCTGAGGGATTTTGTCCGAACCAAAAGTGCGGGGTTTAGAAGCAGGACTGATTACAATTCAGGATTGCTCGCCGATTCTACTTGTATAGGTTGCTTTCGAGTCCCAAAATGAGGGAATCCATACCCTCTCTCACCTTCTTTCATGCTCTGCTAATTGATATGCCGAAGACATTGTTGGAATTCAGCAATGAGTAAGTAAGCAGAGTTCAAGGGGTTGCGTAAATTTTTTTCCAAGATCTGATGCGGTGCTCTAGTAGCTTCGGATGTTGACACTTTGGAAACTGGCGCTCAAAGTCAGCGAAGCAAGTGATTCCGCATATCGCTTCTCAGCAGCAGACTGGTTCGAGTCTATGTAGGCTCCGCCGCACGTTCCGACGCTCTTCATGTGCATCCATTCGACTTCCTGAATCAAAGCCACTACGAAAAGGCCATTCTACCTGAGAATATCATTCCTGCCGCACATCTAAATAATCCTGTCTCCACATCCTTTGGCCACGACGTACAGCCTGCAACAACGGGGCCAGTGCCAAATGTGTCTCTCAGTTGCTTAGAGGCGGCGAGACAAGAGGTCCTCGCGGAAGCAACACAACTGGTTGGGAATAGAAACGCTTCACGGTTGCGTGCGGTGGTCACTGCTGAGGATATACAAATGGAGCTGGCAGAGACCAACCGTATAGCAGTAAAGATTATGTGTGCTACCGTCGTAGGAATGGCCGAATTTGTTGTTTTTACGGTCTGGGCATCAACGAAGTGTCCATCTGATGATAACTGTAAATCTTGGCGTCGTCGAGATAATGTTAATAAGATTGAGCAGTGCAAGCATCTAGATGTAAGTGCTTGAAGCCAATATAGTTAGTTGAATTTCTCGGTGTATCTAGTCCTCGGCGTACAACGACAACGATGATAATCGACACAAACAAGTATCTTCCAGTCCATCTGCGTCATTGCCGGATTCCATTCCAGAGTTTGCAGCCTGGATAAGAGGTAAGGATCAAGGAAGGAGCTGAAAGGCAAAAGAAACGCAATAAATTTAAGGAAACATACATGACTGGTGTAAGTTGAAAGGGTATTGGTGTTTAGAGTATCGACTGTTGTGATTAGATTATCGAGTTCGTAGTTAGATTTTCGACTTTGGTAGTTATATTAGCGACTTTGGCGAATAAAGGGTCGAAGTTTTCGGTACAAGGTATCTGAGTATGTGATTAGCGATATGAACTTACGAGCAGCTTCTTCGTCGAGCGATTTAGCTACTACAGCACTCTCATGATTCACCATCTCGATGGCTCTTGACTCCATCTGCACCTGCATAGTAATAGGGGTCTGTAGAGGAGGAGGAGGAACCGTTAAAATATTTTGAGGAGCGGCTGGGAACCCGGTTCGAAATTCCGGGCGACGAGTGGTCCGTGCGCTGTACACTTCTCTGTTCAGTTGTCCCAATGTTGGGCGTGTAGCGGTCGTTCATCATCCTTTTTTTTTCGTATCGGGCGTTGCCCACCCAGTTATCTCTCGATTGCTTGATATTCACTTTGATACCAATGTTTGGAATAAGGCCTATATTATACCGCCCTAAGCACAAGAATATACGTGGTGAGATGAATACACATGAATATATGCAACTCTACCGCTACGCTGCACTAACCAACGCCAGCCTCGACGATACCTCTGCCTGTGCTCTAACCAAGTTCGCCAAATACGACACCATCAATGTATCCTGCAACCTTCCATTGAACCCACCCATCTCCGCGGCACTTCCACCGACATCCGCATCGCCCTCAGTACTCGCACCTAAGATATCCATGAGATACCTCCCAATTGCTGCATCACCTTGAGCTTCGCCGGCGAGCACGGCGCGGACATAAGTAAGCACGCGGTCGATCATGGAGATAATGTTTTCGATGGAGGAGGAGAGGGTTTCAAGGGAGGTTGTTGGAGAGGATAAGGAGGAGGAAGTGGAAGGGAGAGAAGAGAGTGCGGTTGATGTTAGGAGGTCGACTACGAGGGGTGGTTAGATTTGGTAAGGGATAAAGGTAGAGCGAATATACCTCCACTTCGTTCCGAGTCGCGGAATTTGAGTTCAACGGGAATAGGTACGAAGACACAGTTTTCGGGTTTTGGAAATACGCCTACTGGGGAACTGGATGATAAGAATAAGTTAGTCCTGGGGTTCTTGATTTTGGTTAAGATTGAATGCTCGTGAGAAAACGATGCGGGAAGTTACGAGGAATCGCAGAGAAGGGAAACAGGAAGTAAAGAAAACTTTGATACCCACCTAATATAGCCTTTTACACCAGCAGGCTGTCCTGGCTCAACACCAGTATCCAACGAAATATGTACAGCTTGATGCGGTGCGGTCTCTTGCGAGTAAAAATTTTGTATCAACGCAGAATACGTGTTGAGATTAGACCCGGTCGAATACCTGCAACATCCCACCAAACATATTAATTCAGAGGCGTCCAGATATTTAACAAAAAAAGATACACACCATCCAACGATAACCTCCTTCGAATTAACCTTCCTGTGCAGCTCATACATTGTCCGATGATAATCCATATCCACCGCAACCTGCTCACTTGTCTCGCTATGTAATACAGCAAACGAGGTCCGAATCTCGACGTGCGTCTCCGTGCGCGTGCCGAGGAGTGTTCCGATTACTCGGTCTTGGTCGTCTTTGCGGCGGAGGTAGTGGTCGAGGATAGAGAAAAGGGCAACGGGATGGATGCTTATGCTTGTGGGCGTTCGACTAATTGATTGATAGTCGAAGATGAGGAAGATACGAGGAAGCACGATGGATGGCGATAGATGGATGAACGAATGATAGCAAATAAATCAGTGATCTTTCTTCAAAGATACATACAAAACCCCCAACGTACGGAACATTTTGCGACAGTGAAGAAACAGCCGGTTGTATGTTGATTGCGGAAGATGGAGGTCCTAAAGGCATGTTTAAATTTGCGTGAAATGATACGTCCGTGCGTGGTTTGTGTTAGGCAAGTTTTGGTTTTGGTTTTTTTCAGGCGTTGACCTGTCGTCGTAGTTTTTGATACAACTTTTTTCGGCGCGGTCGTTGCCGAAATCTTTTCCACGTTACCAGCCTCGACGTGACGGGATTTCGTTTCTTCATTTCTTCGAAACTTCCATCTTCTGTCCTTTTACCGAGTCTTATACGCTGACTCTGCCTTCAAGAATGCCTTCAGAGGATACCAAGGTGCGTCTAGTACTCCTTTCGTCGGGTGGAAGTTACATACATTCTGATATACCGTTTCGCGGTTAATAGGAACGAATCGCAAAAGTCGTGGATGTTACACGGGTATGACCTATTTCCATACGTGCTGGGGAGAAATTTGGCTTATCAGAATCCCCGCTTCTCCTCATTCTTCTCTTTTTTCCTTCTCTCATTGTTTTCTCTTTCCATCTGCTCAACTCGACACCACGTTCTCTTTTCATCCCTTCCTCCGTTTTCCGCTCCGCCCTTGACTACGTGCCGCCATTCCAACGCTCCAGACATTCCTCCACTACGCTTGGATACCAATGATCATATACGTTGGGTTTACACGGAGTAACCCCCAGCCCTCGTTGATAAAGTCCGTCGCTATTTCAATTTTCTCAGAATACGACTTCACTAATTATTATACTTAAGACTAATTAGTCCGCTAGCATAATGGCTGTATGATATTCATGTCATTCAATACACCTCTTCTCTTGTTTGTGTCTATCGTTCGTGCAATGAACAGCTTCGTCGGTTGTCGCTCTTGGTTTTGCTGCCCTCTTTCGTTACTTCATATTGTTTAACCACTAATATTTTTCAACCTATACATGACTGTTCCGGCCCGCCAATTGCTCGTTGCGTTACTCAAGTGCTCATGGTCGACCTGCCGAATGAAGCGGGAGCTTTGGGCAGTTGTGACATCGCGTGTATTGATGCGACATGAACAATCTTTGAGGTGCAGCCTATCTGGTGACACTTCAGTTTCTCCCTATACCTCACTACCCGATATTCTCAAGGATTTGCATGGCTTCCAGAGCGCATAAAATCATATCCGAGTACTAGGGTGGCGCTATGCTGACAGTGAGTCTCTTTATAAACCTCTCCCCTTTTCTCCCTTTCCCTCCCGAAGGACCATCACTCTGACATTAACCTCACCTTCCTTCCTTCCTCCTTCAACTCCTCGTAAATGATTATACCAGTCGTGGTGGCACCTTCAATGTGCCCCGATCGAACCCTTTTTCACTTGAAAAGTTGAAATTGGGGAGCGAAATGTGGATTTGACTTAGGCCAGATATGATTTTTTTCATTATTATTTCATTCTTTGTGTTTGTTCTGTTGATCCATTCTATCTTATCCTCAATTGTCCTCAATACTAACTTCCATATTTGTTGTAGTTTTTCCAGGTTTCGTATTACTCACCACATTTGTGAATTTGGAGTATGAGACTGATAGGAAATTGTACTGGGGAGTACTCACTGTAGATCGGTTGTACTTACTATTCAAAGCCTTATTATGAAATGCTTAATTTTGGGTCCTCTGATGAGGGTATGAGATTCAACCAATAAACAGAATCTGAAATTTGAATGTAACAGCAGTGTTTTTGGTATGTATTGAATGTTTGCATGAAGGAACTCCTCAATTCATGTGTACACATGGAGGAAATGGGTCGAAGGTCAAGGGTAAATAAAATATACAATATCAAAAAGAAAACAAAAAAATGGAAATTTTTTCTAAGATTGAAGAAACAGAAAAACTTTCAATCTTCAGTAAGGTTTACTGCACCCTTCTCAAGGAGAATTTTCACAATGTCTTCATGCCCCTGCAATGAGGCAGCATGAAGTGCATTCCCATACTCCCCCCCTTGTGCATTGACATCTGCACCCATCTCCAGCAGCAACTTCACAATAGGTTCATGCCCCTCAGATGAGGCAGCTTGGAGTGCATTCCCATACTCCCCCCCTTGTGCATTGACATCTGCACCCATCTCCAGCAGCAACTTCACAATAGGTTCATGCCCCTCAGATGAGGCAGCTTGAAGTGCATTCCCATATACCCCCCCTTGTGCATTGACATTTGCCCCCTTCTCCAGCAGCAACTTCACAATGGGTTCACTTCCCTTGGACGAGGCAGCTTGGAGTGCATTCCCATATACCCCCTCTTGTGCATTGACATCTGCCCCCTTCTCCAGCAGCAACTTCACAATGGGTTCACTTCCCTTAGATGAGGCAGCTTGGAGTGCATTCCCATATCCCCCCCCTTGTGTGTTAACATCTGCCCCCATATCAGGTTCACTTCCCTCAAATGAGGCAGCTTGGAGTGCATTCCCATATCCCCCCCCTTGTGCATTGACATCTGCACCCATCTCCAACAACAACTTTACTATGGTTTCATACCCCTCAGATGAGGCAGCATGAAGTGCATTCCCATACTCCCCCCCTTGTGCATTGACATCTGCACCCATCTCCAGCAGCAACTTTACTATGGCTTCATACCCCTCAGATGAGGCAGCTTGGAGTGCACTCCCATATCCTCCCCCTTGTGCATTGACATCTGCACCCATCTCCAGCAGCAACTTCACAACAGGTTCACTTCCCTCAGATGAGGCAGCTTGGAGTGCATTCCCATATCCCCCCCCTTGGGCATTGACATCTGCCCCCATCTGCAGCAGCAACTTCACAATGTGTTCATACCCCTCTGATGAGGCAGCCTGGAGTGCATTCCCATATACCCCCCCTTGGGCATTGACATCTGCACCCTTCTCCAGCAGCAACTTCACAACAGATTCATACCCTTTGAATGAGGCAGCCTGGAGTGGAGTCCCATATGTGCCACCACTTATGTCTATATCAGTTCCCAAATTTAGCTCACTAATAAGCTTTTGAATAACCTCATACAAGCCATGCAGTGCTCCATAGTATAATGGTGTTGCCTGAGTTGATTCTTCCCAAGTGTTCTCATACCTCAGGGACATTTCCTTCCATCTTGCAAAATAGACATCTTTATCATCCAACATAATCTGTATCAAGCTCTGGGATTCACCTTTTACTTTGTACACTTCCACCTTTGATGCATGAGCTAGCCAATTCTTAACTGCATAGATCCCAAAAGGAGTTTCCTTGTGTGAGATATTTTCTTTTTGCATAAGGTAGATGATAGTTGTTCGCACCATAATATCATGAGCCAACTCTTCATTCAATTCAAACAGATCTTTTGTCTGTTTTACTTGAGAATATATCATGAGATACTCTTTGACTGATGCATGGGCAAGCTGGACAATGTTGTTCTGTCCCACAGTCACAAGTGTGGAGTCAATAATCTTCTCCACTTGGACTTCCATATGAGGATGGTCAACAACTTGCTCTTTCAGGTCAACTGCCATTATTGCATTGATTTGCTTTGTAGTCAATGGCTCATATGCATAGAGCAACCATAAAAGCAAATGCTGTGCTTCCTCTACATTTTCCTCTTCTTCTTGACACTTTTTCAAAGCTTGCTCATATATTTTCTGCAAGTCACTGGGGAGTTTATTCAGGACCTTCTTCACACTTCTTGCTGTAGAACATTTCTGCACTGCTCTAAGTTGGCACTCAGCCCAGCGGAATCTGAAACATTATTTTGAATTAATTGTGCTAAATCGTCAGTAATTGACACTACTTACACCCCATGAGCACCTTTTTTCAATGTTTCTTTTATATTGTCCTGAACATCTCCTTCGAACTTCAAGTGACTATCAATCTCTGACTCAAGATACATTGCTATATCTTTATCAATATGTGACTCTTTGCCACCAAGTGCAAACTGAAGTACACTCTTTCCAAATCCATCTGCTATTCTGCTTGTCACAAGAATCCACAGCTTATCTGGTAATGCAGACAGCCAGTCTAATACTTTACTGACTTCTGTGCATTCATCCATTGCATCAACAACAATGTATCCACCATTTCTCTCCTTGATCATGATTTCCAGCACTTTTTGAAGTTCACTATTTGGGACTTTCTTGAATTTGTTTGACTTGTGGAGGGTATAGAGAGCAGGATTGATTCCCCTATCCTCTAGTCCCATTTGCTGAATAAGGGATAACAAAAAGCCACGGTATGTGGTTTTAAGACCAGTATTATCCCGAGTATCAAAATAATGATACCAGACAGCATTTGGGTAAACTTTTCGCACATCTTCCTGAATTGTTGTTCTATCACAGGTATTTCTCGATCAATAGATCTGCATTCCTTTTGTTTCCATCACTCACGTCAAAACAGTTTTTCCTGATCCAGCTACAGTATTTGATTAGTACAAATATTCCTTCTTTTGTTTGAAATAGTCAAACCTGGTCCTTGAATCCACAGTACACTAGGCTCAGATCTCCATTTCTTATATTCATCAAGGTCAAATACCCATTCCCCAGTACCTTGAAATTTTTTGTCTGCTGCAGCTACATAATTGGCAGAACAATCTGGGGCACCAAGCCATTTATTGATCACAGTGGAATCATCACTTGCTATAGAATGACATTTTCAGAGCCTTGAACAATTTATTCTGGTTTTGTACAACTTACAAATGACTGTAAAATTGCCACCATGAATGGCAAAATGACTTGCATTGGTAAACATGCTGTTGGTATTATTTAAATCATCAGTTGTTGCAATAAGAGTTGATTGGAACAACTATACCCAGCACTCATCGATTGATTACTTTGATTGACCTTGATCAGCAAATACAGTGACGCGCAAATCAAATCCACACCCCCCGATTTGGAAATTTTGTGATTAAACTGTTTTTGTGAACATTTTTGTATGCTACATCCTGTAAAGCATGTTGATTCTACTATAAAGACTTACTCGTGGCAATATAAGCTGTTTGAACCCTCAAAATTCAATATTTCTGAGCAGAGGAACAACAGATTTATGCTGATTTACAGTTCTGGGCTGGTGACATAAGGCCTTCCAAATCGGGGGGTGTGGATTTGATTTGCGCGTCACTGTAAGCACAATCAATTTAACTGGACATGACACATATACTGACTGTTACTTTGCTCTTGCAGTGATCAATGATAGTAGAAAGCAAGGGAGAATGATGGGCTTCGTGCACTAGGTGTTATCTTTTATAAGCTGTCATTTTAATGTTTGATTGTCTTGGACAGATGATCATTGGGTCACTGCAACACAGTGCCCTACACAGCCTCTGCTAGTCCAGTCGAGATAAAATAGTTTAGATGAAATGGGATTGCACCAAATTAAAGGTATAAAGATAATGCAAAAACTATGTACAAGAACATGATCTGAAAGCACAGGCTTTAAATACAAAAAGTGAGATGTAATATTAGTACAGATATGGGCATGAGATAACGAGATGGAAAGAAAATGTTCAGGTGCACGTATAATCTATGATGTAAGATGCGATATGCGATAGGAACATCAAAACAAAGCTAGGAGTGACGAACAAATAAAAACAGACAAAGAAAACATTGATAACAAATGAGAATCACTATGGGTCAATGCAAAGACGGTCATGAGATAGTAATGCAGTGTCAAAAGAGAGAGCAATGCAAATTATGCATCTGCGAAGACGTCCTGCGTCCGCCGTATAACTGATTGATACCATTCATCCTCTAATGGTGGAAGATCGTCTTCTTCATCAGCCCATGAATACGGTGAAGATTCGTCCTCGTCATTCACATTGAGAGCATCAACCATTGAACGGTCTAACGGGCAACCATCCATATATAATGGCGCACAAGAGTTCACTGAGCTGATATTAACAGAAGATACCATTCGTTTTTCCAAATCTCGCTCGTAAGCAGATCGGTAATCTGCGTCGTCGTCCAGAGGATCAGGCGTTTCCGCAAACGGTGACTCGACGGATGTAAGGCTTTCTGTATCAAGTTCAGGCAGCTCTTCGAAAGACGTGTAACACTCCAAGGTGTCATTATAGCTGCGAATCCCATCGTAATCTTCTTCGTTCTCGGTTACAGGATCTGCCCAACCCCCATTCTCCTCCTCCTCATTTTCATCAAACCTAGAGGTGTCATAATACTCGTCACTCGGGAACGAGAGATACGCGTCCTCGGGTTCATTGACGTAGTTAACGCCACGGGAGTGTACGACAAGGTACCGACCAAAACCATAATCTTGCGGATCGTTCACGGTATTGGTCGCTGTAAGCCATTGGTCTTCCGGTGGAGGTTGATTGATGATGATATGCGGAACTCGGAACGGATTGGTGGAGTCGAGGATGAGGGTGGCGCGGTGGAAGCGGCTGGCTGATAGAATGGGCTAGGAGAGGAGCAAAAGAGGTGAGCCAATACCGATGATCCAGGGAACTAAATTCTCACCTCAGCTGGGTCAGTCCACGAGAAAGGACGGTCGATGTTCGAGAAAGGGAGAGCCGAGTCGTATCGCTCTCGGAAACTATTAGCAGCCTGACTTGCCATTATAGCCTAGGATGATCATTAGTCCATAAATAAGCTGGGACAGAAAGATCAACTTACGACAGCTTTCATTATCTGCCGTCTGAGTGCGATGACGACGTTGAAGTAGCTCAAGCGCTCATGAGAGCAGCCTTCAATCTAAGAGTTAAAATGGTGGGTGTCGGACCTGTGACCATCATAAAGTGAACTCACCATAGCGTTGAATTTCGATGGACTAAAAACGGAGATCGGATGGAACGCAAGTGGTAAAGAAGATGTAATAATCGGAGGGGCATCTGAACGCGAAGAAGAGGGGTTCTCTGCGAAATCTGACGGTGGCAGACATAGTTTCGAAGTATCTTGGTAGTAATTTGGTTGATTGAACCAAGCGATAGCAAGATCACTCATGGTATCGGATGCAGGGGTGATAACGATATGGGGAGTTAGCCAAGGTGTCGTTGAGTCTATAGCAAGGATGTTTCTGCTCATAGTCCAGCTTTGAAGGACATCCTGACATAGACGAAGGTCTTTTTGAGCAAAGTTCGTGCGCGTAAGAACAGATCCTACTCACATCGTCAAGAGATGCATCGAATTCGGGCTCATATGCATAAAACACGTCTTTGAACTATACCAACAGTAGAACGTTGAAGTTAGAAGTAGACAAAAGTCACGGAAAAATCTCACCTCAGCGTCACATTCGCTATCGGAATCAGCCAACGGATATTCAGAATTTTCAAGCTCAGCCTCGTGGAAGGGGTTTACAGCGAGCACATCGCGCGTTTCCTGCACGCACAGCGCAGCAGACGAGTCGACCTGAAGATTATACAAATATTAACGAAGCCCTGATCCCGAAAAAATATAGACACACACCTTGAAGATTTCCTCTGCAGGTGCTTCACAAGCGAGATTGCTGACAGCTGATTTCGCCAATGGAACTTCCCACGTTGATAAACGACGCGTCGTTGTTGGACGCGTCAAAGTAATTTTCGCCATGGAGGGAGGGAGGGAGAATCGAGAGTAAAATCCAATTTCGAGCCAGTGTGTAGATGACATCGGCGGAAACATTGTTGGAAAGGGGATTTGTTGATTATTGGTTCACCCGGTGTGGACGTTGATGGCAGTTGCTACGTCGGAAGTTCCAGGAATTTTTGAGGATTTAAGAACAATGGTGGTGGTGGTAAAGGAAGAAGGTTATATGAGAGTTTGTTTTGACCAAGGGCTCGGAAATTTCAGGTCTTTGCGGTGGCCAATTCCTGTCATTGTGGATACAGAGCAACCTTTCTTCGCCACGATTTCCCCATTCAGATGTGCTTAAATAAGCGATCATCCGCCGCGGGCTCCTTGGAAAACAACGGTTGGACCTGTTTTCCAAGACTCCAACCAGCAAGCTAGAAAAGATGTGACGGCGACCTATGGTGTCTAAGTGTTATTCCCGTACTAGCAACCTAGACCTTACCCACTGAGCTCTTCAAGTCAAAGGGAGACCATGTGTCCTACTAGTCAAAATAGTTTAGAGTATATCCGATCTCCCATCCTTTCTCATCTTCTCGACAGCCTTGCCATGTTCAGAAACAAACTGATTACAAAAGAATAGTCAAGCTTCCTTCGGGGCACAAGATGCATTTGGCGTAAGTACTTTGTTCAAACCGGTGAGAAATTAGGCTCCGAATCAGCGTAATTGTGTACTCTGCAGACCCTTGCTCCTTCCTGAAAATCCGAACGGCTGTTAACCTTACCCGCCCAGGCTTCGAAAAGTGACCTCCTCAGCATCAGGACAATGATGGACAGGCAAAAAGCAGCATCAAACAAGTATCCTGTCCCCAGTTATTCGAAGGCACCCAGTATGTCTCAACCCTCTGAGTGAATCCGATGAGCCTTCTCACCGTTCAGACATGCTGGCTTAGATCCTGTTTAGGCTTCGAGCATAGTGGAAGAAGGCATTAAAAGCGTTCGAGTGTAAGAAATGTAATTGTTTCGTCCTCTCGTGATCGGGCTCTTTAAGGTGTAATGCTGCTCCTCCCCATGTCTATCGTGATACTGTTCTCCACTACAAACGCCAGAAGTTAAGCAAGAAAGTTTCTAAATTTAGCATAAATTCAAGTCAGCAAGCCAAGAAATTTGGAAGGCCTTTCGTGTGCACCGTATACCGTATTTGTGAGTCCATATCTTCCGCACTATACTGTAGTTTGTGTACATATCTGTATCATGGTGAGAACACCTTGCTTGCAGAAATCATCTGATGATGTTGACAAAGAATGTAGATTCAGCAAAACATACATATGACAAAGCTCCAGAGGGAATAACTAATACAAAACTCGCCCACTTTGGTGGCTCTTTATTCAATCTTTTCGTCCGGTCGTCGACCACTGACCTTCTGGAAATTCCTCAACATATGATCTGCTCCGCTCACCTGGAAGGTAGATTCAACATTTAGATAGGATGATTATCCCCAGATTGGTGATTACTCACCCATTGCGCGAAATCCTTCAAATAACTCGGAAGATGTTGTCTGTACGGCATGAGATGAGAGTACAGCGGCAGCATGATCGTCTTGGAATGCTGGTCGTCAAGAGCCTGGATGATGCTCTTGACCACGTCAACAGGGGCGACCGAGGGAAAGAAAAATTGGTGCCAGCCAGACTTGGGGTAAGATACCGTCGCGAAAAGAGGGGTCAACAGATGGCCTGGGCATAGAAGAGTAGTTCGAACGCTTGGTGCTTTATGTCTAATGCCACAAATGACGGTTATTCCGGGTTGAGTCGATGGATGGCAATACTTACATATTGTCAAGCTCGTATCGCAGAGAATCATGTAACGAGTTGACCGCAGCTTTAGATGCACAATAGTCGGCTTTTAGAAAGAAATATTACTCTTCTTTTCAATATCATCAAGGTAATTATTGAACGCACCAGCTTGAGCGACCCCAGCATAAGCTAGGTTCGAAGAGACAGTGACCTGGAAAGACTCGTGAGTCGACAAAGTCAGCAATTACATGCAACTCACGATATGTCCACTATTATTTTTGATCATGTTAGGAAGGAAGGCTTTCAGAGTCCAGAAATGCGCGAGTGTGTTAACCCCAAACGTTCTATGTAATCGTGAGTACCATTCCATAGTCATCAACCGAGCACCCACTGTTGCACATCCGCAGCACTTAAGTCGGTGACAAGCTTCCCTTGCACGACGCCAGCGTTATTTACAAGCACAGTGGGGTGGCCGATCTGATGACATGTTCGTTCTTTTTTGTTGACGAGCTAGACACGGATGCGACTGGGCATACCTCTTCCACAATCTTCTTCGAAACCGCCTCAACTGCATCCCACTTGGAGATATCACATTTGTAATAGACGATGTTGTCTTTTATGAGCCATGTTAGGCAATCGAAAACGGAGGGAGGCAAAGGCAGTATTCACGATTTTCGGAGACAATCGGGTTAACGTCGAGTACCACTACAGTCACATTTCGAACAGCGAGAGTATTTGCGAGCAGTTCACCGACGCCGGAAGCGCCTATGGCAGTTTAAGCACGAGCTCAAAATCGGATGTATTCATTGCCACATACCTCCAGTGACTACAACAATCTGCTCGCCCCAGTCGAAGCGAGGAGGTCTGAACAGAAGACTGCCTTGGTTTCTGTACAAAGTTGACAGCCAATCACCGAGCCCTGTGAGTGCTGTGATAAGTAAAGTCCACAAGACCGAAAGATATACACACAATAGATGCATAGCAGCACGTAGTAGCCTCCAGACCAGAGGACGAACGGGTCACTTGTCCCTGCACCTGAGAAAACGTAGAGGACAGGAACGAAGAAGACAAAAAAGGGGCCTGGAAAATATTCTCAGTCGTTGGTAGAGCTGGTCATACGCTTCACGCACTGAACAAGGTATTCTTCAGCACTTTGAACACCAGATCAATGTCCAGCGAATCAAAAACCGGAGATACGTCGCGATTCATACTCATTGTTTTCAAATCGGTTGGTTAGTGCTAGATGGAAGGCGCAGCCTAGAGAAAAGAATGTGGAAGTAGTAGAAGAAGTTCTGAGCACCAATCACCGGCGAGTTGATGAACTGATGAAAAAGAGAATTACAGTGGCAGAAGCGCCCAGCGCCGTTGCCGGTTCCGTTTCCACAAGTGCTCTTCAATTCTTCTATACCTTCAACCGGAGCTGCCAGTGAGTAAGGACTAGTGAATCGTCGAAATATCCTAGCGGAATGCCAATACTGCTCAGTCTCAAGATGCTGAATCCTTAGCTAGAACATATCGCATGAAAGCGCAGGAAGTCGTTTCTTTGAGGAAAATCTATTTATCTTTACAAACCGTTGGGATGTATGGGAAGGTATCCACAGGGTATCCATTACTATACTGTGAAGGCCCCGCAGTTTCTCCTGCGGTAAGTGCTATAACCTTTGATTCTACTCCTTTGTACCGTCACTACATAGGACATCACCATCCCTCAGACTTGGTACTTGGCTCATATCCTCACAAGTTGCCCTGTCCTTCGGACGACGCTACTCCAGCACATTGAATCATACAATTTTTGAGATCAGTAAGTCGCGTCAACTCTGGTTCTGCATGTAGGTGGCTCACAACTATGTGACAAGGGGTTGTTCATGCTCAACACTCTCTGACACCAGCATCTGCAAAACCTGGATGTTCGCGAGAGCAAGGATACTAGCTGGACAGTGCTGTCAGCTGCTTTCGAGCTCTTAGCCGAAATTACAGATGCAAGTATTCATCCAAAAAGGCAAGTCAATATTCATAGCTTTGGCTTCACCGGAAATAGGGCCCTTGATATGATAGTGAATATAAATCTCAAAGCAACTAGGGACAAGCTAGAGAATTTGAATGTACTTGGTTCCAGTAAACCGAAATGATTGTGCGAACATCATTTAACGAAGTTGAATATCTCGGTTCCCGACTTTTATATCTATTTTGTAAATGAGAGGAGTTACATGTATGTACATACATAGATTGCTCGCCGTCTACTTCACAGCTTTGAGTTTATGGAATTGAGCAGTTAGCTCACAAAGATATTCATGTACTCGGCGGAATTACCCTTCAATATTTGACCCGTTAAGGTGAAAACGGACATCGATTGATTCATGTCGACCACAGCCTACCGGCATTATAATAATGTGAGTGGATGCACGCATGGACATTGGTAAAGGGAAGTAAACAGGCTATTATACAGTTACAGTTGGTGGTGAAGTATAGAAGATGCAAGTCTGGGGAAGCCAGTGGTAAGTGATTTGGATGAGGACAGACGAGAACGTGCGTGCTGCGTATGATGTAGGATACCGAGGTAAATCAAGTATTATTGAATGGTATAAGATGCGGCATGGTTTTATCAACGTGAATAGAAGAAGTGAAAAGGCGGAGATTCCAAAGGAATGGTGGGAACAGGAATTTCTGACGGAGAAGGCTGCAAGTGCCGTGGAAAGTGAAGTGGGAAGTGAAAGATGATTCTTCTACTAGGCAATCCTCGGCAAATTGTTTGGAAAGAGAAAAGCGAACAGTTCCATATACCTGAGGAATATTAGGGAATGAAGATGATGCGCTCAAGAAAATTCGGTCGCGATGCAGTATGTATACAGAATAAAAACAACAACACCAATTCGAATTGCTGAACGACGGAGAACATCATCCTCCCGGTAATGGCTGGTTGACCTGCTGGGAAAAGAAGGGAGAATCTATGACCAAAATGGTACAAATAACCCTCGAGAACGCAGACGAAGAGGAAAAAAGACATAAAGGATCGTGAAACGTGTGAAGACCCTCAATGAGCGGATATCGAAAGTGGATATCAGAAGAATCGAATACAGATCCATGAGAAACGGAGCATTTATTGGAGAACGCCAATGGAATACGACGAGATAAGTGATGTTTTCCGATAGAAAAGGTCAAAGGACTGCTTGATCCTGGTTCTAAGCAAGAGGAGTTCCGATGAGTCGTCGTTTCGAGTCTTCTTTATGACGGCAGTGGTACAGTATGAGTATGGTATCATCCGTAAAATTTTGGTCTTGAGATTTAAGAATACAACAGCAGAGTTGAGATGTGACACGTCGAACGACGGATAGATATGATAAATAGCCACCATGGATATGCGGCGGTAGCACTCCAAAGAAGCTCTAGCAAGCGCGTAGAAGCGCACAGGCACGCGTGGCATGCCTCTTCCCAACGAGCAGATTAGCAGTCTTGTACGTCGAGCTATGCATGTGGTTAATCCCATTTTCTTCGAGGACACGCGAAAAACGGTTGACAAGACCGTGCTTGTCTAAAAATGCAAAAAGATCAATCCAAGAACGTTGCTAGAGTACTGAACGCTTCCGTACCTAATCCAAATTTGCGTAAATCAATCTGTAAGCATTTCAGCAATCCACTTTCATCGAAATCCTCCCCTCCACTGTTAACCTCCGCATCTTGGGGGAAAACGAGCTCGTCGCCGTGGTCTACACTTTCATCCACGGAAAATCCACCTGTAGCTTCCTGCCGTGCAATTCTCTCGTCGGCGGCATCTAGCTCGACTCCGCAGACAACCATATATCTCTCGTGAGGTGGAAATAGTCTCGCAAGAAGATCTACGTCAGTCGTAAATGAAGTGCCTTCTGTTGTCCTCGTAATGTTGAAGAACGGTACACGAGAGGAAAGCACTTTGGATGAACTCTTTCCGGCCGCGCTATGGCTTCCAGAAGAAATCGAATGGGTGCGCGGTTCAGATGTAAATGAAGCCAGACTAGAAAATTTGACACCGTCTGGGATTATGGGAGTGGTCGTTATGGGTGATAAAGGGGACAAAGGACCCATTAAGTGTTTGGAGGGAGGTCGATGTGACGATGGAGAGGCGAGAGGCGGTTGTATACTGACAGAATGGGGAGCTGTTGACTCAGGTGACTTCGAGTCGGACATCGAAGAAGTAGCCGATGTAATGAGAGAAGACGTCGATTGGTTCGCGCTTAAGCCGGTGGGTGAGTGTGAAAAGTAACCTTCTTCATCGTCATATTCGTTGACGCTTGATGAAGAAGAAGATCCATATTTGAGAGACGAATCATTCGAGCTCGACCGAGCACGAGGAGGAAGTCGTATCGACGTAGAAGCCAGGGCATCAAACAACGGATGATAGGGGTGTTGATTTTGCACCGTGAATTTCGACGATATCTTCCCAGAAGAAGGGATGAGGTCCGGGAAGGCGATCAACTTGATGATTTTTAGAGACCAATGATCAACGTGCTCATCTGACAAACCCACACAGGTGAGGTCCGGGGTGAGTATCTGAACATCTCCTGATGCAGGAGAGTGGGATTTTGTACGCGAAGGGGTTTGAGAACCACTGTCGCTAGAGGTAACAGCTGATAAAGAGGACAAGCTATCTGTACTAGTTCGTGTTCTCGTGAGGACGGCTCCTGAGATTGCATCAGAGCCGGCATTGTAATCAAGAAGCGGAGAAGGCGGTGGTGAGATAATACTGTTAGAGTTGAAATTATCGGAGTAGAGATCGAATCCAGCTGCAGAAAATAGCGCCATGACTTCTTGAAGCCGGGACTCTTTTACCTTCAAGAGGACTCAGCATCATGTGGAGTGTGAGTAAATGGCCAGAACATACGAAGATGAAGTCGCTCAAGTATGACGATTGATACAAAATAGATATTCCCGCAGCGGCGAGGGGTGCAGACACTTCATATACCCGAGCACCAGCATTATCTAGACAAATGATAGTCAGAGCATGTATGGGTAAACGTTAAGTATATTTACCTAGAGCATCGCTATGCGAATCTATCTGTAGAACGCTCCATTTCTCATAAGATATTTGCACTGGCTCCACGACCTGACTGTCGGGGAAATTTTTTCGACTCGAGCCAGAGCCAGACCTGGACCTCTGTTTCTGCCTATCGCGTCGTGCTATAGTCTCAAATTCGTCCAGAACATGGGATTCAGCAAAGATGGAGAGTTCAATCTCATTGCAGGTTAAATTGAGAAATGTAGGATTTGGTTGGAGGATTTGCCGAATGATAGGGGACGAAAGGTGAGCAAGCCGTGAACGGGGAACGTGTACAAGAGAAAGGGAAACGGGGAGCAGAGATATCGTAACTTGCATTTGAGGGGGGAAAGTCCTTCTCTTTCAAAGCAGAGAAGGAAGGGGGTATATAACTGGCGTAGAATTCAAGATACCGACTTTTTAGTGTATGTACTACGGTCCGATTTGCCGATGCTGTCATTTGACTCATTTCTAGACTTTGTATTCCACGCCTGTTCCTTATAGTTCCTCATGATCCCTGCTCTTCGCTACATAATAACATTCTTTTCCCGCCCAAACTTCTCTTCTTCGTCACGTCAATGATTTCAAAGCTTCTCAGTCAACCTCCGGTTGCACCCGGAATTCCTATTTAATAGCTTCAAGAATCAAAACGCAGCTTTAAATCCCTGGCTTTCGATTTGGCTTTTCATTCACGAGGTATGGGCATGGCCTAGCGATAGTCCAGAATTCTCTCCCAATTAGTATTTGCGGAAACTCGAAACTCCACCATGGTAGACGAGAACAAGGCGAGAGTGATGCTTCTAGAAAACCGTAAGTAAATAAGTATACTTTGATCATTAATAAAGTGCTGACCTAACCCAAGCATAACTTTCTCCTGTCTGAGAGGAAGTGGCCAATATCAGATCGTCTTCCCAAGCCCTTTCCTAAACCAGTTTAAATCCAATGAAATGTCAAAGCGTAAAAAGTCTAAAGCGCGTGCGCGCAGTTCTGATTCTCGCTGTCCAACTACTACCATCATCGGTTGATTTTTTTGTGCTTCAACCAATTCATTGGCAACTCCTACGCACCCATCAGATATCATTACTGGCCAATTTTTCGGAATCATTCTACTTTATTCGGCGGACTTCAAGATTCGTGTTTCCCTCACTTAACTGACTTAGTACACGACCCACCAAAGTGGATAGGTGAGGATGCACTGCCTATAGCTACCTACAGAAACGGACTAATGAATCCCCTGGCAAACACACACTTACGGATTTTTAGATCTTGTGGCGCTTGCATCCAATGGAAAGAGATCTATCTCTTATTACTTGGCGTCGTTGACATCTCCTTTTGTATCTACCAGTGGCCCCAGAAGTTCTCATTGGCAAATCCGTACTTAAGCCTTGTACTGGTATATCATGGGAGATCGATATTGGCAATTCGAAATACCAGCCCACTGAAATGCAAGTGTACTGTGTATGAAACCTTCGAATTACAAAACGGGCAAACCTTGTTGGAGCAGGAGAACATTCCTTCAAGTCCTTTCCATCCAGCCTTCTGGCAATTCTCCGAACAGAAATACATCTTCTCTCCGCACCTTTGCCATGTTACACCGCGATCGTCACACGAGAAGCATCTCATTCAAGGACCAACCTTTTCCGAGCGTTAAATTGTGTTCCAATGCCCTCCTTGATCAACAATTGCCATCATTAAACGCCCGATCAGACAAGCTTTTCATCGGAATGAAGCCTTCAAGTTAACGAAGGGATGAGATGAGCATGCAAGTTGAGCAGTTTGAGTTGAGAGACAGACGCACCTCCGAAAAGATATATCGTACCGGTGTCTGGATTACAGGTCACTGTTGACATAGCTCGATACGATGGGAGCTACTTCATCATAATATGACCCTGATTCCTGGTCTTGCAATCGAAGAACGGAAGGTATCACCAAAGAACGTAAATGTGTGAGATCCTTTCTGCATGTTCCATTTGGTTTCTATCGTTTTTCATAGAGCCACACGATGGTACCCATAATACATTCTCGCACCCCCTAGCGGGCTGCTTCGGTTCGGGGTGACGGACAATTTCCTCGCAGGCGTTCGTGCCCCCATTTTTGAGAGTCGATGTCGGCTCCGCCAGGGGCGTGCTTGACCGCTAACAATCGATCGGCGCTTCCGTACTACATAACGTAGATCTTACGTTCGTTAGGGGCGGGGCACATACATGGTAAGATACGAACGTTACATCGGCGATTGTTGGAATATTTCTGTAAGCTGCTCCCAGGTGCTCGTGAAAAGATTGAGGACCATGAGGATGTTGGACCCAACGGCCGACCATGATCTTCCTCACCAGAAACGCACATCTCATCGTCGAGCAAGGCAGTGCGGAAGGCAATCAAAGAACCAATCAGCGAACTGTAATGCTAAGTTTTGCGACGTGAAAAAGTCGTTCACTGCATAACCCACTGCATAGAGTCAAGCTTTTCGGTTGTAAGATCAAATACGTGTAGATGTTGGAAAAGATACGCCTTCTCTTTACAGATTACCGTACGACGTGCAGACGTCATTCCGTAAACGGGACGGTTAGTGGGAAGTTTAGAAATCTCTTTCCAATACCCATAAAAAAAGGTCGAGATACCTAGGAAAATCGGTTCGTCTGACTTGGTACACAAATTCTGAGGAGTGGCTTACCACATATCTTTCAATTCTTTCTGATTTCACCGACACCCCCACAGATATAGAGACGCGAGTTCCAAATCCAAGACGAATGTCCCCAACGACCTTTGGATCAAGACGTGTTTTCTTGTGAGAGTGCGAGCTTCTCCCAGATACCTTGAACTTGAAGTTCAGGTTTTGCCAACGAGACTGGGATCCGGATGAGATATCCGAACATATTGTCGAGAATCGACTCTTCCTTCAGGAGTTAACTTTGTGTATTGTTTAGAATCACGCGGGTGAAATCACGAAAGGCTTCGGAGGCATAATGGGTTGAGAGCGACGTATTTCCGACTGCCTAGAAGAATTCATGACCGTTAATGTAATCTTACAAGCGACACTGCACAACGAGGTTGATAAGTGGGCGTGTATGGGCGATTTAAACCCGTGAATGAACGTGCTTGCGAGCAAGTATTCAGTGTAAGGAAGGTCGATCGTTTCCAAGAGGGAATATAAGGCATCATAGTGCCGCAAAGAGACATTGACTTTTCAGCCTCAGGCTCCTGGATTCCATTCAATTGTCCGAATGGAAGCCTCAAATCGATTTCGGGTGAACCTCAAACGAAACGTACGTTGGGAAAGTCGCCCAGCCTTCTTGGAGCCAAAGCTGTCATACCAAGAAGCTCTGACCATGTATAACGAGAGTTGAAAAGAGCGTGTTTCTCTATGTCAAGTGTCAAGATAAAGATAGTAACTGGGACAGGGGATAGCTGGTTTTGGAGCGTTTGCGGTCGTTCCAAGTGTGGTCAAGACAGAATGAACGGCTTTGAGATACTTTCCAATTGCCGTACTATAAGGACCCCCCGTAGACAAGAAATCTCCTTCCTCTTCGCACATAGCGCCTTGCATGAGGTTAACGCAGTCTTTCTCATCACATTAGCCGGCCCTAAGTTTTCCGAAGACGTTTGCCCTGCTCTTCGACTTGATCATTTTCTGAAGCATTCTTAGTGGAGGAATTGCTTGTCGGGCTTTTATAAGAAGTTTCATGGAGGCCAGGCTATTTCAGAACAACGTCTTCAATGTTGCAAGCATTTTGTGATTGTGATGACTTCAAATCTCTTTTGTTTTTGACAATTGCTTTTTTGCTTCTGGATTTTACCATGAAGAATATGGATAAAAGTATTGGCAAGTAATGGCTGGGAGACCTTGGATGACGGTCTGTCGCAAGGAGACACAATGCGTCTAGCGGCCCGCCTCACCACCACCACGTGATTGTTTCGGTGCAGCGCGTGAAGCGGCGTCAAAAGGTTAGTTCAACTTTCTTGTCACCATTTCTATACTCTCGCTCTTTTCTGCTGGCGTCTTGGCAGGATTTCTCCTGCTCTGTGCCTGTCTATTATACATGATGCTTGGGACTCGCACTAAACAGATCAACTCATACGGAAAACGGTCGCAGCGAATAGTCAGTGTTTTCCAGTCAGAGTCTGGCAGCAAAGCCTCGATCTTCGATGACCTGCCTCCAACAAAATTAGCTCCTGTTGCCTCGAGGATGAAGAAGAAGAGATCAGAGAATGCTGTGGATGTTAGGCCAAAACTTGCTTCACCAAAACATAGACAGGTACAGAAGAAGAAGCAGTCGCCCTTAGCTCAACCTTTCAGGCAAAAGCTCATGCGAGCACAGATGGGCCGGAAGGTATCTAATACCAAGACGGCCGTAGAGAACACCCCTACGCGGACTCCCCTCGCCATGTATCCTCTCAATACTCCCGGATCTCCTGCAATACCTTCAGGCCTTCTGCGGAAGAAGGCGAGACCTTCATCTGCAATTCGAACACCGCTGATGAAGACCCGTTCTGACCTGGTGGAAGTGGATATTATCATTTTGGATGACCAGGGCAAGACTATCAGCAGGGAGCGAAGGGTTTCGAAGGGCAAAAATGTGGAACCTGGCAATTCATCCTTTGAACGCTCTGATAACGATGAGGGGCTTATCAGACCACGAAAACGTCTACGTAACTTTGTCATCACCTCTGAAGATGAGAGTTCATCCGACGATGAGGATGTTGTTCCCAGTCCAGTTGTAAACCCCAAACTTCAAGTCGTCAAATTACCTTTACACCCACCATTACCAGTGCCTTCGCGCTCACTGCCATATGTCCTTGTCCCTTCCCCGTCTCCGGAGCTCGCAGCTATCTTAAAGGCAACTAATACCACGGACCTGACGTCTCCTCCTCTTGCACCGTTACCGTTAATCGATTATGACTTACCTCATATCGTCAAACCGAGAAAACTCACACCTATCAAAGGTCGTGGACGTGGCTTTCTCCGTCCTCCTAGTCCTCCTTCGCCACTCTCCGACTCCGACCTTGAAATTTCTTTCTCAGATTTGGACCTCGGAGTTGATATCGGTCCCGTGGACACTTCATTGGAACTGCCTCCGGTAATCCCTGAGTATCTCAGGCCTCTCTTGGAGGAATGCCAACAGTCTATGACTGGATTACACGAATTTTCTGCATTCATCGATACATTCGCCTTTGATCCAGCTGTTCGTGGCATCTTGCCAGCGAAAAATCTACGCTTCAGAAAAGTTGGAGAGGCAAGCTTCTCTGAGGTGTTTGGGATAGGTGATGTTGTCCTCAAAGTCATACCCCTTCGCGATGAAAGTGGTTCATCTTTGAGCGGGAGTCAGAAGGCACGGATGTGCGATTGCGCAGATCTCCCGGCGCCGACCGACGCTAAAGATGTTTTGAAAGAAGTTATTGTGACACGGGCCATGGGAGAGGTGTGTGAGCGATTTGTCAAACTGGTCAAAGCATACGTGGTCCGAGGACGTTATCCAGAGGTGTTACTTGAGCTATGGGATCGGTACGCAGAGGAACTTGGTTCAGAAAGTGTTAGGCCTGGTAGGTGCAATCTTAATAAATTACTTTAGTCGCTTACCCCATCATAGATTCTTTTAGCGTTTCCCAAGCTTATGCAATTATCGTTCTTCCAAATGGTGGACCTGACCTGGAAGCGTTTACCTTTTCAAATTCAAGTAAACGATGGAGGCACGCCTGTAGTATATTCTGGCAAGTTACGAAGGCACTAGCTCGGGCTGAGCAGTTGGTCTCTTTTGAGGTATGCCATCCACTTTTTATTGATGTTAGAATATAGATTCAATATCCTATCTAGCACCGCGACTTACACTGGGGCCAAATTCTGATCAAGGAATTACCGATGGCGTCAGGCCTTCCTATGCAACAGCAACAACTGAATACCCCTGCCCGTAAACATTCAACGAAGACCCACATGGACGATTCAAGTATGGGTATCGAAGTCACTTTGATTGACTTGGGGCTGGCGCGTATGGACGCTGGGGACGGACAGGGAGGAGAAATGATCCATTGGACGCCCTTCGATGAAGACGTGTTTACGAGTGAAGGTAGGCAATGGTCATGAATATCCTGCCACATACGGCTTACCGCTGATTCATACATCCCGACAGGAGATTATCAATTCGATATCTACCGAATGATGAAGAAGCAAAACGGAGACAGCTGGGAGACGTTCACCCCATCGACAAACGTCCTAGTGAGTGATTTATTGCAGATCAAACCCACAACGCGTTAATCGTCGGATCAGTGGTTGCACTATGTCTTGACCAGGCTCCTACACTCGAAAGGTTTAAGAGCGCCAGCAGTTCCCCGTCAAGGCGTTCATCACCCATCTTCACAATTCACCGAGCGCGATTGCTACGAATGCCTCATCGATATAGAGCAGTGGTTAGCGAAACTTACGAAGCCGTTACTTGCTTCAACAAAAAAAGCCAAGAGCAAGAAAAAGGTGGCCGCGCCGAAGGTCGGTGACGCGCCCCCACTTTGTGCTGGAGAGATTGTGGAATATGGTATCAAGAAGCGATGGGTGAAGGCGTTGTCAAATTTATAGTGGTATACGAAGTTTCTTGCTATTTCTTGCTATGTATCTCGTTTTGGAATCTATGGAATCGATGTGTTGTACACTATGTTTGTAGACCTTGCATTATATGGGAATGTATGCATATAATCACATTAATGGTCTTGACAAGAAATTATAGTGTAACAAAAAGTAAAAACGTTCAACGTTCCGAGTCCTTGAATTTTGGGTATGTATGTACGAATGCAAGATGTCCAATGGTGTCCTACTGTGCAAATATAGATAAGTAGCAAGGTGAGTTCTACAATAAATGATAACGTTACAATACTTAGATCGACTATAATAGATCACCTCCTCAGCAACTGTCTACATAAGAGTTTTTGGGCCAGGTCTGCTTGAAGTCGTCTACCCAAGTGGTATAATTAGGATTAGTGTACGCCTCCATGTATCTTTCGAATGGTCAGAATCCCCTAGTAGATCAGAAAGGAAGGAATGGCTTACTCATTGATATACCTGTTCAAGCAAGCCCATCAGAAACTGTGCCCGCGGAATCTTCAAGGAAAGATAGCTTACGATGCAGTCGGGAAGTCAGTGGGGTCACAACCTATGTCGATATTTGAAGGATCTTGATACACGCGAACATCTGGTCGGACGTCAACCTCTCAGAAATTGGACCTCAGATTTGGTGTAAGATGAAAACTCACAGTCAACTCGTAGATGATTAGGGAAGGTGAGATGCTCCAGGTCCACTGTACCGAAATTCTCGCTCATCCCCAGATTAATGATCAAGTACATTGGTTCTTGAGGTACTGGGCGAGCAGAAATTTCAGTCGCAGTATCGGCGCCCATGCCTGCGACGTTCAATGTCCATGCGGGTGTCCCACTGGAGTACCACGTAATATACTGCGGAGATGACATTTAAGTAGTGTAACGTACAATGAGAGATAATTCACTTACTGCGTCGTCGAATCCTAGAATACGTGGTTCAAAAATATGTTAGTAACCTCGGGCTAACTTGTATTAACAATTTTTTTGCAGATCATACATACCTGGTTTGTACTGTATATAAATAATTAAACCCAATTCACAGACGGGAGAAGAAGAAAAGAAACTTACCTCGAAAGCGTAAATCGAATAGCAAGGAGCTTTTGATAACTCGTAGCATAGTTGATTCGTCTCAGTTACGACTGAACTGGCCTGCTGCGTATCACCACCGATATACGAATTGAGCTCAGAGGCCGTGGAATTATAAATGATCAGATTGTCCGTGGTGTTATCCCAGACGTAGAAATCGTTGAACGGCTACAAGTATTTATTTGTTAGAGGTGAGTTGGGGAGAAAAAGGAAATCCTGTAGCGTACCGCCCACTGCGCAGATTGAGAGACATATCCTAATTCGTCGGTGACCTGCGCTTCGAACATATCAATTTCAGGAGCTGATCTGCCGACGTATGTGCCATCGGAGTGCATAGGACCTGGGTGACTTGAGCCAGAACAAGTACATCTAGATAGCCGCTGTCCTGGGAGATAAGACAGTGCGTAGTCGGAGCTAGAGCCACCGTCTTGGACAGCGGCCTCCGGTAGTCCGTTTTTGGTCTGGTTGGGTGCAGTACCCACGTCGCATGAGTCATAGGTGTAAGGCCACTGGGAAAAGGGAACGAAAGCAGTTGAGCGGTGAAGGTTTTGAAAAAAAAAAACCGGAAGGTAATAATCACCATTCCGTCTAAAGTAGCACCGTAACCTGCCCGACCAAGGTTACCCATAGCCCATACGCTAAGACACTATGAGTAGCATGTCACAAAGAATGAACGATCATGACGCACGCAGGCCACATTCCTACGACCTAGTATTCATAACAAGCTTCAGAGATTACGAAAGAAAAGGTACAGGCAACCTTGAGACATACGTTATTGATGCCTGGAAGCATGACACTCGCCTCAAAAAGACCACCAGTAAAGCAAAACTTGTTCCATGTCGACATCATTCCTATCAAAAGTGATCAATGAGATGTGCGTCCATGTTCTACGGAGAATATTAACCTCCTTGATAATTGAGATCGTGTGTCTCTTTCTCGGAAAAAGTGATTACCAGCGATCCATTCTCGGTGGTGATTGCAGCTGGGTCGTACCATTCCAAGTTATTAGTTGCCTATCAAGGTATCAGACCAAATACTGCGGGTTCTTTTTTTCAAATTTTATTACCCAATAATGTAGATTGACGGCCTAGCTCAGAAGTTGAGAAAGAAAGAATTGCACCTAGTGATCCGAAGACAAACCTCCCAGTACGGGTCATCCCCAGGATAAAATGTACGGCCGTCTGTGTTGAATTCATCGGAAAAAACCAACTGCCACTCTGAACCGTCCCGATTCGACGTTTTCGTATACGCGTCGTCTGGTGTCTCCAAATCTATGAGCCCAAAATTCCCTATTTCAGGCACCTAGAAAACGGTCGAGTTCAAGTTCAATAATACACATGGAAGGTGACCAGTGAAACCTACTTGACCGGTTCCATTGATACCTAAAGCGTTTAACGCTGCTGTGGTAGTTTGAATATTGCTAACGTATGTCAATACGGGATACCCAATACTGCGAATGCGTGATGAAAGGCAGGAAACAAGGGTGATTGGATCTATGAACGTACAACAAAGCCAGCAATCCCGTACATAATAACAGCAGGAATCCTAGATTTGCAAGCCCTCGACTAGTGAAGATTGAACCAACATGGTCTACTATCTTCCCTTTGCGAACATCCGGATTATGCAGAAAATCATCACTTTCACGGTGATTTATTGAAACATTGGTTCCCCATGCTGCTGGGTCGGCTGGTAGTGAAAACTAATGCCGTCTATGTTAGATGTTATCCGGGAAACAATAAACCAATCCTCACTTTATTAGAAACTGAGGACATCTTAGAACGTGCGCCTGTAGAATATCGACTGTCGTCTCGCTGTGAAAGCGCAGTCAGAACCATAATCCAAGTCCTGAATAACAGATAACAATACGCACAAGATTACTTTCACTGGGTCGAAGCAAGTTGGCTGTTGATGAAGCCTCAAAGGCATGTTGAGGATAAGACATCCGAGAATATCGATAAATAAAGAACGGAGGGGTAGAGCAGATGGGAGAAAAGAAAAAGAAAGTTAATGATGGCAAAGGTAAAAATTAGGTACACCTGAGGTACAGAGGGTGGAAATGATATCACCTCTCCATGATCGGCCAGGCTCCAACCGTTACCGCAGCAACGAAAATTGCCGCAGAGCCCGGTCTCCGTGTGTGTCCAGCGCTTAATATTCAGGATGCCTCGCTTGGAGTTCTTTGCAGCCATAAAATGCAGAAAAATTCAAAGGCGAAATGTACCTATACAATGCCTGGAGATCAGTCTAAACCAACATCAATCACTCCCAAAGAAATGAAAAATTCGCCGATACAGCGAAAAAGACCGCGCGGTATACTCACGCACCGGAAAGGTTCGAATCATATACATTATGGCGTCCACTGAGAATTGCTGTTAACCGAGATAAAAGTACACAGTCAATACGCTTCTTCCACTCTTGCCACCGCCAGACTATTTTTTCTATCCGCCTAATCGGGACCTTATCACCACCGGATAGCATAGCAGTATCTCGGCAGAATGGTGTCCGTCATTGGAGCAGTCAATCAGAAATCCTCCTCTTGGTCTTGAAATATCGCAACAGAGAATAGAACTTGTTCTATCCAGCCGCCTGCATCAGCAACACCGCCATTGACGCGTTGACGACCCAATCCCCTACCAACATTCCAGCTTGAACAAGTCCCACTCTACGAGTCGGCACAGAATAAATGTGGAGTATTGACAGGTTGAGCTTGAGGTAGGGAAGGATCCCAATGGTGCGAGTGACGAATCGATCGTATAGTGATTCGTTCAAAATGACTTCTAGATCTCCGGGCCAATGGAGGAAGAGAGAGCGAGCGTCCATGCGATCTAACCGCTTCACAGAGGAGGACCTTGAGAGGGCGAACAGGAATAACGGCGACCCGGTTGAACGTTGAACGTTTGAACTTCTATATCATCGCGTTGATCGTCTAATGGAAATATAGGCCCATTGTCCACAACAGTTTAGTTTCTGCCTGACTCGAAAAACAAAGCCAGGGTTTGACGAGTGGTGGGAGCAGAACAGGTGCCATGAATAATCCATTGTTCCAGATGGTCCCGAGATGGTCTTTTGCGGCGACATATGAGCGGTGTGTGACAATGTGTGCAGTCTTGGTTGAAAGAGGTCAAAGTGTCTACAACGGCGTCAAAAACAGTGGGACGAGTCAAGATACAGAAGGAAATATATTCCCCAATGCCGACAGTCTACCTATTTATTGAGTATGAAGTTACACAGAGGAACGAGGAACGTAAGAGGATCCCCGTTTACTTGTAAATTAAGTGTTCATCCTCCGATGTTGCAATTCACCCTAAGGGCCACCACTGTCCAGTGGAGCGCACCGCGTACAGTATTTGTTGCTGATTAATGAACAAGAAGATGAAGATACAGATACACCCCCAATCGTCCAGTCCAACCACGCAACCGAACGAACCCCCACATCGTTCCTAGAAAAGTTGTCGTTGATCTCGTGCTTTAACAGAATTCTTCAATGTTCATATCGCTCTAGGCCTCGAACCAAACCTCTTGTTCTTTTTGCCAAATGCATAAGGATTGTAATTATTTTTCCTATCGAGGAAAGACGTTTTACGGTTCGCTGGGCTGGGACCACTGCCCCCGCCGTGTGTTGGTTTTTGTTTTGCCTTCGGAGTAGCATAGAAGCTACTGGTCGGTATGGGGCCCGAGAATCTCGGGAGAGCAGCAGCGGGCGTGGGTGGTCGACGTGGGGGTGATGATTCTGGCCGGTCTATCACCTTCGGGCTGGTCTCCTCCGGTGCCTCTGTCTTCTCACCGACCTCCTCCTCCTCGTTATCCGATCCGTAGTCCGCCAAACCTGGCAGAGGCGCTTTACCGTTAGCGGCTTTAGCAGAGTCAATCTTCCGCTTGATAACGCTAGCCTGAGGATCCTCAGAGTCGAGTTTGGGTCGTTTCGCCTGAGAAGGACTACTACCTTCCCCAACGCTCTCCTGTGACGGAAGTACGGGCCCAATGAACGGCGGGTTCACTTTGACACCTTGATCTTCAACTCCCTCCCCATTTTCGCCTTCTCTTGGTCTCTTCTTCTGCATCTGTGCCGCGATACCGGGCTTCTTCACCTGTGTCGGTGTGAATTGAATCGCAGAACCATTAGTCAACGGTGTGTTGGCTTTGACGGCAGACTCGAGCTTCTCGCCTTTGTTCTTGATGTAGAACAAGATATAACTATTTTTATTGCGAGTCGGTGTGGACGCCGTCGTGACTGATTCGTCGTTCATTTCGTGCCATCGGTTATCCCTGCTTTTGACGTAGGCGTAGTAGTGTCCTGAATGCGGACCCCCTCCAGCGTGGCAAATCACACCATACAGGGAGTAGTTCGGCCCATATTGTCCTTCGCTCATATACGGGGCTAAAGAGAGCTGCTCGTCATAGGACACCATGTGCCCTATTTTCGAGCCTGTGGGCGAAAACCGCTTCAGGTGGACAGTCAAAACGACAGGGGCTTCTTGAATAGTGAATTGTTTAGTAGCATTAACGTGTTTTTTACATCTTTGAAAAAACATATCGTCAGTAGATCCAGACAGAAGATAATGAAAGCCACACACTTTTCACATTTGTACTTGTCCGCACCCTTCAAATGATCCGGTGCCACAAACTTGCGGAGAGCATCTCTCAGATGCTGCGAGTGGTGTATGTCGAGACTCAAGTCCAGTATACTATCGAATGTGTCACTGTTGTGACCACAACTCCCACAAGCTACGCGGGAGCGTAGCTTGCCTCCGAAAAGCTTGTGCACCCACGTCGTCTCAGCGAGTTTATGGTCAATTTTCCTGAAATTCAAATCAAATACGGTGGGCAACATAGGTGCATTAGAACTCACGGGGGCTGTCCTGCCAGGCAAGATTTTTGCAAGGCATCTATAGCGTATCGAAGGAATTCATGTGAATCCTCCTGTCTACCTCTCCGCATGTGTTTAGCGATAACTGGAATAAACACCGTTGGTAATTGTTTTTGAATGAACAAAGATAAGAAAACCCACCTTGCAGCTTCCCAGTTATCTGATTTGGCGAAAATGCGGAATTGGATTTATGGGATTGTATTGCGACGGTTCGAAGGGAGCACGTCATGCAGAAGTTCTTAGATGGACCTGGAGAACTTTTTTTGAGAATGATAACGAAACCAAAGTCAAGATAACTCACATTCGTTAGGTTTATGCTTTACAAGAAGATTTAAAAGTGGCGGAGTGTGCACCAGGCATTGTATGGAGCTGTTTAAAAAGCATGTATTCCCTGTATTGTAGAGGCCAGAGCCCAACCGAGCACCCTGCGGCCATGAAAGGTCGATGTCGCCCGCATACAGTGGGCGCATTTTGGGATTCGTTTTCGGGGTAGGGGTAGATTGAGATGCAGCGGCGGACGAGGAGTCTTCTTCGGAATTATCCTTTTCATGGCTCTAATCAAAGAAGAAAAAATGTAAACAAGCAATCCCTGTGTTTTATTCAGCCACAACACTCACCTCGCTCCGCTCTGTCTGTGTACTGCGCTTCGGTGTAACATTGATGGGCTCGTATTTACCTTCAGCCACAGCTAGCGCGTCTGACGACGAACCCTCCACAAACTCGATAGGTGGGGGCAAAAGACTGTTGAAGGCTTCTATGTCCTTTGAAGGACGGTATTGCCGGTTGTCTTCCGATGAAGGAAACGGATTCGGCTGAGCGGATGGATATAGCGGGGACGCTAGCATATTTCTTCGTCGATAAGAGAAATCAAATTTTACAGCGCGCCAGATATTGTGACACCGAAGTGAAGGAGACCAAAGCAACAAGAGGGACTTGAAAAAAGAAATAGTGAGAGGAAAGGGAGAAGACAAGGAGTTGTTTATTACACATTACACTGCTTCGCGTCAATCAACAAATCAACAATAGTTGATGGCTCACCATCCATGATCATGATCGACTAAATCGACTCTTTCTCTTGAGTTATGTACCATGAACAGAAAGTAAACTCGGTAAAAAGAATCTTAGTAGCCCTTTACAATACTTAACAAATAATTAATGTACGAGATACCCTGCTCAAATTGCGCGACAAGCCTCCAGCTCAGCCGCACTGTAAACAGCCTGAGGGAGCTCAATGAATAGTATGTAAGTAGTGGATCTTGCGAGCGCGAAGGAAGTCGAACTCTGATCTAACCTGATCTATCTTTATGTTCGTTCTTTTTTTAATTTTCGTGAATAAAAGTATCTCTCTAAGGACATTCTACGAACATCTATGTCCGTTCCATCCTGCTTAAACATTCGCAAAATCTTCCGTAGCTCTTGAATACATATTGCTCATACAACGATTCTATCTAATTTCACTAAGAACCTCTATATCCATCCCCTCGCTTCGGAATGGGTCTAGGCTTCGCTGCAGTATCTGTAGCTTTTCAAGATCACGCTCCTCGTCGAGATATGTGTATCGTAAGCAAAGCTTTTGTAGGCTGACGCAGGTTTTCTGGTCAATATCACTTAGACCCTGAGGATCTTCAGTGAGAGTTGGTGAGGATACTTCCATCTGCGGCAAAGGTTTCCATCTTGAACGCAGGAATGCAAGTAGCAAGTTACCGCGAAGACGATATGGAAGCACGAGTTCAAGATTCTGCAATTTAGGGAGCAAGCACTTTCCTTCAGGCACCTCGATGGCGTCTACGCCGTCTTCCGATTCGTCGTCATTCGAGTTATAACCTTCAAACACATTTTCCCTCTCTTTTCTCCCTTCATTATTGCCTATGTGCTGTCCTGGTTGATCACGATATCCAGGAGCGATCAAGAGCTTCAAGGCCAAATTAACAGCAGTTTTCCAAGTTTTTAAGTATGTGATCGAAGACATAGAGAGGAAAAGTTGCAACAGCTGTTCCGCAGTGAGGAAGGTACGGTCGAGAGTAAGGTGGGTCAAGTGTGGGTAACCGTGTTCAATCATATTATTGCAAAGAGACTTGACATGACGTGATTCTAGAGCACCCCGTGGATCTGATAGTATGATATGATTCAGTTCGGGGAGAATAAGAAGATCTACGAATTTCATCATCGAATCTGGGGCAACCCCAGCCCGGGAATAACCAACATTGAGAATGAGCGTTTTTGCGTTGCATTTGGTATAGACAGGCGAGAGACTCGTATCAAGGGATGTTAGTTGTTTTATTTTGAGAGCCTGAGCATTTGGACAGTTGGCGACGACTCTTGCCATCTCACTGGGAGACATTTCTGCGAGCTTGAGAGAAGTGATTGTGGGTCGAGGGAATTTTAGATCCAAACTGGGCCCAACAAGTTTCAGCGCTCGAAGGTTGGGACAGTCCACTGGGAAATCAAGCAAGCCTTCATCATCAAATCGTGGGTCAAGGGAAAGAGATTCTAATCGAGACAATTCTTTGCCGCTATTGATTACTGGCTGCATAAGTGCCTCTATGAGAGTTGAGGAAGCGCGAACGCAAACATGCCTCCATCGCCCACAGTTACTCTCAAGTAGAGGAAATATGGGGGCTTCATGCGGATATTGATATGGATATGCATCCTCGTAATTGATTGTGAAGTCGACGGGGTGAAAGGAAGAACGTCCAAGGAAACGTTTGAAAAACGAATAAGCAGCAGTTAATGAACAATACCTATCGATTCCAAGGGAGGTCCACAGCACTGGCATAGAAATGACCATGTTACGCCATTTACTACACACCCGACTGAGGTCCAATGTGGGGTATCGCCTTTTGCCTTCCCCTGACAAGCCGTTGACACCTATATCGCCACAACATATATTGGTGAAGATTTCGCCGAGGATCTCCAAGGGAAGTTTATAGATGGGTGAGATTATGCTATCGACGGTTCGGCTGAGCAGCAGAAGATGATCGCGCTGTTCTTCTACGGCTATCCGCATCGCATCTAACCGTCCAAGCACCGAATCACACCGCTCAACATAGTCCCGGGTTGCATCCATCAATTTGGTGTATGGTTCAGTAGATTCCTGTCCAAACGGATAATGTCCTGTTCGTATACAGCGTAAGATCTCGGTGTAGTCGACCTCGCGCAGGTCCCTGTCCAATTCGAAAGAATCGCCGCAGTTATTACACAGAGTAATGGAGCAATGATTTTTAGGCCAGGCCTCGTGGGCGAGGGATCGCCACTTGTAATGGATGATTCTCCTTGGAGCTATATAAATACAAATTAATCCATGCTACATGTAACTTGTACAAAACAAACCGATGGGAGGAGGATTGCGATCTGGCATGACTGGCAAGTAGCGGATTAAGAGGCAAGAAATTGCTAAGCGCCTCGGTTATCTGATTCCATAAGAGTACATCTCACATGGAAGTCCCGCTGAGTGTTCAATAATGATAGAATGGCTATAATTTCGATTTGACTATAACACTTTCCGCCTCATTCTCCTTCCCCGCCTCCCACCAAACTACAGTCACCGTGATGTCATCCCTATATCTCCTCGACGTTCCCGCCGGTATACTCATCATCTGCCTTAACTCCTTCTCATCGCCACCTCCCAAAGCATTTCGGATTAAGTGCGTGCTTAAATTGTCGTCGACAAACGCCCACGAGCCCTGCTTCGTGGAACGCGCCAACTGTTTACCGGCCTTTCCGTCAACACCAGCGTTAGCTACAGACGTTGGAACTAGAGAGGGGAGAGTGGATTTTGGAATTGTGCCCTTCAGACCGGCGAGATGACCGCCAACTAGGGTCACGACTTCTTCTGGGCTGAAGAACAGCACGTACGAGGTTTAGACTGGGGAATGAATGAATGTGAATGAACTTACGTTAAAACATCCCAAAGACCGTCAGTGGCTAACACTAGAAATCTCAGTGATGACGGGTCCTCGAATGAGAGTTTGCGGTGAGTGACTACTGGTCGCGCGGTAACGTAGCTATGTAGGCTTGAGGGTCAACCCCAATTCATTTACAAAACAGTGTTCACGTACGGTGGTGTTTTGAATGTTCTTGGTGGTTTGCGCAGAGGGGTTCCATTGCCAGCCATGTATACTTGATTCAAGCTGTGAATGATTAACCATGGGAACAAATAATCGTAAAGCAAAAACGTACAGTTCTTGCATCCCTATAGGCCATTTGTACCGTGCATCACCGAAAGCCCGCGATGGTTCCAAACCACCTAGCACGCGGCCATTCATCACGACGTTATCTGCCTCGTCGTCCGGATGTTCAGACCGTAGACTAGAACGTGCGAGCATAAGCAAGAAACACCAACACATCTCACTTATAGTCACTCACCGTTCAACCTCTTTCGGGTTCCTCGCACTCTGATCTTCGCTCAAAACATCTACTTCCCAAGTCCCTTTCCCATCTGCTGTTGGTTTCCAGACTGCCGCGACAGCTCGACTGTCTCCTGTGCATGCAATATACAGATCTTTTTGCGCAGTATCAAAGAGCGCCATTAATGCACAGCTACCTGAACGTCGTAAGACGTTGGTGAGAAGAAGAATGAGGGCGCGTAGCACGTACCTGATATCGCTGCCTGCATTGTTTGAATTCCGGACGCATTGCTACTCAAGTCCGGTACTGGAGACTTCGCGGTCAAATTCCCCTCTTGCAGTGTTTGTTTCAGAATTGATATCGGTGCGTCTAGTAGAACTTGGTCGAATTCTACGAATGCGTTTTCTATGGCAGACGAAATGCTGGGTACATCCCAGGAGGTCGGAGTAGAATTCGAAGGCGATTTTGACCATATTGCCCAGAGACCGTCTGTGAAAGATTTCGTCGAAGAAGACGCAGTGGTACTCGCGGCTAGTTGCGAAAGTTTCAATGCGACCGCATTAATGAGGGTTCGCGAGAGAAGCTGTGAGGTGTTTCGTCCACCGTGACCATCGAACACACTGAAGAAAAGTAAATCACTTTTGCCATCGTCGCTCTGTATGATCTGGTGAGAATGAGCATCTTCAATGGGATCATTTGAGGGTAAAGCGGCCGTCGTATGATGCCAAGTTACACCGTAAGGCCGAGATTTATTATCTGCTGTACCACTTTCACGGAGGCTGGAGTTGATGGATGTCATTGGGAGTAATGGGAGAGTCTTCATTACGATTTGTTTTTTGCCGTCAGAATCTTTCAGTCGTACTGGAAGTTCAAATGTTTGGTCGCGGGAGGTATAGAAGTAATAGTCAGGCCCTGCGACGACTAGGGAGGCCGCGATGGGTTTCCAAGCGCGTCTGAACATGCCCGCAGTGGTCAAAGGAGGGTGGGAAATAATTTCTTTCAGCGCTTACGCGTTACACTACAAGCAAAGTTTATTCACGAAAGTTTGTTGGCAATGCCGAACGCGAAAACGATGAACGTTGATCGTCTATCATATATGTCAATAGTTTGTATGCATGTTATATGCGTACCACTTTCTTTCCGCACTCGCTGCAGCCTACAGGGGATGGGCATTTCTTGCAGTAGAGACAGCTAGGTCCGGTTTTTTTTTTTTGAACTCTTCATTAACCGCAAGTAAGTAAGGCTATAGTACTAAGGCGCGGGAAGGTGCGACGGACAGTTGTTTGGTCATCGTCCACCTCCATTCCTCGTGTCCTGGTCATGGTATGGGTCTATGTGGGATGGTATAGCTAGCTAGGTCCGGTTTCACGTCTCTGGATGGGAACCGTGTATCACTATCTATCTATTTACAAATCTTGTCACTGTCTACTCTCTCCAGTGAGCAAAGCAGTACAATTGTTCTCGACGGGCAACAACAAGACCTGCAACACAGCTGGCATTCATTGCGTGAGGGACGAGTTTAACTATTCTGTATGTATCACATCCAGAACATACAGAACACATGGATGAGAATTATAGAACAATTTGAGGAATTATCAAGATCCGAGATGGAAGCTGTCAATGGAAAATTTGGATAGAGGGCCTGCCATCTCTGATCAGCGTCTACTCCTCCTGCGATAGGGCAATGGTCATGAGTGATTCATAAACAGCAACTTGTGTTCAAATAATATTAGCCACACATGGCAAAGCGGACAGAAAAATACCCGAATTCAACAGGTGGAGCTCTCTAGTGCTGGGTATTGAACCAGGTGGTATAATACAGAATGGTATAATACATGTATTATACCGTATTATACCTTTGATACCATGAGGCCTAGAAATCTGATGTATTATATGTATCAAAACCCTTGATCTTTATTGCGAGCTACTACAATATGTTGCTTTTCCTTGTGCATCATAGTACTTCTGTAGTAGATAGATCACTTACCTATTGATCTTGTTGTCACTTATAGAGATGCAAGGCCAAAGCAATCCCATGATATCTGCATCTGATTGGCCTGCCTAACGTTTTTGCTTTTTTTTGTCACGTTGTGTCACGTCAATCTGCCTCATCACCTGCAATGCTTATAGATGAAGATTATCAGACTCCTGGAGGCTTCTGTCTCTTTCTTGGAGAGGAAAGACTTTGGAATAGTAGAGCTTGAGGAAGTTATGGATCAAGTGTTTGGCCAAAATAGAGGAGGGGAGGATGCAAAAGCCTGTTCCATGCACTGGACTCAGCTAAAACTGCTTGAGCGCTACAATCCACCATTGCAGATGAAAAACATTCCAAAGGAGAAGCCATCGAACTCTCAATCACAACAAGCATCAAAAAAAAGGAGTGCGAAGGACTCCAACTGATCTCTTGACAGTGTTTGGTAGATATGCAGTTGTTCAATACCTATAATTCCTATGATACAAGATATAATACATGTATTATACGGTATTATACCTAGAAAAAAATTCGCCTGCGGCGCTTACATAATACTGGTATAATACATATAATACGAGTGATACTTATCATACCACAAGCTCAATTCTTGATACCGTATCATACCAGACAGAATCTTATGATACCCAGCACTAGAGCTCTCCCCAGTAAGCGGAGGTATTCACTTTTCCAGAGAATCGGGGGTGCAATGGACAGTATTGTAAGACAGCTGATTCCGAAAGTCTAGGACGAAATCAGCCTCCTCACACTGCTTAGGTTACTTTCGGAATCAGCCGTACTATCAGAATACACTTAATCACAGTGCACAATCACCAAAACAAACCTATATGCGTCAATCAATGTACTTACAGCTTTAAAAATTTTGCTGTCAGATTGACACTGGTAATCAATGACTGTGTATGATATGTTTTGAGTCAAAAAATATAACAACTGACATCGTTCAATTCCAAACACGATGTAATGGGGCACTAGATCATGTTCGAATACAATTTGGTAGCATATTCTCAACAGTAAGAAATATAGATACTCCGAGTCGGGTTTGATGCTGTCAGACTTACATTTTACTGGCCTGGCAATCGATAGATATAAATGAGGAAGCCAAAGATCATGTTGCATTCCTCCTGTTATCTGAATACAAAGTGGAGTCATATTTTTAACAACGAGAATGGTCTAGATGCTCTGGTCGGGACGGTCATATCTACGTCCGAGGCAGTCACATACCGAATCTTGTATTTTCATTCTCAAAGTGTCTGCCTTATAAACTTCCAGTTTTTTCCTGAATATCCCCAGCCCACATCTTCTCTTGCCTTTGCCTCTTGGTAAACTCAGAAATACTTATAGATCACAATGGTCATGAGAGTCCAGCCTGGAGTTTACTACATCCGCAATCTTAAAACAAATGGCTATCTCAATCCAGAGAGTGGTTATTCTTCTGCCGGTCGCAAAGTATTTCTTGAATCCTGGGTTCAGCAAGGCTCTTTGAAGGTGCGAGTACAGAAAATATTCACAATATATTGCATCTACAGTCTGATGGGATTTGTTTTTCTAATATACCTAGTGGATTGTTGCATACAACTCCATGAATGGTACTTACTGGATAAAGAGCTATGTTTCTTCCCAGTACTACCTTGTACCTGGTATCCCACCAAGTCGTGCACGGCCTCCTCAGCTTGAGTTGAATGACCAGGCATGTCCATGGGTTATTGCTGATACTCCCAATGGAAATGGATTCTTGTAGGCATTACATGAGAACTCCAACTTATCATGTTATGGATTTATGATCTTGTTTGTTTAATACAGCATAGTAAAGGGGGATGAACAAGATCAAGTCATCGAAGCTGATGCTGGAGGCCCAGGGGTAAGTTGCTTAGATTGTGAACCAATGATTTATTCACCATTGGTATGTCAGGCACTTCTCAATGACTTCAATCCTTCCAGGGCTGAAAAGAGACAGATCTGGGAGTTTGTCGCCGCCCAGTAATTTCCGAATGGGAATGTTCACTGACACTTCATGATGTCAGGGAAGAAGCTTCAAGTAGTTCTTTTTTGTTTCTTTTGATGTTTCTGTAATATTTTATGTGTATTAAACTCCGAAATTTGGCAACTACCAATCTACAGCTATTACTATAACTAAGTTTTCAAAAAGTTGTGAAGTTGTGTTTAGTATCACCTTCTCTCAAACACTTGTGCATATACACTGCTTGTTGAAATTGGCCTACAATGTTGTTTTTATCAGCTCAGTCCCTATGTAAAATTTAGATGAGAATGAAGAGGTCTTTATCTCATGAGACAGAAGTCATAGAGCCTTTGACTATGTATACACTTACAAAGCCTAAGCAGTGGCTTCCTGGTGCACCAAAGACAGAGGCAATCCAGTTTGCATTTATGATAAATGAGAATGACCTCTCAGCGGCTTTTGGACCTTTAGCTGTATCTGTGTAGTATGGTCAAAAAGTAGTGTTGATCCAATTTCTTCAAAATTATGTCACTATCACAAACAAATTGCAGGCAATAGTATCTTTCAGTAAGAATTGGCCTACATTACAAATTATTCTATACATTGGGTCCACTTGTCTCCATAAACAAGATCTTTGAATGAAAGCTTGATATACCCATTCCGGGAAATAATAAATCTGGTTCTATTGGTCCATAAATTTCTGCGGAACAAGGGTGGTATCCAGATAATTGGGGTTGTTTGATTATCTAAAAAGTATAGCCAGCCATTAATAGCCAATTTGAAGCTCTTAGTGGCTGATATGCGCTTTGATCAATAAGAGATAGATCATTTAATAGATGTAAGAACTCACCAGTCTGATTGTGGAAAGTATTGCCCACCTCAGTCATTGAATAGTCATACACAATGTGTGAACCATTGGCAGGTGAGATTTGTGAGAAAGCAATTGAAACAATACTCATATAATCATGTTGCAAAGTATCACCTTTGTCTATATCTAAAAAGACATCCCACACTCTGATTGTGCTGTCCCAAGAAGCTGACACAACCTTGGTTCCATCAGATGAGAAAGCAACTGCTTTGACACCAGCTTCATGACCCTGCAGAGGGGCCCCCACTTGTGCACCAGTATTGGCATTCCAGATTCTGATTGTTCTGTCCAAGGAGCCTGATACAATTCTTCTTCCATCAGGTGAAAATGCCACTGATGTAACAATATAGTCATGACCCTGTAGGGAGTTGCCTAACTGGACACAAGTACTAGCATCCCAAATCCTCACTGTTTTATCATCAGAGCCTGAAGCAATCTGTTTTCCATCAGGTGAAAATGCCACAGAATTAACACCATTGTTATAGTTGGGTAATGGAGCAGCCACTTTGACACCAGTACTGGCATTCCATATCTTCACTGTCTTGTCTTTACAGGCACATGCAATTAAAGTGCCATCAGGTGAAAATGAAACTGAGTTGACCCTGCTGTTGTTATGGCCTTCAAGGATATCACCTACTAATTGATGACCAGTCTTGGAATCCCAGATTTTTACTATATCCCAAGAGGCTGACACAACCTTGGTTCCATCTGGAGAGAAAGCTACTGACTCAATATGTGTTTCATGTCCCACCAGTGGAGCACCAATTTCAGTGCCAGTTCGAACATCCCAGATTCTCACTGTTTTATCCCAAGAACCAGACACAATTCTTTTCCCATCAGGTGAGAAGGATACTGTAGTAACAAAATTCTCATGACCCTTCAGAGGATTCATTACCTGCACACAAGTTGCAGCATCCCAGATCCTCACTGTTTTGTCATGAGATCCTGACACAATGGTGGTTCCATCAGGTGAGAAGGCTACTGAGTTTACAGCATCATTATGACCTTGTAAGCCTGGGCTAGATCCAGTCAACAACTGAATCCCACCACTTATATTGCAGATCCTCACTGTTTCATCATAAGAGCTGGAGACAATATTTGTTTCATCAGGGGAAAAAACCACTGCTGCAACCCCTTTGTCATGGAAATCAAGGGGATCACCTATTTGCAAACCAGTACTTATGTCCCAGATTCTTATTGTTGAGTCAGAGGATCCAGAGACAACTTTTGTTCCATCAGGTGAGATTGTTGCTGTATGAATATATGATTCATGACCTTCAAGGGCACTTCCAATCTGGAAACCAGTGATAGCATCCCAGATCCTTACTGTTTTGTCATGAGAGGCTGAAACTATTCTCTTTCCATCAGGTGAGAATGCTACTGAGGTGACATGCTGGCTATGACCTAGCAGTGGATTGCCCACTTGGACTCCGCTATTGGTATCCCAGATTCTTATTGTTCTATCCAAAGAACCAGATACAATTTTTCCTCCATCAGGTGAGAAAGCCACTGAAGAAACTTTGAGATCATGGCCTTGAAGGGGATTTCCAATCCGAGTACCACTCTGGGCATCACATATCTGTATTGCATTATCATCAGACCCAGAAACAATTTTTGTTCCATTTGGTGAGATTGCTACTGCATTAATATACCGGCCATGGTCTTTGAATGGTTCACAAATCTGGGCACCAGTTCTAGCATCCCAGACCCTCACTGTCTCATCATCAGAACCAGATACAATTCTAGTCCCATCAGATGAAAAAGCCACAGAATTCACAGTCCTTGTATGACCTTGCAGGGAATCACCAATCTGAACACCAGTACTAGCATCCCAGATTCTCACTGTGCTATCACTACAACCAAGCACCAATTTTGTTCCATCTGGGGCAAAATTCAAACTGCGGACTATAAATGGTGATGTGTTGATTGTTACTGTGTCTTGAGCATGCCAGTTTCCTACTTGGTGTTCAATTTTTACTGATTTATGGATGTAGGGTATACACCCTAGATTGTTCTGCCAGAATGGAATGATACTGAGATACAAGTGTGGGGTCATATCCTTAACTTCACTACTTGCAAATTGGATTAACAAGCTGTGAAGATGTTCCACTAAGGCTTTCAGTGTATTCATTTGCTGTGAGGTAACAATTTCCTATAATTTATTTGACTTAGTTATGGATTCTTTGTAGTATCAGTTGGCACAAACCTTCAACAAGAGGGTTATAATTTCTCCGCACCTAGGTAATAGTTTCATGACACTCATAGCTTCAATCCAATATATCCCTTTTTGCTTCAAAAATAGCTCAAGCTTTCCCAAAACCTCTTCATAGCTAGATTGACTGCATTTCAGGAAATGATAATTCCAGAATTGACAACAATATTTCAAAGTCTCTCCAATATTTTCAGCCACCCGTTCATTCAAGTCCTTAACTTCTGAATCAGCAATAAGAGAGGAATGGAGATTGCAGATATTGAATCTGAGTTTTTCCATGATTGTGAAACAGGAAAAAGTTAAATCAAGATGTTGGATAGATGCATTGTATATAACCTGATCATATTGCATGATAAAATCAGGAAAAGATGCATGGAATGTGAATACAAGGTTGGTTGATTTGGAAATGTAAAACACTGCTTGGAGCCTCTGGATAAGATTTTCCACAATATCATTATCATCATCATCATCCTCTAGGTTCATACCCAATAACTGGGTAATTGCATAACAAGTTAATGGTTCCCCCACAGATATAATTGTGTGAATGATTTTCCAATTTTCCAAAACCTCGGAGGGGGAAGGCTCTTCTTTAGCAATAGCACTTTCTAGAATCCCAGCATATAGCTTGCTCAGGTCTTCTGGAGTATTGTTTTCTTGTCTTAGAAAACTCTTGACCCTCTCTTTTTGTCTGGTCCGGCTTCTTCTAATTCCACTACCTCCCTTAATGGATTTGATCACTGTAGCAGCATAAATGAACAATTTCCCAGATAGGTTTGTCAACGTTTTGAGTTGTTCTTGTGAAAGAGATAAATCATGCAGTTCATCTGTGATGTAAGTGTGAATGTCCCTTTGAACAAGGTTATATTCCACTTGGTGGAGAACAAACTCATCCACTTGAAGAATCTCCTGGGTGCTGGTGATTTTAGTTATCATCCCTTCTTCAATGACCTGCTCAGGGCGGCTGGTGAAAAAGAACTTCAATCCAGTCAATTTTTTGTTTTGGATAGCAGACACCAAGGGACCAAGGACTGATTCAATACCATTGCACTCATCTAGAGCATCAATAACCACCACCATCCTCATAGATGGATGTAAATCTTTCTGCATCCCCCAGGGCTCTATCAAGAGCTTCTGAATCTGCTCTGAAGACTTCTTATGCATAACATGCACATCTCCATCTAGAACGTTCTGAACCAGAGCAGAAAAATCAGGAAAGAACATCGCTAGTTGATAAACCAAAGTCGGAATAACCAATTTGTAATCTTGACATTCAGGAATTTGGCGGGAACAGAAGAAAGTCGCGGCAAGGATGCCATGGGTTTCCTTGAGCTCCTTGCAGAGGGACATAGTGATTGTGGTTTTTCCGGTTCCGGCCATGCCGGACATCCAGTAGCCTCCAGAATGATTGTCATTGAGATTAGACTCAGTTACCCAGGCTAGGATACGGTCGAGGACTTCGGTTCGTGTACCACGGGTACAAAAGCTTCTGGATAGTTCAACACCCATGTCTGTATCAAAGAAGGCTTGATATGAGGGATTAAGTTTGTCAAGACCCGATCCCTAACAACGTTGAAAGTGAGATTGAGGATTATAGTGCAGTTTTGTAGGGATAAGTATATACCATGTTATACTGATATTGATTTCCTTGGACATTGTTAAATTGACCACCGGATATGTGGAAATTGTGAGCTTGAGAGAACATCGTAGAAGACGTTGGTGTGAATGATGGTGGGAGGTGCGGGAAGAGATTCACGATTGTCACGGGTCACAACGCTGAAGTCTATTGAGGGCAGGTTCAGTACAGCTCGTTATTAATTTGAGATTTTTGTGTGATGTTATCAGATAATGAAGCAAGAGGATTGGCAGCCATTATAAAGGCGTCACCTCACATTATTGTCGAAACCTTCCCAAGCCCAATTCCTGCACAATCGATGCTGGCATATTCATCTCTAAAGTTTTGCAGTAAACCAAACAACTACCATCGAACATTTAATTTGGACAACCGAATTTGAGGTTGGACTCGCAGCTAGAGTGGTTTCGATGCCGTGGGCTCTAGTCGCAACCAAGCTGTGTTAGTAATGGTCTAGAACAGGAGTAGCAGTTGAAGTACGACAATGATGAATCCTGGTTCTCATCTCATTTTTTGTCTATCCTTTTCCTTTTCCACTCTTCTTCGATATGATCTCTGCAAGTATTGCAAATACTTTTAGAACAAATACAGTGAACAATCATGTCTAAATCTCGTCTCCTATTCAGCATCATCTATTTCTTCTCCTTCGAGTTCATTACCACCATATCCAAGTATTTGAAAACTTCAAAAAGATAACAGAGTTTGAGGGAGGTACCTTGATACAAAGAAAGATTGAAGGTACAGACAAATCATAGGGCTAACTTGGGGTTGAAGTGATGATCATAGAGAACAAAAGACAGTGACCTTGAGAGTGTAGGAATACTTCCTCCAACGACCGAAAATGATACGTCTGGAGCATCCAAATGATCAGAATTATTTCTATCAACGAAGAATAAGGCACTGACATGTCAATGAGTAGTGAAGATTGGTGATTTCTGGTATCTATGGGGTATGTACCAGAGCGTGCGAGAAAGACTGTATCATGCCACAGTGGGATCCTGAAAATCCTCTGGTTCGAATGACGACCACAAAGCAGGCATGGAAATAGACTAAAACACACCGATTAGACACACACTCGACTGAGAACGAGGACCAGCATTCGAGCATATTTGATTTTGTTGTAAAGTGTGCACTAGTTAACACACACTGGCATCAATATCACCGACGAAAAGATTTCCCCCCGAACTTCCTATTTATGGCGGCAAGGTTCGCATGACCATCCGGAACACCAATGACAAAATAAATCTTCTGAGGGATAACAGAAAGCTCGTCTACAAGCCAGCAAGAATTGGCACAAGCCCGAAGGCACTTTTAGTCCCACTTACCTTCGGAAAGTTCGAACATCAAAGGCACCTAGTATAAGCGCTTGCAAAGTAAGCGATATTTTCGGGCGCTTGAATTCTAATAGTCTCATATCCTACCATGGGCACCTTTCTAACACTACCAGTTGAGCTCATCGCCGACGTCCTCAGCGAACTCGACCTTGACTCTCTCATCATCATCTCATATCTTTCTCGTCGCCTACACGATATCGTGTCGGACCCTTCGCTTAATCCTTGGAGAAAACCAATTCTTCGTTCGCTACGGTCCAGCCAAAATGAAGGCAGCTCTGGCTCGTTAAAGCACCTTAGTGTCAGGCGAATAGTCCCAAGGCATAACTGGATTGAAATTCTCAGCTTGGCTTCACCGTCGTTCATATTGCTTGACGCCACTCTACCTAATCTCAGGTCTGAAGAATGGGAGGAATGCTTCAATCGTAGATTTTTACCTGGTTGGAGAAAGTGGCATAAAGAGGGAAGCTGGAAAGCAACGTATCTTGAGTGTGTAAAGATTCCATTAACCCCTTGACTCGAAATTGACTCCTTTCTTTCTTTCGCTAGGGTTCTGCATCGTGTGTACCACAGGTCAGCCGTCTTTGTTGATTCAACAACCAGATAGTTCCAACTTGACTATTCAGGAGCCGCACCTCATGTACAACAGATGAATCTTGGACCAAGTTAGCGTCTTACAGACGAATGTGTTTCTCACACACTTTACCAACCTGACTTCATCAGGTATATCGTTTTGAACCGCAACGGAACAGCGAACGAATTGGAAGGGTCTTCAAGAGGTTTCAACCCTTTGGCAATCTTTAATGAGATGAAGTATGCTTCGTGCTTTCTGTCCCTGATCATAACTTACTCGTTGTATCGTAGGCTCCAGAATAACCTCATGCATTTAGAAACACGCATAAGAGTCAGTCTTCGCGGTCGTTGCTGCTTTTTCACGTTATAATTCAATAAATTTAATATAGCTCGTCGTCGAATTGACAGATGTTAGGATAATCGCCCTAGGCACCCTCGATCGACCACGAAGCACTCTTACTGTTAACCCTAATGCACATACGTTCTTACACCCGCCCGGTATCGATGATCTCCAAGCTCCCCGCAATAACCGTGTTGTCACAGACCATGGTGTTTACCCTCTAGGTCCGAATTTAGCAGACTATCGTACGTCCGGTCCTTCAAAGTTTTGCCAAGTCGTTAATCCTCGCAATCTTATGTTCTCTAGCCGGCGTATCTCCACCATCCATCGACTTTTCACATATGACGCACCCTTTACCTGTATCTTCGCATGCCAATTATCCGTGGTATACTCCTGGAGGAGGCGACAAGCGATGGCTCGGCTCTGGAGAGGTTGAAGAAGAGGGGCTGAAATGGGTCGGTGGATTAATGTTAGTGAACTCTTTCTACGCTTTCTTGTATAGGTTTTCCTAACGGTCAAATTCCATTCAATGTGCTACGTTCAATTTTCCCTCATATAGGATTATTACTCAGATTCTGATGCCGAAAACGCATGAACTCGGAGGCGACTGGCTCCCTCTCCAAGACCTTGACTTGGTCGTCGGTTCGGGGAGACAACAATATGCTTCGCTTGGGTGGAGTGACCTTTGGGCCATTGCACCTTGGATGGAGGAGAGAATTTCAAATAAGATCGATGGACCTGGGTTGGGTATTTAACTTCGCTGACATATACGAACTGGACGAGGAAGTGCATTATTGACGGCAGGGTCTTTGCGGTTTTTTTATTATTCTTTCATAAATAACATATTGCTATAAATCCATCGTTTTGCTTCCGTCTCGTTCATCTTCCGTTCCTCTTTTCTGCCTTCACAAGCCTTCACGGCGGGCGGCGGGTCAGCCGAGAATCTCCATGCGAACAAGGCAGTCGTTGCTTTGTTCCGGGTACCGTCTTTGTTACACTGAGACATCTGCCTTTTGGTATCTTGTTTCTATTCGTGGTGGTATTCTTTCTGATAACGCCGAAATCCAGAGCTGAACACACCTTCTTCTACGACCTTTGCTTTGCCTTCACAGTAAATGGTTCTGACCATCTATGGGATGCCTCGCTTAGCCAGAACGTCATCATGTTGCTAGCCCTTTGATGCGCTTCCGCATCAGCTCCGGAGAAAGAACAATAAAGGAAAACCTGTTTGTCAAGACTAAGGTCCTTTCAGTATTTGCTTCCTTTGCGCTCTCCACAAACAAAAACAAAGATGAGCGACATTGGCGCCCTAGTCGACGGTTCTATATAAATGGACCTCAAATCAGGCCGTCTCGTATTTTTCGCCTCGCCTAATTTCGACTTAGACTTCGTTGTAGTCCCCCTTCCTCTCCCTTCCTTCTTGCTTTCCCTTACTTGACCGCTTAATAGACGTTTGCAGGGCAGCGTCGTACGAACGATACATACCTAATTTCTTCGACGTCTCTCCTACGATCGTTTCACGTTGCACGCGTTAATCTTGCACCTTATATTCCTTCTTAAACCCGATCCTCCGCGTCTCCAATATCGACGTCGTCGCCACGATGCCCAAAGTTTCCGTTAGATCTCGCTCTGACTCGTCCTCCGAGACTAATGGTACTAGAGTAAGTACGCCTTCTGATTTTTCTCAAACATTTTATCTGATAGCATCTCAACCATAGTTCCCGTGCAAATCTTGCGACAAAACCTTTGATAGAAGCAGTGATTATAGACGACATGAACGAACCCATACCGGAGAAAGGTAAATTGAGTACTCATTTTATGCTAAAGATCGAGCCTTATGCTGACTACTACACAGGCCTCACAGATGCACTTGGCCCGGATGCTCAAAGTCCTTCGCCCAATCGTCCGGGCTCAAAACCCACATGAATACTCAGTAAGTTCGGCCTTTCTCCTTGCACGGCTTTCTTGACATCTTTCCAGTACAGGAGCACAACCTCACCTATGTGGCTACTGCGACTCGAAATTCGGGGACCCTTCCTCTCGCTCGAGGCACCGCCGGGAAGTTCATGGGGATGAAGGTACTCACGAGTGTCCCTACGCCGGATGCCATTCGACGTAAGTATTTTTCGCTACAAAAAGCGCAAATTATTTTCTCAAATGATTTTTTGGGGCTCCTGCGTAGGATCAAACGCCCCAAGATGTTTTACGACCACGTTTATGAAAAACACAATGTGCGCCTTACCCCAGAGGAGGTGGAAGCGTGCAACCCTTATATTCGGAATGGAATCTGCCCACGTAGCAAACGCTCCCAAAGCGGTCGCAAATCCGCGCGCACGTTGGTCTTAGCATCGACTTCGCCATCGACCGCTTTAGAACCTACCTACCTCTACGCTGACGGGGTTGAAAGTTCTCCGATACTTCAACTTCCTGTCCCACTTGCAGTTCCGGTAATCCCTGAATCATGTCAGTCTGCTTGTACAAATCCGACTCTAACATATTTACTTATTATGAATTTCCTACTGCAGATCCAAATCAGTCGACTCGCAACATGTTTTATACCTACGATATGGGCTCTCCTTTCGTGGAAAGTTCAGAAGGATACTCTAGCGCTTCACCCTCCCCTTCTTCGATTTACGGTTGCGATGATAGTCAAAGTCAGCAGGGATATAACTCTCCGCATACCTCCGGTACGCCGATGGGCATGCATGACCAGGCGTTCAATCTCAACTACTTAACTATCCCACACTCGTACGCAGCTTCTTCCTCTTCACATTCCTATTCCACCTTTGGCTCGCCCGCTCTTACCTGCCGCTCGAGCGTCGCCTCTTCCTCTCTCTCGCCTTCGCCTGCTCCAGAGACAATGGAAACGACGAGACTGTATTCAACAGTGCATCACGCGACACCTGAACCTGAACTTTTGATGGGATTCTCGTTGGATATGGGACAAGTCGCGCTTGGAGATCCCCTTGGTACATTGAATCTCAAAGACATCGAACGCGATGTCCAGCTGGAGACCTTCCTCGCCTCTCTGAATGAGGGAGTCGACAACCATGGAATGGGCCCAGAGAATTCTGCTTCCTCGCCTTGGGGCATAGAACAGGGATATGGGATAAATGGTATGTCGGTGGTTGGACAGATGTCCTAGTGACCGTCCACGCATGTTCCGAGCCGCTAGTCGGTTTTCGCCTGATTTATGATTGGACTATTCACTACACTCGCTACTTCGTAAACTACTTTACAGTTTTTCAAAAGTTGAATTTACTACGTAAATATTATAATCTTACTCTTACTTACTCGTAATAACTTCAATCATTGAAAATCATGCAAAAACTCTGTTTGACTGGGAATAGCTTGTGGAACATCTTGAATCTTTCCAGTCAAAGAAATATTCATATAACGTCCTACTTGCTCCAAATTTGACCTTCACTGCAGACGGAGAAATAAACTATGTACACAGCAAAACAAATCACAAGGAGGAAGTGCACATGCATAATCAATGTCCTAACATCTAAATTGAATCGTCTGTACAAATCAATCCAGTTCCAAGTTCAGATCGGGTATTGGGCTCTGAGATGTGGACCATATTTCTTTCCATTTACTCGAGGGAATGGGATTGGCAGCTAGAGTAGTAATTAGCCATGAGTTTTCCTTTGTCATGAATTTGGAGTGGACTCACCGGCTTCCCGAGCATCGAATCTTATTGGAACCATAGTCCACTTCTCCTTCTTCATTTTATCTGCTCGGGATCTGCGCATTCTCCAAGAAATCTTACTAGACCCCATATTCATCTCATCGACAACGGTTAGAACATACACGTCTCCTTTTCTTGTGGCCCGTCCCTCGAGCACTTCAGCCATGTTCTTAGCCAACCAGTCCGCACCATATTGGGCTTTAGGGCCAATGAAAATGAGGACCGCACATTGATCTGTGTTCAAGCGCATCATCTGTGTGGGAAAGCACCAGCCCGAGGGTCCTACAGTTGCCTGGTAATGGCCAATTTCATCCTGAGAAGTGATACAGATTTCATCGCTGGTGCTGTCATGAGCAACATGGATGGGGAACGGCAATGCCTCGTGGGCAATGCTGAGCATGTTCTCCCAGTCTACTTTCCACGGGTCAAGAAAGAGTTTTCTTCGTTGTACGACTCGCTTCGCTTCGATAATTGGTGTAGGCATGGTACCAGAATACGGAGTTGCCGTCGACATGAGCCGATCATGAAGAACGTCGTGCAGAAATTCAGAGAGCCAGTGACTAGGGAATCCGACGGTTTGCAGATGAAGTAAGATATTCAAGAAGGGAACGAGATTGTTGGGATACATGACGCGGAAGGCTTCCATGCGAGACTGCGGTGGCGCAAGGGTGTACACTAGTACGCGGGAAAGCCAGTGAATCAACTCTACGCGAGAGGCTAACTGGGAAAGCGGTAGAGGGAAGGGCTGAGAAGGCGGAGTAAGCAAAATGAGACCAAAGACTGGCTCCATGTGCTTGACTCGGTATCCCAAAAATCGAGGCACATCAGCAACAGATAGAAGAGTATACCTATATATCAGTTGTGAGAGATCGTGATGGTGAAGGATATATTGACGCTACTCACGTATGGCAGAAATCAGCGGGAGATGCCCATATACCTGTATTAAGAAGACAATTCGACGCAGCTGCAGAATATAAATGACGATCATCCAAGTTTGGCAAGATATAAAGGGCCATATTCATAGGTCCGTGCGTATAATCTCTACAAGAATATTGTTTTCAGTTCCACAGCAGCCATTTTTGACACGAAGGGAGAACCCCACTCACGGCACATTGCTCAACCACATACGGGTGAACTTCCGAGGAAAATTGAATGGGCGATCGTCCCCGACGCGCATCTTTGCAAGCGTATGGCACATGTCTCCTTGTAGGAACTCAAACATGATTTTTCCCTTCAGGATTTTGATAGCTTCAGCAGTGGCCTTGAAAAAAATGGATACCACTGAGAAAGAGGGACAGTCTTCGTCAACGCTTGAATGGGCATCGAAAAGCCCTTTGCGTTTATTGAAGCCGTGGATTTGTTGAAGGAGTTGGAAGGCATCGAGAGTGGCCAAATTGGGATAACCGTCGCGAGGAGGTCTGTCAAACCACGCGTCCTAGATATGTATATAGACTGTTAGTAGTTTCCCGGAAAAGATACGACGGGAAGCCTCAACGCACGAAAAGGGAGTAATTAGGCTTCCATGTATTTTCCATTTCTCGTGACACCTTGTTTGAAAAAAAAACAAAAATCAACTAGAGCCAATCCACGGAAAGAGATGATTTGCAATAAGACGCACCTCATCCATCGAAGGAGGAACACCATCATTTCTGCGAATACAAGACCACCAATCAGCCATGTTCCGCCCACGGAAACTCCTCGGAGGCACGAAACATCTCGTTTTGTGATACATCTGTGCCTCTCTAAAAAGATCTGGTGTATTCCGTGCAGACCCCGCTTTCTCGTTCATATCCGTCAACATATCCACGCTCATCTCCTTCCCAGCCTCGATCCACTTGGCTCGTTCTCGTGGTTTATCACGTCCTGGACAAGGAGTCGGAGCAGCCTTTGCTATTAATTCAATGAGCATGTCTTCCGGTAGTTGATTGATATTGTTCATCATGGCTTGACGTTCAGAGTCGAAGTTGTTTTGCATCCTTGCAGAAAAGCCGGCGTCGAGTCCGGGGTGGCCTCCGGTTAAGAAACTATTTGTAGCTTTTTTGCTGATTGGTCGATGGGCTTGAACCATTCTGCGTGTTGTTCGGGACTGGGAGGATACGATGGTTTGCCAGTACTTGAGCGACGCAAGTAAGCCGGGTATGGATGAGGGTATGATGTGGATCCATGACGGAAGCTGGGTCGAAGGTTCAGATCTAGTGAGCGCGTCATGAGTCTTCTGGATGGTCTGTTGTAACCTATTGGGTTCAACGAATATAATATCATGAGTGAGCTCACGCTTATGTGCAAAACGAGTAAGACCCCCGACCTTTGAGCACACTTGTCTGGCATAACCACACCAGCATACGTATAGAACAGAGTCGCCAAGATCTCTTCTTCGAGAGGTGTTTTCGCATTATGAATGAGATCGTCCAAGAGCATCATTATACAAAGATCGCGAGCTAGAGCAGTCGGGTGAATATCAAGAAGAGTTAGATGCACGTTGATATCTTTTTGTTGAGCCGGACGAAGTTTTTCGTGGGCCTTTTTGAGACCGATCATGGTACCGAATACATGACGAGCTATGTAGATTAATAAAAAGAGAAGGGGAAAAGTAAGTCCAACAATATCGTTTCGTAGTAATTAGGTTGGTGACAGAGATGGGTAGGACAGGTACAACTCACCGTCACCGACGCCGGCGAATAAGAAAGAGAGATTTTTCCTTTGGGAGGATGAAAGCGAGGCTAGGTCGATAGGATCTTGTTCTTCTGGCAAAGCGCCCCAATCATCAACGAGGGAGATGACTTCATCTTGACCAATCTGTTCAGGAAGAATTTTAGTAGGCGTAAGGCAAGTCGCAAAAAAACAAAAATGCGTCGACGAACAGAATAATATTCCTTCGAGGGTGACCTATGTGAAGAAAAAAGAAAACCACCAGTCAACTTTCAAGTTGACGAATACATTTATCATTAAAGAAGAAGACAAAAAAACACACACACTGCTTTTTTGAAAATAGGCAAATCCGCAAGTCGATGTCGCGCGTTAACAACATCAACCTCCGAAATCGCGCTACGCTCGTCCCTGACGCGTTGAAATTGTTCCCAAAGACGCGACGTATCACTGTCAGGATTACTACTACTAGTACCCGCTCCAACAAACCTCAATCGCTCCAAAACATCCTTTTCTCCATCGTTTACCAAACCCAGTGACGACGCATCGATGGACCCATTGAGGATACCATGGATGAATGCTTTCGGTAGCCTCGAGGAGAGCTTCTGAAGAAGGACAAGATTCTTCTCTTGATCATCATCTTGAAGAGCCTGAACTTTCTTTGCTGCACGACATATAGCGTGGACGCATCCTGCGTAATCACCTAATTCGTACAAGGCAGCACTGAGATTCGAAGAAAACACCGGATCTTGAGGGGTTTGTGATTCCGCCTTGATAGTATGGCGGAAACGGGGCGTGAATGAGTAAGTTGGTAAGTTGTGGTGTGACATTACACTTGATACGGTGGAAATTGATCCACCAACTCTGAAACTCACCTTTGCGTATTTCTCTGCAGATCTGCAGTGAGTGGGGAAAAAAAGAAGTTTTGATTTCAAGTAAGGTCAAGATTCATGGAAATGAAATCGATGCGTACTCGGCAAATCGTCGTGCTTTGAAAAGCGCATTTCCTTCTTCCTTGAGTGCAGAGACGTCTGATGCTACGGTGTTGGTTGGTGTCATGGTGGAGGGGGGGAGAAAGAACGTTCAGTGAGAAATAAGAATATGTAATAACCGCGAGGCGCGAATTCAGGGATATCGATCAAATAAGACGGTGGGAAATTGTTCCAGCTTTGAGCTGAGTATCCAGGAGGGTGCAAGATATATACTAAAGTTGTGATTTATTGTGCTCGGATGGCAATATATGGCTGAGATTAAACAGAATAAATTCATTCACCGGCGAAGATCTTATTATCGATGATATGTCAATGAGCATCCATTGATACAAGAGAGATATACAGATAGGTAATACAATATGTTCAATAGAGAAATAGGCTGTAGATAGAGTTCCTGAAGACAATGGTATTTAGATAGTCCGCGATCTTCTGAGCATGAACAGGTAAATCTATGGGAAACGTGATAGTCCAAAGAAAGATACGCACGAGCGAGAAATATTTCTCGTAGCATATAGCAAGAAATTTCTTGCAGTTTATCGTCTGCACAATCACGTTCAGATATACATTCTCTTCCAGCCAGTGATATCGGTAGGAGGGTACGTACAACAACGAAAGGGTCAAATCACCATGCACCCGTGCTTTTATTTCTACAGCAACATCCAAATTCAAATCGAGCCTCAGCTTCAACGGCTTGTCTCCTCCTCCTCCTCCTCCTCCGCCACCTGTTGCTCCACCAGCCAATCCGCCGACGGTATCACCAACAGTTCCTACTGCGCCTGTGGCCGTATCTGCGACTTCGTTTACGCCAGGGAGTCCACCACCTCCGACGCCGGGCAGTCCACCGCCTCCACCTTGTCGTTGTTGGTTTCCGCCTCCACGACGACGGTTACGAGGTGCTCGTGATCCAGAGTCACTTGCTACAGAAGCGCTACGGGAAGCGCGTCGGCGTGAACGTTGAGCAGGCTGCGGAGGACCTGAGGAGGGTGAACGAGAACTGTCGCCGGCCATGGGTGAAAAAGATGAAGAGAGAATATATGCGCGCGTTTCAAGGTGTACAGTTTATAAGGCTCCAAAACATGACGATTTCTATGAGATCACTGCAGTTCATGTGATTTCTTACTGCGGTGAGCAATCTTTCAGTGAGCATCGTGACTCGTACTAGGTTTCTTCTCAGGTTAAATTAGCTGGTACATAGATTCTGAGATACACAAGGTACCTAAGGCCTAAATAAGTTTCTCCCTTACGCTTTCTTCCCCTTCGCGCTCAGCCAATACGACCCATTAGGCCACTCATACTCTGCGATACTTGTCTGGAACATCTCAATACTGTATCCTTCCAGGGGATTCGTAGGTACATTATACCTTCCCTTGGAGTTGATAGAACAAGGAGCAATGAAATGCTCGTGCAAGTGATCTACAAATTCGAGGACGTTGCGTTCCATCGTTCCGGAGATAGCGATGTAGTCGATTAAGCTGTATATTAGGGATTAGTTGAGAGAATTGATGGAGAAGTGCTGTCTACTAACCTCAAGTGAATGACATACTCGCACAAACCAACACCACCTGCGTGAGGACACACGGGGACACCGAACCTAGAGATAGTGTAAACAAAATACGTAGGTAGAGGGATCTGACTCACTTTGCAGACATCAACAACACACTGATAACCTCACTCACACCCGCCAACCGACACGAATCAATTTGGCATACGTCGATCGCTTCGGCCTGTAACAATTGTTTGAACACCATCCTGTTATGTGCGTGTTCACCCGTAGCAACACCGATTCCGTGGGGTTTCAGAGCTTTCCGAATAGCTGCATGGCCGAGGACGTCGTCTGGTGCTGTGGGTTCTTCAATGAACCTACATAGATATATCAACAGATGTAAGGATTGAATACACAGAGAAAATAAACACATACCAAGGCTTTATCTCCTCCAACCCTTTCACATACTCAATTGCTTGTGGTACATCCCACACCTGGTTTGCGTCGATCATCAAAACGCTTCCGGTGGGACCAGCATTCTTGCCCTTGAGATCTTCGCTGTTAGGATCGCGAGGATGGGTGCCAGCAGGAAGATACTGTGGATCGTCAATGATAGATCGGATAATCTTCCCTCGGCGGAGATCATTAGCCTGATCAGCACCGACTTTCATCTTGAAGTGATTAAATCCCATGGCCACGGCTTCCTTTGTAAGACGAGCGACTTTCTCGTCCGAGTAACCAAGCCATCCAGCAGAAGTAACGTATGCAGGATATCTACAAAGTAACATAGAAGATCAATAGCTAATCTGGAGAATTAAAATGTCAACTGACCCAATTTCCCGAACCTTCGCCTCCCTTTCAGCCTTCGTACTCTCGATTTTCTTTAACATATCCAACGCTTCCTCCTTCGTGATTGCATCCGATATATACCTCCAAGCCGCGGAACGCACCAGCTCCTCCGGCGAAAAGTCCACTACGAGTTTCCATAGGGGCTTTTGCCTCGAACGAGCGTACATGTCCCATAAAGCATTGTTTACGGCTCCGGTAGCAATATGAATAACACCTTTCTCAGGCCCGATCCAGCGTAGTTGAGGATCGGACATCATAAATTCCCAAGTCTTCCCCATGTCGGCGAAGAGGTCTTCCGTGTCTTTCCCAATAAGCCTGTTGGCGACTTCGCGGATGGCCATGCATACCTGGAATAGATGTGTATCACGAGTGCGTTCGTGAGGGGGGGAATAATACTTACGATATCGTTTCCTCGTCCAATAGTAAAGGTCATCCCATGACCAACGAGTTCAGAGTCTGTCAACAAGGTGATATAGGCCGAGGAATAGTCACAATCGGTGTTCCTATGATATATTATACAGTGTATGAGCAACGACAACCTCCAGGATTCACAATCCATTCTTACATGGCATCCGTGCCATCGCCAGTGAGCGACGTCGGAAATCTGACATCTAGATGTGAGGGGATCAGGCAAGCAAAAGTTAGAACTGAAGTTCACGTACCGTGTACTTCAAATCCAGTTACCTTAGGCATAATTATAAAATATATACTCCAAGAGGAAAGGTAAGTGGGGAAAGGGAAAGGGTGGTCATGGTTCTTGCTCGAAGAGGTGTTTAAAGGTATTCGGGAATTCCGACCCGGAGTACTCCGGCTAGCCCGCTAACTGCGGGCCGCCTGCTGACGGTCCGGATTGATCGATCCGGCTTTTTCAAAGCGTCAATAAGCGCCCGTTCCTTTTTCTTCTTGTTCCTTGTTTTTCGTCGCCACGATGCTCTCGCGACGAATTGGGAAGTAACAAACGGTCAAAAAACACAATGCCCTGGGTCGTCAAGCTATGCAATACTGATCCTCAATTCAATCATGTAATGAAGTAAATCCCCGTCTGCCGTCCTTGTTTTCTTGTCTTGCTTTTTTGGCTTTTTGTTGTACACAACTCTATCACTCTATAGGATAGGTACAATGTCACTTCTCCCTGTCAACCGCCTTCAGACTATTCAAGACTGGATGTGTTCAAGATCGAGTTCAACAAGTTTCGAAGGTCCTTGACGATAGGTACTTTTATCAATGCTCTTGTCCTTCACTGGAAAAGGGCCTTTGTTATGCGGCTGGTGACCGAGGATGGTTTATAAAGAACGCTTTGGCTGGTCGGATCCTTCCAACGAAATTTGTTCTTTCTGCTTTCGAAATCAAGTAGAACGCATTCTCAGGATTCACTGACTACACATCTCATCTCTTAACGCGTTATTCTCAATTATCGTTACAATGGTCGCATCTCCATACTACTTACCCCAATACACTACCACTACCGCTCCTGGTCCGGCGCGGAATCATTGTGATCACCATTATCACCAGCATAGTGCAGCATCTTTCTACCAGTCTACCAAAGCTACCAATCAAAGCAGTTATCCTTACAGTGCCAACGCTGTACCATCATCCTCCCATTACATCAGACGTACGCCCCCAAAACCGGTCATAGCCAGACCCCTCTTCAAACCTACGCTCCCAAAAGACCAAACCGATCTCCGGGTGCGCTTATTCCATCAACTCAGAGACACAAGTCTCCGTTCACACGTTCCAGGCGGCTTCCCGTTCCGCCATACCCTCAGCGACTTGAAAGGGAAGACCAAAGTCAGGGTGTCGTATGAACCGTACGATATACGTCTTTCTAATGAGAATATCGGTCCCAACGAGAGTATTGGGATTGTTTACAAAGGACCTGTCTCCGCGAAGCATGCGGGGAATAATAATGATGCTTTTGCTGCGGGTGGATCATCCGGCCCTCGATCATCTCCGCAATATTTTACTTGGGAAGCATATGCCTCGGTTCGCGAGGCCCGCTGGAACGGGCAAGGGTATATGTACTCGAAATCTTCTCGTACGTCCAACAAAACTATATCCGAAGATTAGTTACTAATCTATCAATTATATTCTTTCAGATAAAACAATCCTAGCTCAAGTCCGCGTTGACCCAGCTGTTATGCACACTTCCTACGGCAAATTCCTTCGAACCGATTCCCGAGCCATTTCTCGTGCACTTGCCATCTCCCTCGAGCTCGGTGTCCTGATAACCATCGTCTCCGAGGACGAAAACCTCAATTCGTGTATCGACAGTAGCTTGTTAGCAAGATCCATGATGAGACACAGACGGGATGGCGACGTCCAAGTTGCTCCGGAGTATTTGCGGTACTGGTCTAAATGTATTTCGACCGACGAATATGAATATGGATATGGTGAAAATGGACTCGAAAAATCGATATTATACATCGGTACAACCAATAATGGACACGTGGATTTGCTGTACTCGTATCCGAACAGGCGCTGAACGGTTCTCTGCTCTTCAAGCCCTTGGTATTCTCATGTTCCACGCTTTTCAACTCTTCCTTGGTCGCCACAATTTCACCTCCCGATGTACCGCTACGCTCACGACTACTTGCATTTCCTACCACGATTCGTTCACGAACAAAAACTCGACGACATTCACGTTCAACATGTAGATTCTAAATGACACCTTGCACGCTTCAATTGTTTTATCTGATCGCTTTATACTCGCGTCCTTCGCATCGCACAATCACATTTGATCTGCCTATCTATGTACTGTATTTTTATTCCGTTCTCTCTTTTTTTTCTCGACGACCTATTTTACCCTAAGTAGTGTATTATACGTGTAATTAGGAAATATATAATCGTTTCCTTCAACATGTGCTATAGGACCCATTCATTATCCGTGAACAAACTTTCTTCCTTCCTCATCCGAATGAAGCGTCCTATCAATGACAGATTGCACACGTACTAATGTCATGGAACTTTACCAAAACAGTGGCATGTACTGTATGTGATTCAATCATCCAATCCTCGGAGACTCACACGACATACTTACAAATGTTAGGTCTGTCCATCATGATCACCACATTTATATACGCAACTTCGCAGGTATATTCTTATTTTCCCTAGGCCCAACGCTTCCTTTACCCAGGCCGTGCACACGATGGATTCTCACTGAAAAAGCGGCTCTTGCCCTTCCTAGAGGACTATCTATGCACTCGCCTCGATTTCATTAACGACACTGACGACTTGAAGCCCCTCAGAAGAATCTCATTAAAGCTCGACGTCAGTTCTCAAAATCCGACAAGTAGAACCGTTATGGCTCTTCAGACTCAGACCGAATCATCTTTCTCATCCTCATCTACTTCTACTTCTGCTTCTTCTTCTTCAAGTTCAGCAACCACAACAAACGACAACCCCGATAGCGGAAGCTTCTTCACCCCAACATCCTCACCACCTCTCATCCTCGCCTTTCTCGCCATCGGACTGCTTGTGACAGCTATCATCGCGGCCCTCGGCTGGCGTCGTGCGTATTTTGTTGCACGATTCAGATCTGATGTAGGACGACGCCAGATGGGAAGGGGACAATTTCATAAGGCTGAGATGGATATTGGGAGTAAGCCGAAGCTGTGGGATTTGCGGACTACTTCTAGGATTTCGGGATCAGGATCACATGTAACAGGAATAGACTCAGCGGCAGGTAGAGGAGCAAACGGAATGGAAATGTGCAGTAGTGGGGCAGGGAAATTCTGGTCGAGGTTGCATGCGGACCAGGAAATTGAAATTAGTTGGGAAAACATCATGGTGAGTCGGTATGGCGTGGAACATCTTCAATCAGTAAGATACAACACTGGATTGGCTGATTTACTGCACTCCATAACATAGCCAATATCAGTGACTCCGTTGATTCATGCGAACGACGACGAAGATCGGAACTCTGATGAACTCGTCCAAGAATTATTACCCTCACCAACTTCCTGGATTTCCCATATCGTCTCGCAAAGCAGGACAGTCCTTGTATCACTCTCACATCATCTCCCAGGTCGAATTCATCACCATCACCGACAGCACTGGGTCCATGAGGGCTCGGATGCAATAGAACCTTCACTGTCAGACCCGCCTGCGGAGACGGACAAGGGAAGGTTTGAGGCAGTGGTCGACAATATCTCCAGGGATCAATACGAGAGCCTTCAAATCGCGGTGGCGATTGCTATGCCGATGCCAAAGGTCGCCCGAGATAAGGAATTGGATGGAAATTTAGGTGAGGTGGATGAACGGCGACCAGAGATGTATGAGTATGCCTTGGGGTTATGCCGAACGTCATGCAGCGGTGCTGAGGGACACGAGTTTGTCGAGGTGACGAGCAAACCTGTATTACCACATTGAATATTGAATACCAATCCCGATACCATTGCACCTCTGGTCATTCCTACCGAAACGGTGAGGGTACGACACGGGTTGGCGATGGCAAATTAGCTTCGTCGTCGATCCTCCTTACTGACAATATACACGTATTCTCCATGTCGGGTCTACCTTCAAACGACACAGAGAGCCCTCCAAACCAAGAATGTCGCATCAAACAATCACCTCGTTGTATTCCCTCCTCCCAGACTGCCCTCGAAAGATCCAGTGCACCAGCCGCTCTCACACGAGCGTAGAATGTGTTCAAGACTATCGTTTGAGTCTTCGGACACAAAGTATTAAATGATTCATGCGAGAATGGTTGTTTGAATGCATCGTATATTGCATCTAACACATTTCGCACTGTTACTCCTGAAAGATTTTGTGTTTCGATATACCAAGTGTCCGAGTCAGGTATGATTCCACAGTGAATACGCAAGTGAGTGAGTGGAGGTCGTGTAGCGGGAGCTGATAGTTCGTGAGATCGAAGTAACCGTGGCGGTTGAACCGTGTTAACGCGAACTAAAACAGTTGACGGTGCTTCGCGGATGTTCCATGAAAGGAGCGAAGGATTCTGGATCCCCTCTATCATTGTGAATGGCTGATTAGAGAGTAGAGGGTGGATTTGCCTCGACGCAGGCATTATACAGGGATGACGGTGGGGGGTGGGTATCGAGGCTTGAAGCGTTGGGCGAAGGAAAACGAGGGAATATAGTGATGACGGAGAAGGCTCCTTTTCACAGTTAACAGCATTTTGAATACTTACTAGAGCAAGGTAAATTCATTGAGTATGTACCGACTCATCATCAATTGCAATAGGCGGGCGGTGCACAAGAAGGCGCGCCTCCGCGCCTGTGCGAACCCTAAATAAGTCTGTGAATTCGGTTGGCAGTGCTTTCAACGAAAGAAAAATCAGAAATGCATCATCAGATTAAATACAAATACCGTGCTCTGAAACTCTTGATCATCAAAGAGTCGACGCGAGTCATGACCATGATGCGGAATAATGAATCAAAGGTGTTTTCACCAAATTCTGATAGGTTCTGATTCGAGCTCGTCACGATACGTGTTGAAATATCGTTACCGCCTATGTACAGAATATATGGGATGCCAATGCCCTGTGTACTAGATGAATCATCCTCATTGAAGCTTGATCAATGATGTCTAGAGACGGTCCTGGTACAGTTGGGGGGGACTTGATAAAACTTCAAAGCTTCGTCATGCGCTTGCACCTATCGACGGGTATTCATAGGTATTCATCTGTATTCATGCCCAGACAATTCTATACCGCAATAAGGTAATTTGGTACAGGTCGTAGCTTCCGACAACTCTAGAGGGTTTGTACTTGTTTCAGAAAACTTGCGCGCAGAGAACTCGGAACTTGTCAGAGGCGCTCGAAGATCTAGGATTCACGGTGATAGTAAAGGACAGATGATAAAATTAAGCTTATATCTTCAATTATGTAATTCTATCAACTTCCTGCTCCCTCCCACCTTCAAGTTGGCACCGCGCTGTGAGTCTGTGACCCCCTTACAAAACAAGAATGAGGAGGAGGAGTAATACCTCGCACCCCTGGTGCCTGCACCACCGTAAAACGCGCCACGCAGTAACGAATGACATCACACTAAATTCGCTCCATCCATTGGGAAGTATAATTTAAAAAAATCACCTCTATTCCCTGAGACCACTTACCAAAAAACCAACTCTGAATCAACAACAATCATGTCACAACCCAGACAAGAAGACCCAGCCAATGTCCGTCTCGGTGAAGGACTAGACAACGCCCCTCCTCCACCGAGCACGACAAACGAAGATCGCACGGACGAGGAGAAGAAGAACGAAGCTGAGATCGCTGAACGTCTCTCCCGACTTATCGAAGATGCCAATTCCAGAGTGGTTCCCCTCACCAAGATGATTCGCAATGTGAATAGAACTTCTGGATAGATCATGTCTTCGAAAGAAATTTACTTGCCCTCCACAGCACATCGAAAACATGGAAGCCCGTCCAGACGACGACAAGAATGAAGACGAGCTTGTTCAACAAGTTAGACCGCTCCTCCAACAAGCAGAGAAAATCATGAATGAATGCCAAGGGATGATGAAAGGCGCTGATCCAGATAATAAGATCTCTGATAAAGCAAAGCGACACCAACAGACCCACAAGGCTACACCGGAAGAGCAGAGGTTGGCGGAGGCGTTGAAAGTGGTGAGTACAATGTCCCGCTGAACTTGAGAATCTTCGTGGACTCATTGTGCTTGAAACGCATATGGTATAACGGCTGCTAACTTTCACAGATGATTGAAGAAGTCGGAGGAACTATTGAATGGGCTAGGGACAAGCTCGATAGCTTCCCCAAAGCAAAGCGAGATCTCGGTCCACTGCTTGATGCCCTTGGTCGTGAGTCATACCCCTTACCGATATCTTTATTCCTCACTCATAATACACTAATTTTATTCACCAATATAGAACCGCTAACACAAATCGTCTCCGGAGTCGCTATGCTCCTCGCAGGCGTCTTGAACCTCGTCAATAACCTCCTCAGCGGACTTGGATTGAGCGGCCTGTTGACCGGTATCCTTGGCGCTACGGTACGGATTTTCTTGTTTAGTAACATAGGGCATTTTCGAACTCTCATTTTTCTTCAGGGTCTTGACAAGATATTCATTGGCCTGGGACTCGGGAATCTGTTCCCGAATGCAAATAAGAAGAAATAGATCGATCGCAGTCCTTTCTTTTCAGCTGGACAGCGGAAATAGACTAGAATAAATCGTGGTTTGTTATACATAGTTTGCTACGCCTAATGTCTCTTCTTGTATCATGTATGAAAATTGAGATATGTAGCACAAATTTCGACCCCGGTTTGTGTGCCATGGGGCCTAGAGTTAGGCTCACTAACAATACAATGTTGGTATTGACTACCAGTGCAAAAGCACTGGTACTACAGTAACTGTTTTGGTGAGGAATCTATATTGGAGATGCAACTGCTGTATTAATCATATGATGCTGGCTGGGTGTGGACCTCACTTTGACTCTGTTGCTAAATTGGGCTGGAAGAGGAAATGACTTGCAAAACTTGCAATAAAACAATATCCTCTCAAAAAAGAAGAAAAGAAGAACGAGACTTGAGCACCTCAGTTCAAAGTTGGGTAGAAACAACAAAAACAAGTATGTAGAACCTGGATGCCCAGGGAAGGGCAAAGAACAGAATGCCCCTTCAGCCATACTCCAACACTACGAACCAGTGAACAACTCAGGACAGGGTAAAATAGTTCATCTGCAAAACATGTATACTCGCCAGAGCAAGGATACTAGCTGGAGAGTGCTCTCCAGCAATGAAAGCACCCAAAGCAAAAATCAAAGCCTGCTCTGGGTGCTTTCACTGCTGGGAAGTGCTCCCAAGTGCTCTGAGCTGCTTTCGGCTATTTAGCCGAACATACAGGTTTTGCAGATGTTGCGAATGTGCACAAATGAATAAACAATGTACTTGCTACTTTGACAGGTACATGATAATTTGAATCAAGAATCCCAATGGGTTGAATATCATTGCCTAATGAGAAGTATTGATTTAATATAGAGGAGTCAGTTGCCAATCATTTGTTCACAAGAATATTTATCCACACTCACTTGGTTTCATCAACACCATTACTGTGGGAGACCATCACTCTGACCAGCCTTGGATCAAGTCGTTTGATTCAACTAGACATCTGCAAAACATGGATATTCGGCTAAGGGCTGAGAGCAGATCCCAGCAGATCCCAGTACCGAAAGCACTGAGAGCAGGCTGCTCTGAATGCTTTCACTGCTGGGAAATGCTTTCAACTGCTTTCGGACCCTTAGCCGAATATCCAGGTTTTGCAGATGGAGGACTAGGAGGACCTCTCCTTCCATAACTGTTCCTACATAGGGCCATGTGATAGGAACCTCTTTCATCAGCAAAAGAGACCGTCGCATGTGTTGCATTGCAAATTCCAGGTGCATTTGCGATGCATCCTGAGATGAATATGTACTGTATGGTGACTCCCGAGGCGGCACGATGGGAGCTACTGTCACGATGCAATGCGAGGGTCCTATAGAATCAGTACAATGAAGTACGAGGATCCTATAGAATCAGTACGATGAAGTACAAGGGTCCTATAGAATCAGTACAACGAAGCACGAGGAACGCCACATCGCAACCAGCGAAAAAACCGAAAGCCAGCCACCCGAAACCGGAACCGAGAAACACAAAATATGAAATTTAAGCACTAATATTCCGCAAACCCCTCATAGTCTTCATCAATCCCGTTGTCTTCTCCATCTTCTGGCCCTAGAACATCCTCCAACTCACCATCACTACCATGATTTGCCACTTCCACTTCCTCTTCCTCCTCACTGACAATAACAGCATCACTCTCTCCATCCTCCTCATGGACAAGAGCAGTAGCTGCTGCATCGAACATTCTATCCTTATCTCCAGGCTTGACATTGTTTTGCTCTTCGAAAACTCGGGTGGAGGAGAGAGTGGACTTGTGACCAACGCCGCCACCACGAAAGCGCATGAACATGTCACGATCAACCCACATGTTCACATAGTAGCGAAAATAATCTTCACCGTTATCGGCCTCCCGTCTTGCTAACGAAGGACCAACGAGAAATTGGTCAGTTTTCCCATCGGAAAATGCAGGGATAATGTGACATCCACGGATAACATTACTAGGGTCAACAAATCCAAACGATTCCGGATTACTGGTGTCAATGAAGCCGAGCTTTGGCATGTGCTTGGTGGAGATACCATACTGTTCCTGTTCATTTGCTAGTCCAAACCAGCGAACGAACAAAAAGTCAAGTTTTTGAGCAAGAAGGGATTGAGAGAGTCCACTGGAATGAATGACATCAACATGGTAGACTCCAATGATTCGAGCGAACCAATAAGGGTGCTCGGAGGAGGTCTCTGGGTCTCCAGAGAGCATCATGATGTCGGAGTGGGTTCGAGGATTGCATGAGTCCTGGTTGCGACGCATGTCATATGTTGTATAATTAAGACGTATGACCTTATGGCGGAAGATCTTGTTATTTTTGAAGGTAATTGTAGTACGCTGTGCAGCGGAAAATTCACGTTCGTTTTGAGGTATGCCAAGAAGTCGTTCCAAGATATGATCCTTAAGTTTTGGAAGGAAGTTCTACAAATCGGTCAGTACAAAGACTTAACAATGACTAATGGTAACTTTGACGCACCGTAAATGCAGGATCATATTGAAGATCACCAAGCCAAGTGACTATATTCTCAGAGAAGCGTGTGCTTGATGAAATGTGGTAGTGTGTGGTAGGGTCTGTAAACGGAAGAGGATCGGAGTCATCAAAGGAAAGTGAAGGTCTTGAAACCTTTGATCGAGTAGCGCGATGTTGGATGTTAGTTGGTTTTTTTCGTAAAAGATTCTTGAGTGCACGTCGACGCTGCTCATGCCGTGCAATTTGAAATGTGAAGTGGATTTTGTTGGTGTGGATGTAGAGTCTTTTGATACGACGATGCTCCAATTCACCCTACACATGCATTAAAGAACGGAAATGCGATATATAGATAATACTCACTAGCTGTGTACTGTAAGAGTCTGTGGTTCCAAATGTTCGAATGGTCCAAGGATAATCTCCAAGTGCGTGAAACTTGTAGGTATTGAGGTTGAAAAGCTTGCGACGTGGTTCGCTATCTGCTATTTTGTTCCTATTTTGACTGTCAGTCTTCTTCTTCTTGGCTTTTCGCCGAGCTTTAGCATCAGCCTCACGAGGAAGGAGTTGAGTATCAAATTTTTCAGCAGTTTGAATGGCAAATGTACGCAGGAGACATCCCAGCTCTATGGTTGCCACCTCAAATGACTCTAATGTCAAGTCAGTGTGGAGGCGCAGCTTGGCGTAAGCATGCCAGGTGGCCATATGAGCAAGCAGGTTTTGAACAAGGTCATCAATCTCTTGAGACCTGGTGGCGAAGAGTCCTTCGAAGCAAGTTGGTGCACACTAGACCACTTCAATGAGCACTCAAAGTGAGGATAAAAAGTTGAACATACCTGGAGTAGATCCTCATAATCACGAGCAGCCAGCTTTTTCAATTCTGATACATTGTCAACAAATCGACGAATAGTTCCACGTCCGAATGTTGGAACAGTTCGGAATCTAAAGAACATGAGATTCATATATGAATGACAAGTACAACACGAACCTCTGGTTGAGCTCTTGTACAGTATCTTTCCCCATTGCATGACACATACGGATGAGGTGGATGATGAGGTCTCGAAAGGTACCAAGTTCGATTTCATGCATAATATCATTTACAAAAAGAGCAAAATAGTTGAACCCGAGATCATGGAAAGCTGCAGAGAAAGCATTCTGCATATTGTTAATTGTTGAGAAAGCTTGAATCAGTGGAAACGTACCCGGTGAGGAGTACAGGAGCCCTTTAACTCATTCTCGACTGCAGTGCTTCCGATCCCTTTGCCATGTTTGAAGAACTTCTTTCTTGCCTTCTCAATCATTTTTCGAAGCCTTTTATTGTCGATTCGGCGAGAGGTCTCACGGCTAGCCATGTCTTCTCGGGTTCCTATTCCAGAAACTTCACTTGTTTTGATGGTGCAGCGAGGGCATAGATGTGTACCGAGATTCTTGATACTGGCCAGGAGTATCCTAAATAAAACTGTCAGTTATTCACAACTAAATCGATGGCAGAATAAATATCTACTTTTCAGGATAATCAGCTGAGTAAGTAAAGAATCGAGGATATAGTCTTCGAAGGATACCATCAGGCCCTTCAACCACAACACCATGGACATATGCATGAAGGAAAGCTACCGTGAGGAGAAGCTTCCAAACCTCATGTTCGAGTTCCCGTTTGAGGTGAGTTTTCATTTCATCACTTGGAGCATGACCGAATTGCTTCGTGTACTCATCCTCGACTGTTTTTGGAAGCTAGAAAGGCCTTCAGCAGATATTTTGCATACTATGTGAAAGACATACTGAAGGAAAATACACAAGATGATGTGCAGCGAACTTACTTGGTTTCGCACGAGAGTATTTTGACTGAGAACCGAACCAGAGATAACCAGGACATATGGAAGCAGTACCAAAACTGGCAAGGTGTGTAGAATCTGAATAGGCCATGATGGGAACCACAACGCGTTCGAGATTACAGCCTGGCTCAGCTGGACTGCTCAAAACCTCACTCTCCATCTGAAGGAATGCATCCGAAGTATAAACCTCGCCATGGACCCGAATAGGTTCTGGATATTCATCCCGCTCCCACATCTGCTTGTAGCCTCGTAGATGATACTCTGATGCTGCCTCGGATGAGTAAGCTTCCTTCATAACCTCCAACAGGTCTCGGTGAATGATATTGTCAACTTCAACTGTAGGAGCCCTGTCTTCGCTATTCTTCTTTCCAGTACAGGGAAGGGATATCTTCACCGAACTCTTCTTCCAGCCCGCATGAGTGTCAAAAGGAAGATTTGAATTGACGGACTGAGATGCAATGAATTCGTCAAGTTTCCTTGCTTCTCTTTGAGTGTTGAACCCTCGGAGGTCTTTAGGATCGAAGCCAGGCTGTTGGATAATTTCCTCATTTACCCTCTGAATCCCAGCAAGGCCGAAAGAATTGTCGTTACGTTCATCATATGCAAACTTCATCATGTGGTAGGTAGACGTGTTTGGGAAGGGAGCATATGAATCCGTCAACTTAGACAAAGATTGAAATCTATGACTAGATGATGAAAGCGCATCTGAAGCATATTTCCGTGGACCAAAGCCGCTCTCTGGATCGCGCGCAGGAGGCTGAGATATGTTGAACATGCTTGCATCACAAAGATCGTCAAACGAGCTGAATTCATCTGGTTCATATGTTGGATACTGAATGTACTCGCGAAAAAGGCCAAACTGGTCAGGCTCTGTGGATACTGTAGACAAAGGAGCATGTATATCTTGAACAGAGGGAGATCTCCGAGTTGGAGTTGCAGGAATGGAAATTGGAAGCGGAGGTGTCAAGCCATTTCGAGTTTTGGATGGTAACCCGGATGGAAGAGTGGAAGGTTGAGAGGGGACAAAGTCACGAAATGTTGCAGGAAGGAAACGCTGGCGTTTTGGTCGCCCTGCAGGAACAACTGGCATGAGAGCATCAGCTTCCCGCTGTAAGTCAATATCATCAGGTTGATATTTGTTCTCATGTTCGATGGGTATATTTTCATCATACATAAACGTATCAACATCCTGATTAGAGCATGAATCAATAAAAATTAAATTCGATGTATACATGTGAGTCTAGCGTACCTTCCAAACTGTGTCCTGATTTTTGTCCTCCCCATTCATGTCAACTTCTTCGTGTTCAGACTGAGCCTGAATCACCTTGAGCAACCAAATTTTAACAAAGAATGAATTGTTACTTTACCCTGATATCCACTTTTGCTTTCCGATTCTTTATCTTCATTTTGAGGTGTTTACGAAGAGCTTCAGCAGCAGAAGCCCTGCTTCTGGCCTGGTCTATCCGTACATGTTTCGTTCCTGGACAGATCCTCTGATGGTTAGAGAGTCCACGACCTCTATCGAAAGATTTCCCGCATGATGTACAAATAGTTTTAACCATTTATATGATATATAGAGGTTGAGCAGCGAAACAAGTGTGGTAAGGGAGCGTTATACGTCAAAACGTGAGTGCAAGTAATGTGATCATGTGCTTTATAAAAGCGGTCAAAGCAACTTTGTCAATTCTTTCCATTTACTTTCACTATGCCTTCCACCAAACGGTCTACTCCTGTAGTCAAGCTGTCTAAATCCTCTAAAAAGCCTCGACGTTCTTCAAACATTAACTCTATTCCCTCAAGCTCACTCAAAATTAACAACAATGCTGGTAGTAGCTCCTCTAGTTCTGATTCTTCAAGCGATTCTGGAAGCGATAGCACAAGTGACTCAGATTCTTCTGATGGCGGCAATAACAACAACATAGCTCAAGATGATACATTGAAGGAAAAGGGTAGGAAGGAAAAGACTCGCGTGAAGATAATCCATATTCCGTACGTTGTTCTTGAATGTCATTCATCGTCTATTTACTTAAGTCATTCTAGAAAACATCGCATCGATCCTATGGACAAAGCTGGGCGCTGGGCTGTCTGTGCCGTTGATGCATTCCTCAATATCAGTGCAATTGAAACGACTAAGCTAGAATCCCTCGAAGAGGGATATGAGTAAGTGATCTTCTTTGACCATTTACTCATCTCACCATTCATAGGCCAGCCGAATCCGACCAACCATTCCTCCAGGCATGGGATCAACTTGTACTAATAGCACCTATCCTCGAAACTCTTCTAATGAAAGCACATACTGAGAAAGGTCAAATGAAGTATGTCGATGCATTGGACAAGGTATGTTCCCTCCCACTTTTGACTGGTACCTTGAATTTATGCACATATCTTAGATCTCTCGAAGTGCTCTATGTGCTCGACAATATCACACTGGCATCATCCGTCGTGACATCCTGGACTGGATAATTTTCAAAGACGATGAAACGTATCTTCCAAAATATCCGAAGTCTCTTCGTGGCATCAACCACCCTGCTACTCTTCGTTTAATTATTCCTCAATGTTTTCGAAACAAGGTTGATGATCCAACGTTCGTTATTCAGTCAATTTGATGAGCATATATGCATTCATTCTTTTTTAGATTTATAGAAAAAGTTGAGAATGGTAGAGTCCGTATCGAGGCATCAGAATGGCCCGCTTTTCTATATGATCAAGATCTAGCCGACGTCAATGACATCGAAAAAGGACTGTTCACTGGCGGCACATTATTCTCTGTATCTCAATCTTCATATCTATTTTTTGCTAACACTAATCGTACTCTCAACAGGTTTTCTTCGCTATCTTCTTTGGAATTAGTTCAGCTCAAACCGGCACTTATCAAAAAAACTCTATAGCTGCTCGTAATGGGATGAAGAAAGTCACTGGCAGAAACATCGCATATGCAGCGATACAGGTGAGATGCTTTCGAGAGCTACCTCGCTTATTGACTCTCTTTAAGGCCCGTTTTGCACTTTCTTCAGTCGAGAAATGGAACATCCCAGATAATCATTTTGATTACGTTGTATTCTATAACGAAATTGTCGACTTTTTTGAAGACTACCCTAAGGATGAACATGTTGTTTCAATTCTGGCTGACTGGAACGAGTACGTGACAGTATATCTTCATATTCTTCTCTAATACACTCTTCAGAAAAGTGTTCGGGCATAAAGATGGGCTTGGCGGTCGTGACACCTGGGATTTAGACAAATTGGAACGTGAAGACACAGAAGGAAGCGAACATACAACTTCTACCACTGCCATGGCTCGAGCTGCTCGAAAGGCTCGGAACACACCCCCCACCACGATATCTTGATGTCCCACATTCATTCTGCTGTTCCTATCTTCGTCGCGTTACTCTCAAACTACTGGCTCTCGTACGTTGTATTCTAGTTATTGTGCTTATGCCTGCTACTGCTTCTGCATTGCTGCTCCTGTCGTTCTCATATCATGTATATTTGCCTACTATTGGTCAATGATAGCATTATTGTTATTTATATATGAGATCTAGTACGACCAACGGAGAGATTCAGCGCGATGTTGCCTGGTAATGTACAGTAGTTTCCGGGGGATCGCAGTGCCTCGTAAGCCTCAAATATCCTCGCATCAGTTGCGAGGTCCGAATTTCATTGTAGCTGGCACGAGGAATTTCTCGCGAACGAGGCGGCGCAATGCCGTTGCTGCCTCGCAATGTTGTCACACCTTACAATGCAGTACGATGCATTGTTTCGCCTCACGGTGAGCCTGACTTTTTGCTGATGTTATCACCGTGTTGAATTTTGTTGCGATTCCACCAACTGTCCCTTGTCACGCCAGGTTTCAACTTCAAGTACAAGGATTTTGGATATTGATGTACTAAATTCGGGTCTGCCATTGCTGAGAATATTGATGGCTGATCTGGGTCCATGCGGGGAGTATATACAACACCCTCAAGGAGCGGATGTTCTTTCAGTTTCCCCAAGAGGTAATTCACCACTCCTTCAAGTGTAGAGAATGCATCCAAATGCCATGGGAGGGTTGGAATAGTATTGTACAATTTTTCTTCGTCTTTGGCCTCTATTGTAACATCCCCAAGCGCCACCCCAAGTTGTGGTTTGCTACTTGGCTGCCGGCTCTGGATTTCAAAGGTACCTCTGAATGAAGTTTCTTTTGCTTCAAAAAACATCGGTTTTCGACGGGCGGAACCTAAACGAAGGACCCAATATTCACCATCTTGCAGAATCATAATGCGAGAATCATGATTTTTGAAATCAGTTACGGTTGAAGCAGCTATGCTTGCACCACGTTTATCGTATCTTAGCAGCACGAGAGGGAGCTTCAAGTCTTGGTCTGAGAAAAATAAAGAACAGTTGTGTCAGGATGGTAACATACTCATGCACGAGAAACAAGCTTACTCCCGCCTGGGGCACGCGATTCCAGCTGGGGAATGGTGGAGAGGGCGTCGCGCGGTGCAAGTGGCATGGCCCAGACCCCAAGGATGGCCAAAGGGATGAGGACAAGTACGCAGAGCGAACGTAACAGAGATCGCGGTAGGAACAGCATAGCGGTGATGACACAGGGGGGTCGAGAGTACAAAGGGGAAGCGAATTGGGGTGAATCGGAGGAGCTAGAAGATTTGAATCCTCAGTCCCATTACATAAGGGAAGAAGGCTGAAGAAGGGTGGCAATGGCTCGCTTGCTGCAGCTGTAGCCGCCTATGAGCTCGAAATTGGGCGGCAACAGACTACATATTGTGAGAATTTGGCTAAGCTACTGCTAAGCTACCAGTAACCAGGGATGATAACGACGATGAACACAGTATTTATATCGATACATTGTAAGGCTAACGGAGTCAATTGCGTAACGGATGAGGGTGTTGTATACAGTCTTGCGGGATAAGCGCTAAGCATTTGCTGAAGCAGAGTCAATTGCGCCTGATTGATTGTTGCAACCTGCAACTCTGGAGAAATTATGTATTGTAACTCAAGCGAGAGAAAACAACAAGTGAAAGCAGAGAAACGGAAGATGGTATAAGATAGAATGAATTTAATAAAAAAGTAACATACATAAATAATAAATGGAATGCAAAGTATGGGGGGTATCTAAGTGTGCGGTGTAAATCATATCATAAAAGAGAATTCCAAAAAAAACGAAAACATATCACTTTCTTAAACACCACCGCCTACTCTCACAACACTTGCCCTCTCAACCCTCTCCATCAACCCCCTCACGCGTTCACCCAGCCTCTCTCCTCTGATCTTCCTCTCCAGGACCTGATGCGCAGGCATCCTCTTCCGAGGCATCCATACCCCACTCGGGCTCGGACGACGGGGGATTTCAGGGGCAGTCGAACCAATAGGATCTAGTTTCTCGATACCAGTTTCTGCGTCTTTGATACCTTCACCCTCTAAAACACCATTATCCTTCTCCCTATCTGCTGCCACCTCCTCCATATCTCCATCCTCCCTCATCTCAATCTGGCCATTCTTCCTCCCCTTTTGCAATCGCAGCCCCCTCCTCCGACTAACCTCCAACCGCCGCGCATTCACCTCTGATAAATCCACAACACGCGGAGACGAGGTGTATTTCATCACGGATCGGTATACTAATTTCGTCTCGGTTAATAGGGGAAGAGGCTGCGAGGAGGATGATTTTTTCAGTGTAGTCCTCGATGCGGGGTCATTGTATTCTTCATCTCCCTCCGTATCAGTATCAGTATCCGACAACCCCGAAGGAGCCAATGCCGGCGTCGGAGGTCGAGATGAACGAGGAACAGGAATAAGAGGCAACGCCTGGATTTCTCGAATCAGATCGTATCCCCGCAGATAAGCGTTTTCGGTACGGAGGAAACGGACGGTGTTGCGAAGGGCAGTGTACTGTAAATAAAATAAGAATAAATTATAAGGAATGATTGGAAATTTTACCTGATCCATCAACTGCGCATGATCCAAATTCCCCTCTGTTGCAGTAACACCCGCACTTATTAAACCAGAACCACCCACACCTACCCCATCCTGGTCTACCCCCTTAACATGTTCCCCTCCTCCTTCAACAACATTTCCCCTCCCCCTCAACCTCTCCACCTCCCTCTCCAACCCCTCCACCTCTCCCTGCATCTGCACCATCGCCTCCCCATACCCCGCCTCCACCTTCCTCAGCCTCCCCACCTCTACCTCCATCTCCTTGACCATCTCCTCCATCCGCCTCACCTCCGCTCCCTTACCCTCCGCGCGCCGCTCGAGGAGCTGTATTTTCACTGTGAGCTCGGCGAGGTGCTGGTCTTTGGCTTTGAGCGTGCGGGAGAGTGAGAGGAGGTCGGATTGGAGTTGAGAGATGAGGTGATTGTAGGTAGAGGAAAGGGAGTTGGTTAGGAGCGTTTGGACGGTTTGGATTCGGGAGATCCAGGGTGGGGATGGGAAGGAAGGGGTTGCAGGATTTGTGCTCGCTGTCACTGTCGTTGTTGTGGTCATTGCCGTCGTCGTCGTTGAAGGGGATAAGAACAAAACATTCGCAGGATCAAGCGTCTGCGGTAACAACCTCGCAGAATCCTCAATCAAATTCGTTATCATATCCCCTACAACCTCCCACCACAACATCCCAGGTTTAAACAACATCGGTTTCGCCGCCACTGCTGTTGTCGTTGTTGTTGCCCCCGTTGTCCCACCTCCACCACCTACCACGATCCCTCCCGCTTGCTGTTTCGCGAACCCCAAAATCTCCGTAAGCCTAAACGGCGTCGTTTTACCGGCACGTACATCGGCTAGGTAGGGAAGTGTTTGCTGGGCGAGGCTGATTCCGAAATTCACGAGTTCCTGAACGGTATTGCTTAGGACTTCCATTTGCGGGAGGAGGTGTGGTTTGAGAGCTGCGTTGGCGCCGGAGGTCGAAGTGGAAGTTGGGGTTGAACTTGCTAATTCCTCTAATCGTTTAGCCATCTTACGTACAGAGGTCTTTGCTGATTTCGACCTTGAGAGTAGTGTTAGTAGGGGTGTGTATAGTTCTGTGTGGATATCGAAGCCGCCAAAGTCGGCAGAGGGGGCGAATTCTGTTGGAGAACAAAATAAAGATGGAGTTGGTTAGAGGATTATTGTCAGAAAATGAGAATTATATTTGGATGGAGTTGAAGAGTTACGTGAGTCAGGTCATATACGGAGAGAGAGACTGAGAGAGAGAGAGAGAAAGAGAGATAGCAACTCACCTTCTTCTTTCAACAACCCCTCAACACTAGTCTTCATCATCCCAATACTCGCTGCGAACATGTCGAGGTCGAGGTCGAAGAGCGTGAGGGTGCCGAGTTCGCGTTCGGCGATGTCAGGGCTGTTGATGTGGGTGAAGGAATGAAAGAAAAGAAGAGAAGAAGAAACGTACCCAAACAACTGCCCACCGAAATAATCCCCGAAATACATCTCCGCGAGGTGATTGAACTGTGCGTTGATCCTGATCAACCAAAGAGAACAAACAACAATCAAGAATCATTTTCGAGAACAACTGAGCGAAAACGCACTTAATAACATCACTAACACACTCCCTCTCCCTAAACTCATCTCTCCCCAACAACTCCACATGGATGTCCATGCGTTTTTCTAGCGGCTTGAGCTCCTCGTAAAGTCTTCCTACGGATATCCAAAGCTCAGGAGAACAGCGCCGGAGGATGGCGGAGAGGCGTTTGCAGAGGGTTGAGAGGCTGTGGACGAGTTAAGGGATAAAGCTGGAAGAGAAAGAAAGAGAGAGAAAAATGGACATACACAGATAACCTCCCCCGCATCTCACATACACCCACCAATAACTCTGTAACCACTTTACCTTCCACTCCCTCTACCGCATCATCCTCCCCTCCACCCAAATCCAACGCCTCCGGCAACCCATGCGTCTGCGCCACCACACGATTGATGATATCCGCTTTCGAAGCGATCCTTTGGAAGAACATATACACCCTCACTGCGTCTCGGTCGGTGCCGCCTGTAACCACAACAGGAGAGGTGGTGGGTTTCTGGGATGGGTCTTGAATTTCACCGCCGCTGACGCTGACGACTCCAGAAGAACCAGTGTGTTTATGCGTTTGGTTCTGGTTGATGTTGTTACCCGCATCCGCTTCACCTTCGGCCACCCCATCCCGATAAACCCCTGGTAAAAACCCTTCCACGATCTCCAACTCCTCTCTCAACTCTCTCTCCCGCATCTTGCTCAACTCAGCCTCGACGTCGCGGGCACGGGTTTTCGCAGCGGTGGATTGGAGACGGATGTTTGCTGAGAGGATGGCGGCGGTTTGAGAGAGGGCTTCGCCGCGTTGGGATTCGGCGGAGGCGGTTGTCAGGCGGAGGTGGGTTAATTCACTGGGGGGAGAAAGTGTTAATGAGGAATAATGGGGAAGTAGACAGAAAGGGAGAGATAAACCCACCCTTGTAATTGTACCACTAAATCCCTAAATTGACCAATCGTACCCTCGTAATCTGAACATGTATCTGATAATGTCGAGATCTTGAGCTGGGCAGCGGAGAGTTGGGTTGACAGGGTTTCTAAATCCCCTTGTAACGCTTTTTCTGTCTCGATGTGGTTTTCCTCCAACTCGTCTGAGAGCTCTTTGAGAGCTTCGAGGTCTTCGATTGTTATTCGCATTTCTTCGATTTTCTATGCGAGTATTAGAGATAATAGGAAGAAAGGAAGATACAGTTCGTTACCTCCCCAAGTACTAAATTCCTCTCAGTAAGCTGCACAAGCATATCCTCTGCACCGAGCGCATCGTCCAACTGAAGCTTAAGATCATCAATTTGAGTTTCAGCGTTGGAGAGCTTGACGGTTGTCGTAGACAATTGAGCTTGTAATTCCTCATACCCAGTTAAATCTTTCTCCATTTCCGCGATTCGCCTGCGTTGATCCTGGTCTGTATCTTGTGTCATATCACGGAGACGGAGTAGAGCTTCTTTGAGACGCTCGTTTTGTTTTTCTAGTTGAACATACGCCAGGGTGTTTGTGTCTTTCTGTTTCCCCTCAGGTTTTATTTCTCCGTCGTTCTCCAATTCCCACAACTCTTTTTCCTCCCTCAACACCTCGACCTCGACCTCAACCTCCGCCAACCTCTCCTTTACCGCCTCCAACTCCCCCACCGCAATCTCCGCCCTCTCCTCCGCCATCTCCTTATCCAACATACACATCTCCAACTCCCCTTCCACAACCTCCTTCCTCTCTTCCCATACCTTCACCTGCGCCTTGAGCTCGTTGATTTCTTGTTTGAGAGAAGTTAATTCTGTTTGTTGGGATTGAAGTTTCGCTTGGAGTTTGGGGCGGAGAGAGAGGAAGGAGGAGGATTCGGCGAGTTTGGATTCCAGGGATTGGATTTGGAGCGTGTCCAGCGTGCGGTTGGTTTCGAGCACGCGGACTTTAGTGAGCAATGCATGGATTTGGGGGTGGGTGTCTGGGAGGGTGATAGATGGACGTGGTGGTTCTGTTTCAGGCGCCGTCGTCGGAGGCGACAACGAAGAAGTAGGTGGCTCGGATACAAAGGCAACAGTTGCAGACGTCGGCACTGGACTAGGCGTCTTTGTCAATGGAGACGACACTCTCGGAGGATTTGGCGACGACGGTGACGGAGCCTGTTTCAACGAAATAGATCTACGCGCCTGATGTCCAGGTCTCGTCAACGTCGTTGAAGACAACGACAACGATGATTTCTTCGTTGGAGATAATCGAGAGGACGATGGTTTAGCTGGACTTGTTGAACGACTGCTACCAGATGCCGACGCCGGCGAGACGCGTAGTGTCGACGACGCCGACGACGATGGAGCAGTGCCGAGACCGTTCCCGATACTCGATGTCCGTTGATGACCCAACGTTGGGCGACGCGCCGCCGACACACTCATCTTCCTCTCTCCCTCCTTCTCCCTCTCATTCCCCACAATCCTCTTAATCTGACTTCCCCTCACAAACACCCCATACCCCATCCCGCCTTTACAGCTAAAATACCTAACTCCACCTACACTCCCGTCGTTCTTCCCGTTCTTCTCAAATAACTCCACGCCGACCCATTTGCCGGGTTTGAAATCGGTGTAGCCGTTGAACCGCACGACGCCTGTGCCGATGCCGGAGGAGAGCTCGACGATGGTGCCGAGTGGCGGGTCAGGAATTGTCGAGGCGGTAGATGAATTCATGGTGTCTATTGCGAAAACATAGAGGAAATGAGCGTGGTGGTGGTAAACGCGTTACCTGGCTGTATGCGCGCTAATTTAACTCGTTGTCTCTGGCGCTTATTTTCTTACCGAACGTGGGCCGAAATTCCTTTAACAAATGTCTGAACCTGTATCGGTGCTATTCCTGCCTTACCTGTAGGCAGCCTGTAGGCTGTCGCACACCAGGTCTTGATATAACGAAGTTTTTCTATTCACACATTCCTGATGATACTCATGAAAGATGCCCATTTACTCGATGTCAAGTCATTATGCCAACAACGAAGTTCTATTTCTACCAGCCGTTCCAAACTCTGTCGCAATGCATCCAACTCTGGGGTAGCATATGTAAAAGCTTCTCAGGCAAACGGAATAGCCTTTCTGAAAGTCGTGACCGGGATTTTATGATGCTTTACGAGGTCTCCGTACTATTTACATCGATGGCCAGATCACCGGGTGGAAGATTTTCAATCTGCGTAACGCGAAGCATTCTCTGTTAAATGAGGCAGTTCGTGCAAAGGATTAATTTGCACCCAGTGTAGATAAAGATAGGAGCTTACTTGGTTGTACTTGCGATGCATCCCACAGCTCGGAATCCCATGGTAAAAACTTTCCTGCGTGTGACTGACTATTCACCGGATTTCCATCTTTTGGATGCAGTGATACACTTATAATCATTTAAATCAAGACCAGTACTCACTTGGTTTGACCTGTGATTCGTTCTTCAACAGGAAGGAGTTCCATGGTAGAGATGGGACAGCCTCCCCTTGATAATGCGGAACGTGTTCCAAAACTGTTCCTACAAAAGGCCATGTCGCTGTTATTCCTCCATTCTTCCTGGGATGGTTCAGCTCACGCCATCGATTTGGCGTCACACCAGGAGCCAACTTCACATACGAAGTATGTGGATATTGGTTTTCGCGAGTAGGGTTCGTCATTGCCAAAAATATCTGCTGCCAATTATTTTCTTGGTCTTCATATTTGAAAATTGCAGGGAGCGGGTATTCATCCATGTCCATCCTTCCTGACATGTACTCTATTAACATGTGAAGCGCACCATACGGGCTCGGCTGTGGTGGAAGGTTATCAATAGCTTCATAGAAGTCCGACTTGTCCTTTGCGTATTGAAATACAGCTTTTCCCAGTGACAGGCCACGTCGGTTGGTGGTAACAGCTGTCCTGTGAATTTTCCAATGCTCGGTTGTTGGAACTTTCTTAGCAGAAAATTCTTGGACGCGGGTAAGGAGTATAAACCAGTTGTCATCAGGGAGCAAAAGTACAACACCAGGGTGGCCAGGATCCTTGCGATTTTTTTCGAATATAAAGGGCAATGTATTACCAGCCGAGTCTCTTCTTTGGAGTTGCAGAGAGACTCCGAGATCTGAGAGAAAGTGAGATCGGAATGATGACGAAACCTTGAACACCAGAAAAGCTTACCATTGATACGCGGTTTCAGCTCGGGAATGGTTGATGGAGATTCACGCGGTGCAAGCGGGATAGCGAAGGTCCCCAGGATAGTCGAAAGGAAGAGGACAAGTAAGGAATGTGAACGTGCACAAGATCGCGGTAGTAAGAGCATTGCGACAACAAGAGGAGGAACACCACAGGGGGAGAGAGATCAGGTGAATTGGAGGAGCTATCGCGAACTCTGGGCAGAAGTATACGCAGAAGATACGATGACGAAAGTGTTTGAGATGTAGTTTCTGGTATCTGGAACGTGGACTGAATTCGAACCTGAGTGATTCATCCTATCGATGTAGACATTGACATACTGGTGACAAATATGATAAGCAGCGAGTGCAAGAAGACCGAGATTTGTCAACAAAAGCAAAGTCACTATCGCATGTATTAGTTACAATCGACGAGGAAATATATGCTACACACCGAGCAGCCTTGATATAGGAGCCCAAAAGAATGAATCGGAACTGAAAATCGTATGTGATGTGTCTAAAGGAATTTCGAGTCAGCCCGGATAAGCATGCGAAGATTCATATACATACAAGGCACGGCCAGATGATAAATTCGACCAGCGAATAAATCTGAGGTGTACAGGAGCTAAGCACCGAGGGCGAGGTGAGGGAAAAATGCTAATGAGATGTGTGAAGAAAGCCTCGTGACCGACGCCAGCTATGGTGGCAGTGCTTGGCAGTCAGGCAGTGTCCCAACGAGTTTTGGGTCCCGGTCTGTCCCGGTTCAACGATTTCCATCTTTTGCTGCATTTGCAGTAAGGCTAGTACTAGATGTACTGGGATGTACTTCATTCAAATGAGTATGATTGAAGTTGGTCTTTCCCAGAAAAACTCTGGAAGTCACCGGTCAGACCGTTTATGAAGGCGGATACCACTTATGTAGTTACTATAGTAGGGTGTATACATAGAATATGTTGCAACCTCTCTGAGCTCTCTCTGGAGAGTCGGCTTATGCACGATTATACAAGAGCACTGAGTGTGCGAAGAAGATTTACCACAAGAATACAAAAATGGACTTCAACAAGTCGAGGTCAAAGTAGAATCGTGAGGAGTATCCCGCTAAGTTGCACTAGTAGTATTGTAGGAAGGTGCCAATCCTATTTGTACATTCAACCCCTCCTTCTTAAACCTTTCTAAACTCCTTCGCAATGCATCCAAATCCCTGGGAGCTCTGGTCTCCAAGAGAGACATGTTTTGCAAGGGGTATCGTAGGTAGAAACTCTTCAAACAAACTGGCTGGCCTTGTGAAGAGAGATCAGAGGTTCCGAGTCTCCATCGCGAATGTACAAGAGTGTAAAGCAGTTGATTTCGAGGCCGTATTACTAAATGGAGGTTTTCCAATTTAGGAAGCAAACAAGCCTTTGAACGGACCTGGATGAAGTCTTCTGCTTTGTCGACCTGGTCAATATCCTCTTGATCTTCAAACACCACATCTCCGGGTTCACCACCACCATCCTCACATATCAATAACTTTAGAATGGGATATACACCACGTAATTGATCCATGACTTCGACAACCTCCAGATCTGTGATTGATGGTGTGCAGGAAAATAAAGGTAGTAGGTGGTCAAGGGAGAAAGACACGTAACGAAGACTCAGGTGAGTCAAATTGTTGGCACTGCTACGATCAAGCATGCGAGCCAGAGGTTTAATAGAGTATGATCTCGAGTCCTTATCGGAATCGATGAGTTCTAGACATGAAACCTTGGGTAGATCAATGCTGAACAACAAATTTGATATTGCGGATTCTGGTATCTCCAGAATAAGCTTCTCTGCATTGCAGGTGTATAGTAGAGGTAGTGCATTGTCCTCTGAAAGTGAAATATCAATCTCCTTCAACAGAAGTTCTTTGAGATTTGGACAATATGAAATAAGCACCCAGGCATGTCCAGGAGATACGTGGCTTATAGCAAGATGAGTGATTGTCGTCCGTATAAATGCTAGATCAAGAGCTATTGCTGTGAGGGAGAGATATTGAAGATTGGGACAAGGGACTGGAAATTCCAGGAATGCGCATTCTGTGCCATCATAGAGGCCATCGAGGGAAAGGGAAGTCAGCGACGGAAGCCCCCGGGTAGCAGTTGTATTGATCAATGGCTTCAAGTAGGAATACGCACGTACAGTGCGTATGGTAACGTGGCGCCAACGATTAGAGTGTTCTTCTGGGAGAAGCAGAGGTAACGAGTATTCAGATACCTGGTTTGCAAACTCGTTGATGAGGAGATCTATAGGATGCGAGGAAGAGCGCCTGAGGAAGAGTTCCAACCCGGATCTCACAACAATGCTCTTTTCCATCTCCTGAAACCCAAACGATGACCATAGGACTGGTAATGAGCATATTATCGAGTTCCAATAATGACAAACCTGTCCCAGGTCAAGCGTAGGAAGCCTTGCAACATTAGAACGAACTTTTCTTCTTTGATCTCTGTAGTATCGAGCCCCCGGGGCAATATGATTGCCAACACCAGTACAACAGACGTATTCAAAGATATCCTCCAGGAGTTCACGAGGAAGTTTTCGGATTGGGGAACAGAGGGAGCTGATCAATGTGATGTGCGCTCTGAGGAATTGTTTATGAGCTTCGAGGGTCTCGTGTACATCCACCAGACGGTCAAGTTTGTTTTGACAACGATCGAGGTTGATCTGGGCGTTTGCGAGAAGGTTGGAGTATGCCGAGTGTTCTAAACCAAAGGGATAATAGCCAGAGCGTATACGAGATAAAATTTCGGTGAAATCCGGAGGATAGAGCTCATCGTTAAGCGGATCGCCACAGTTGGTACTTGACTGCACGAGTTTTGGAGGCCAGTTATAACCGGCAATGGATTCTGTATAATAGATGTCATCTACGGGCAAGTAACTTACAGTATGAGCAATAGAGCCCAATTTAAAGATAGGAATACCGTTCACTCACCATTGAAGGGAACCGTCATGATTGTTCAGCATTGAGAGTACTCACAAGGATGTTCTCATGACCGGTTACATTCCACATGTCAGTCCAGTACCAAGTAGACGCACATCGATGTCAAAAGCGCTCGTCGCCAGTTCAAGTTTAAAAGATATTATCACTGTGGGGAAGAACACGTTTTGGCACCTCCAAAATCCACCCATTATCCGTAGATTTTTACCAAAAATTGACCGATTTTGGGATGTCAAAAAGTTTGTATATTTCTCATATAGCTGGATATAGAATATGAAGTTCATATTGTGCAGTTATTCTGAATTATCTACCAATAATATTGAGGATATAATAATGACTTTGTGCCTCACAATTTATTAATATTTTTGGCTGCTCGAAATTTGAAATAATTGTAACATAACCTACCAGTGAACATGAGGACTATAGTCCGAGCTTATTTGAAATAATCATACAATATTCTCCCATAGATAATTTAAAATTTTTGCGAGATATTCACCTAACAAAAAACATGAGGTTTTTCAAAATAACCTCGCCGAGGTTATGCATACCCGATGAGGACCCCGGAAGCTCCTGCCAAACCCCACCCGCCTAGGCGGCCTCAAGTACGCTACGATTTTGGCCTCAAGCAGGCCTCAAGTACGCTAATTCGGATAAGGAATGTCACGTGAAATCGTAAAAATTGCTCTCAAAATACCGAATTTTCTTCCCCAAGCCTGGAATCATCTTTCTGTACGTTTTTTTGACTATTATCGCTGCATCCGGAGCTCTTCTGAGCTTCTTTACCCAAACTCCGGTGTCAGAGCTCCACCTACGTCCATTGGGCCACCAAGTCAGCCAATAGATACCCAAAGTACGCTATCTCGGACAGGGATTGAGCCTTCTGAGGCCTAAAGTACGCTAATTTCGGCCAAGGAAAATGGCAAAATTGGGTCCTAAAGTACGCTAATTCGGATGGGGTCTGGTAGGAGCTTCCGGGGTCCTACCCGATGTTGGGACATCGAGACGTCAAGACGTCGTTGATATCGGGACATCGAGACACTGGAATGTCGTTGATATTGAGACGTCAAGACGTCGTTGATATCGGGACATCGAGACACTGGAATGTCGTTGATATTGAGACATCCAAACATAGAAATGTCGCTGGTGTCGGGATATTGAGATGCGTGACATTCAGGAAATTCGGGACATGTTGGAACATGCCAGTTTTCACCTAGTATTAGGTTAGTATTGACCACCACGACCTATGTAGGAATGACATAACTTCTGGCCCCATCCATAAATACACAGAAGGCCCTGAGGAAGGCTTTTCTTATCATTTCACAGAACATAGTGGCTACCTGTGGCTGCACTGGCACATCCTGAATGTCCTGGATGTCATGCGTCTTGATATCCCGACCACCAGTGACGTTTCTATGTTTGGACGTCTCGACATCGACAACGTTCCGGTGTCTCAATGTCCCGATATCAACGACGTCTTGACGTCTCGATGTCCCAACATCGGGTATGCATAACCTCGGCGAGGTTATTTTGAAAAACCTCATGTTTTTTGTTAGGTGAATATCTCACAAAAATTTTAAATTATCTATGGGAGAATATTGTATGATTATTTCAAATAAGCTCGGACTATGTTCCTCATGTTCACTGGTAGGTTATGTTACAATTATTTCAAATTTCGAGCAGCCAAAAATATTAACAAATTGTGAGGCACAAAGTCATTATTATATCCTCAATATTATTGGTAGATAATTCAGAATAACTGCACAATATGAACTTCATATTCTATATCCAGCTATATGAGAAATATACAAACTTTTTGACATCCCAAAATCGGTCAATTTTTGGTAAAAATCTACGGATAATGGATGGATTTTGGAGGTGCCAAAACGTGTTCTTCCCCACAGTGTATGTTTGCTTGAGAAGCTTGTGCATATGCTACCCCCGAGCTGGATGCATTGCAACAGAGTTTGAAACGGCTGGTAGAAATAAAACATCATTGTCATGTCTTGACGTTAGGATCGGGCCACTAGCATTTGCAGTATCACCTGCAGTGACAGTCACTGCATGGTATCTGCATGCACCTGCATCACACTTATGGCATATAAATGCCGGCATTTATATGTATTTTGTCTAATTATGTTATGCTATTTTGAATTCATTTTTGCTGCATGTTCAACTATTTCAGGATACGTCTATGCACATTGAGTTGATATATTGCTTGGTTTACAGATGTATGTAAATCCTATATGCTTAGTTATGTATGTCACAAGCACTTCACTGTACTCACCCATTCATATTATCTGCAAAACCTGTGTTGAAGCAACTAACATCTGCAAAACCTGTATGTTCGGCTAAATAGCTGAAAGCAGCTCAGAGCACTTGGGAGCACTTCCCAGCAGCGAAAGCACCCAGAGCAGCCTTTGATTTTTGCTTTGGGTGCTTTTGTCACTGGAGAGCACTCTCCAGCTAGTATCCTTGCTCTGGCGAGTATACATGTTTTGCAGATGAAGGGACTCGACATTGCTGTTGGCATGATGTATCTGCTACTGCACAGCATAAGATAATAACACCATTTATGTAACTGTCCGCTGGTCCTATGCACGAAGTACTTCCCTAACAAGCACTGTCTGGCCAAAGCACTGAAAGCAATTTCTAGAAACCACTTCGGTGCTGGGAAGTGCAGTCAGTCTCTTAGACAGAAATCTAGGATGTACAGATGCATCTGCATGCTCCTACCTTTTGAATGCATTTGCCTGGACTGTAACTGCACACATCTGCATTGTGACTGCATGCAACTGCACTGTAACTGCACATACCTGCACCTCATCTGCACTGTAACTGCACACATCTGCACCTTACCTGCACTGTGACTGCATCAGCCTGCACCTTACCTACACTGTTACTGCATTCACCTGCATTGTTCCTGCACTTACTTGCAGTCTCACTGTGGGCAATAGGGCTCTGTACCTTTGCATTGAAATTATTGGGGACTGAAATCCTGCATTCAATCACAAGGCTCTGAGTGTCTCTATGCACTACATGTATTTTGAATACGGCCTTTGGAAAATCATTGAGCCACCAATATTGTGAAGCTACTATCCCCCTAATTCTCACAAATTAAGCACTGTTGGCACTGAAATGTGGAGTTTATTCTGGGTCATTTGTGGATAGTTAAGATTATGAAGGGGAGGAAGTTACATTGCTGATTTTGGCCAATGGTTCTGAAACATCATATAAAAGGCATGATGGAAATATTCTTGCAATCTCATGGTATTGCCAGATTTAGGTTGAAGAACCTAACCAAGAGTCACAGGGCCATGTATAAACACTGGTCAAAGACTTACAAAAACAACTTAAACTGTAGGAGATACTTGATATAAGAAATACTTTGATTGGAAAATTCTAGAGGACAGTATGTGTATTGTTATACTTTTTTGCTTTTCGGAGTTCTCCTTGGCCAAATTGTCATCATTTATCCACTGCTTTCAAAATCCACCCAAATTATTGATGGTGGAATTTGGAATTATACCAGGTTTGTGAACACCAGCTGGTATCATATTGTAGTACAAGAGGATATTACTTACAAAGCTGAAATTTTAATGATACAAGATACAGAAAGCCTGCATTGAGAATCAATGCCAAGAAACCTGGCATCAGACTTGACAGAATAATGAGATCACTATCCAATTTCAATCAAATATTCACATATCCATTCAGCCCCTACAGGCCATTATACTCCCTGTTATTGTCATACAAAGCATTTATAGAATGGGATATATTTTGTACAGTGGAGGATCATCTATTTACATATATATTTGAGTAACTGCAGTGCTACTGCATGTCACTGCATATGTCACTGCAGGACTACTGCACATGTCACTGCATATGGTACTGCAAATGTTCTGTGCCCGTTAGGATCGAGTAAATGTGCATCTTGCATGAGTATAGGGAATGCGTAAATTCAAAAAACTCCACGGTGTTAAGGCATTGTGGGCTGTTTCTGGTATACACCCGAATCCCATTGGCCTCAACAGTTACATCGGTCGTACACTCGTGGAGGAAACTTATCATCGGCTATTCCGACTTAAAAAGGTTATCATTGCACTGATCTCAAAAAAGTTAGCCCGGAAGCTCTTCGGTGGTTTAGTTCACTCCGACAACGTTTGGAACAGGTGTAGGGTCAAATTAGGCTGGTTATTTAATTGATGTTTGGGTAGAAGGAAAGTTCTTGTGTGGAAGCAGACTGCGTACAAAGTTAGAGAATATGCAAGAGAAAAATTATCACAACAAAACTAGTAGGTATCATAGGATTACTTAAAAGTCCATATTGGTCCAGATAGCTGAATGATGGTGTCCACAAAAGAAAGGTTTAAGAGAGTAGTATGTGCGTGTGTCCGTTTTGGTGTCTTAATTCTAGTACAGAATTATGCTTTCAGTTCAACACACAGTTAGGTAACTGAAGCCTCTTGAGTGTCCGACTATGGAAAAAGAGAGGATATGAGAAGCGGTGAATAGACGATCTATGCCCCACGTACTTGGAATGGAATAGACCCCACCAGCCCTCAACACCACCAAATTCGGCATCCTTCCAAGGCTCATCTTTGTCGATGACATGAGGGAACGATACCGCAAGAGAGCATATAAAACATACCTTTGAACTAAATCCACGTAATTAGTATGATGGTAACGAATTCTTGATAGTTTCGAACATACCTCGAAAAAGAAGTAACCTGTTCCGTTCTGGTTGGCTTGACAGACAAATGTGTCGAGGAAGATCTGTAGGTTCGCCTCCGATGCATCCGAGGCCCCGTTATTGGCGTTACCCGCGTCGGATGAGAACTGGTGAGGATGAGTACAGCGAGATTGGTGGAAGAAGTGCATAACATACTGAAGGCCAGCCAGTTTCAGCGATGTACATTGTGGGCTATGTGAAACGGTCATTCTCGGCATCGCACCGGGTAGTTTGAGGCCAACGAACCTTATTGGAAAGAAGGGCAGCAGGTTGAACGTTGGTCTCCTCAAAGAATTCAGCAGTCCATGCAGCGGCAGTTTGCACCGTAACGTTTGCAAACCAAGGATGTACATTGGCCATCTAACTCAGGTTAATCAGATATTACGAGGAAATAGTATGACATTGAAGCTTACGCCATAGTCCACAGCTTCCAAAACTTCTGTGTTGAAGTAGCTTCCAGCATCAGAGTTCCCGACGGGTAGGGTCTTCGACAAACTCATTTCAGACAACGTCGAACGAGTATCGTTAATGTCTGCAATAAGAATTGCTGCTCCTTGATTGCCAACAGCACTGTTCGGGTCAGTTGCTCCATTTGCGTTAAGATAACTGAGGAGATTAAATCAGAAAGTGCGATTCAGATGATAGGCTCGGAAACTCACTTAAGCATGAACTCGTTTCCAACTGTCACACCGGCTATATGATCCGTGCCATATGTCTGAGCAAGATCAACCACGGTTTCGAGCTCCCCGAATGAATGACTTCACCTCAATGGCTGCTTTGATCTCGTCGCGCTGTCTTGTGTAAGCGGTCGAGTCGTCCGGAGTAGGGTAATTTGCGAGATATACTTGCATGTCTACTTTGGTCTGCTTGATGGCCTCAAGCTGCCGAGATTATTTGTGAATACCATTGCAATTGTAGCAATAATGGGTGTACATACCACGAGAGCAGACTGGTTACAATCTGCGCCGTAGAGGCGGATCGTTTTCGTGAGTTGGGACATAACCTACCCAAAGACTTGATTAAGATCGCAAGAGAAAAAACTGGCGAGCGGAAGAACCTGTATGTCCTCAATGACATCGTCCAACGAATTAGTACAATTAGGTAGTTGAGAGCCGGCTGGGGTATACGCCAAAGCATAGAACGACTGGTGGAGGTTGGGATCTTTCTCGAATGTGCTGGGGTCATTAGGGTTCGTTTGTACCGGGTCACCGTTACTTGACGAATTGGAAGTTGCTCCATTGGCACTGGCCGTGTTGGACGATGTTTTGCTCGAGCTTTTGTTCTGAGATACGCCGACGCCGACACCAACACCAATGGCAATGATTCCGAGTAAACCAATAACAGAACCAATAATCTAAAAGTTATTGGGTGAATACGAGAGGAAGTCAACCAGAAATCAACCACACACAATCCACTTTGACCGCTGAGAGCGGGTTCGCATTTGTCCAGCCATAGAAGACGCTCGTACCAAGTTAGCTATGAGCCTCTTGAAATAAAGTAGAGTAGGTGCTGGTGGAATAGGACCAAGGCTGGGAGAATATCCATCAGCGTTTCAGCGCCGTTAAAGCGCCGCCCTGTTAGAAAGTAACGTCAATCCCGGTTATGGCTTCATTTCAACTCCAGTCTCTTGCCACATCCTCGCGCCAATCTTCAATGTTCATGGTGGCTTGGAAGAACGTCTTCACCTAAGGCCTCTCATATAAATCCGATGAATTATTCCCATTCGGTCACGGTCCATCGCCAAAAATGTACCTTGAAATTACTATACTATACTGTTACTGCTTCAAAGTCCTCGGTGCGAACGGTGCATATCGAATATATCTCCAGAATGTAGAAAGTTTTGCGGAGGCTGGTTTATTTCTGGTCAATCTCAATGCTGAATGAACCGGTACTTTGAGTATACACCGGAGTTATAATTGTTGTAAGCAGTTTCTCGAAAATATATACTTCAACATAGTGTCAAGAGGTATAGATTTGAGAGACTAAGAGATACATACTCATTGCAGGATAAGCTCGAGCTCTGTATGTCGACTTCAGTTTAGGCTCGAAATTTGATTGGTCTGTGATTTCTTGTATTCCAAAGAATAAATGATATGTATACAGTATATAGATAACGCTATTGCTGTTCCGGATTCTCTAACCACAACGGTAGTATATGGCCCATTTTCAACACCTTCGTACGAAGATACTTGTCCAAGTCTTCTCCGTGAACTGCTCCACCTCCAATCAAGGTCGCGCCCGCAACGCGAGCGTCATCTACTGGTGCCAAGACTGCATGGTCTACAAGCTGTGGGTTTCGCGTCTTCCAGCTTCTTGGTATCATCGGTACCCGCTGAACGACTCGTATCCCCTCCTTTTCCAACGCTTCGACTTTGTCCGGATTGTTCGTCAGCACTCTTACATTTTCTCCTGCGCCATCTGGATTACCAAGGCCCAGGTCCCGTAGGATGGCACAGGCTACCTCGTAGCCACGTTCATCAGCTTGATGTCCTAGCATCAGATTGGCAGTGACAGTGTCATGACCCAGGTCCTGTAAATTGTATGCTCGGATCTTGGACAAAAGGCCGATGCCACGTCCTTCTTGTCGAAGATATATGACTGCTCCACGACCTGGAAGGGTTTTGGAGGGTGTGGAGAAAGACTGCGAAGGAATAGCGATCGGTTGCGATATTAACCGAATCGCCTCATCCAACTGCTCGCCACAATCACATCGCATGCTCCCAACAGTTTCACCGGTAAAGCATTCAGAATGGATACGAATCAGCGGCGAGGGGATCGCATCAGTCAGTCCAGTTACTTCCCGAACAGGACGGGAAGAGTCCCGGGACTCAAAATTTTCGGGAGGGTTGGATGTCACCCGCGAAGTCGGAGATAGTCGACCAACATAGGCACCCCGAGTTATGCGGTCCATCTCAGTTTCATTCTCAGTCCAGACAGCATCGAGAGTACGAGAGCGAATATGAGGAGGTTCATCTGGTGCAGGAGGCCCAGAGAATTGAGCAGGATCGACGACTATAGCCATATGTTCTTTGCTGTCTCGATTATTGTGATAGATATGTAGAAAGACAGGTCCGTGGGGTGTCGGGATCCGCGTACGAGCCATACATTTGACCTCTAGTGGCGAAAATAGCTTGTGAACAGACCGCGTGCTCTCCGGCTGAGTAGATACTTGATGCCGAAGCCTTTCTTCAGTTACCTGAGCGAGGGAAGAGCGCCGCTTTTTCTGGTAAGACGTGGGTAGATTTTCAGTAGGGATAAGGGGTCCCGCATTCTCCTTCCCACCATGCGTAATATCAAGTCCCAGCCGCTGCCTACGAGGAGCTTGCCTACTCACGTACATCAAACGTTTTCGCTCTGACTTCGTCGAGGCGTCTTCTCCAGTAAACTTTGTCCAGTCCCAAGATCCTTCAGATTGCGGTAACATGACACCTGGAAAGAAATCATGCTGGTAGTGATTACGAGTTACATGGGGACCAGATGCAGAAGCCGCTGCGATGAGTAGAGGGTCAAGCGCAGCATCCCTCCGAGGCAATACTGTTTTTGGGGTGGGACGATCTGGTCCGGTGAGGATATCGAGGAGGGCAGCATCTGCCTCGGAGTTATGGATAGAGGAGGGATGCATCTGGGGAAGAAAAGTGAAAGTAAAAGTGAGGGTCACTGTCCAAGTTATAGTGACTTTCTGAGTAATGATGAGCGTATTGATATTACCCCGACCCGAAAATAAGCGCTGATGACATAAGTGTCATTTGTAAGCGCTATGGAATTGACCCCTGTGTTCTCCGCATCAGTGCCTGTCCACCGCAGAGAAATCCTCCGGGCACGATGATGAACCTGCGATAAACAGGTGGTTGTAAGCGGTCTTGTATAAGACATGCGTTTGTTTGGCATGGAGGTCTTTTCTTGACTAACATTGCTGGTCCCCTCGCACCTCGGATATGCTTTCTGGCGTTCTGCAAAGTTCTGTGTATGTGTTCCTTTTGTTGCATTGCTTGAGGTACGTGAAAATGTAACGGCACCCCTCAACAATATCTTACATACTTCTCGTAGTTGCTCTGCAGCACCTTGGCCTTATGTCCCAGCATCAGTCTCTCTTCTTTCATCTGTTCGTTCGAGTGCTTCGAATATTTCTGGCAGTGAGGCCGCTTCGCTTTCATCCGTGAATCCAACACATATTCTAGCCATCATTGGCAACAGCCAAACATCAGCGACCCACCATCTCAGCCCGGCAGGTATCTTGTTTGTGGGATTGGGAGGACTTCTCGTCCTCATTGCTGCCTCTTTAGGCACAGCACGTTTCCTCCGTAGTTGGAAGCCTGCCAGGTACACTGGCAAGCAACACTAAGAGAGAGGACTCACTGGGACCAATGAGTAAACAGGCAAGGATCTTCGATTGTGGAGGCAGTAAGGATCCGTAAGAGTGAGCGATGATGGTGGTACGAGTCTAAGTGTCTAGCTACTGAGGAATGGGTATATATAGTCTATAATGAGACCCATGACGTAGTAGACGCGTCGATGTAAAGGTAGGAAACACGTGGTCGTGCTTCCACTCTCCCCGCCACTGAAACGCGAAGCGGCAGGGAATAATAACAGTGCAATAAACCCAACCAGAAAAATTTATAAGTAGAATAAGTAAGAACCAGCGCCTTGTCCCTTGGACGCCGCGCGTAAAGGTGAGAATGATGAAAAGACCAGACCTATCCTTCAGTAATACCTTCCCAGATGTCGAGGGCTCTGCAGTCTTGCATTGAGCGTCCAGGTTCCCAGGAGTCGAATTCGGGGCCGTAACCCTTCCAACGCACCAGGTATCGACGTCCGCGACCGACCTTCCGTTCGTCCAGTATGCGATCGACTTCCAGTTCCAATAGACCATCTGCAGAGACGATGGGTCCAGGTCGGGGGAACTCACGATTCGGGAAAAGCTCAGGGTCGTTGTCGGTGTAGAGCTTGAGTTGATCAGCATGAAATGTAGGGAAGATGTCGAGACCAGCTGGCAGATTGAGGGTGTAGGCTGAAAATTCGGGATGTACGTCAGTAATTGTATAGGGACCATCATAGCGGGGGAAGAATTTAGCGGCTCGTTTTTCTCCCTTTCGTTTGTATTCGTTTTTTCGATGTTTCGTCTTAAGTAACACTCGGTCGTTCAGCTGGAAGGTGGGGTCAGCGCGACGGTGATGGTTGTGGGAGCGTACCTGGTCTATTTTCGCAGACAGCAAGCAATCTTGTGCATTGAGAACATCAACTTGAATATTTGTGAGGAACTCATGTGCATCGAACTCATGTTCAGAAGCTTTGGCAGGTAAATTGGGTACGAGAGGTGGAATTAGGCGAGGCGAGAAGCCGCTGCGGAGTTGGAAACCGGACATTCCGATGGAGGAGTTGACAGTGTTCATAATTTCGAAACGGATTCGGGGCAAGGCGCGTTTCCAGCCCTTTTGATTACGTTCCACATGATAACGGAGCATCTGAATTACAGTCTTGTTGCTCCGTTCGCTGGACCCATCGGATTCGGGATGGTAAGATGTGGACATGCGAAGTCGGACGCCAGACAGGGTCCGGAGAGCTTCCCAGAACTTCGAGACAAAGAGGTGGTCACGGTCCGACACAATGTCATCTGGTAAACCATTTTCACAATACCAGTGGTCAAAGAAGAGCTGAGCACACTCAGCCGCTGTTAAATCGGTGCGGCAGGGAATGATACGGATATCAGCCCCAAGACGGTCTGTAATGGTGAGGATGCAGTTCGAACCATTGTCTTCAGGGAGAGGGCCGATGAAATCCATAGCGATTGAGGAGAACCGACGATCGGGAACAGGAAGAGGGTGTAAGGGACCCGCCTTTTTCTGTGTCGTGGATTTGTTACGTTGACATTCGTCGCATGCTGGTACGTATGACTTTTCCAGGTCTCGACGCATGTGCGGCCAGTAGTAGCATTCTCGTAGTGAAGCATAAGATTTGTCGAAGCCGAAGTGACCCAGGTTGTCATGGGCGAGCCGGAATAGTTCTTCACGAATGCTTCCTGCACGCGGAATGATCAGGCGGTCACCAATGTACCAAAGTTTGGACACTGGGTCGAGGTGAACGGAGGGCATGCTCGAGGCAATGGAGGGTAAGTCTTTGCACCAAGGGTCCGTGGTGTAGCCATCACGGATGGCTTGCAACAAGGATACGTCGCAAGTGATTGTCAATGTTGCGGCGATTGGGGGGCACGGACATGGTATGGGGCAGCTAGCAAGTGCGTGTGCACCGAACCAAGGGGAATCCGGAAGTATACAGAGAATTGGTAGATCGGGATCGTCATCGGAATCGGGACAAAATGCGTAAGGATGGCGGGATGTCGGTATTGCTTCCGTGGAGGAATCTAGATGTCGGTGTGAGTTATCATCTGGTGTGGGATGGAGAAGGTCGGTTCGGCGAGAGAGAGCATCTGCGACGGTATTGCGTTCGCCAGCAACATAGACAATCTTGCAGTCGAATTGTGAAAAGAATTCCATCCACCGAGCTTGACGACGGGAGAGGTCAGGTTGAGAGTGGAAATTCTCCAAGGTACGATGGTCAGTCATAATCACAAAGGGAACACCGAGCAGATCAACGCGCCATTTTTTCAAGGCCCTGACTATAGCTAGGAGCTCTTTCTCATGCACGGGGTAGTTAAGTTCGGCATTCTTGAACGTCGAGGAGTCAAAACTGACAGGCCGTGCTGTTTCCCAAGTTTCGCCGAAGCTAAGGACAGCCCCAGAGCATCGGTCACTGGCATCAGTAGTAACAAAGATTTTATGGGTATCGAGGAGGTCATGGTCAATCACAGTCAGGCATTCTCGACTGGATACAAGGGTTTTGACAGCGTCGAAAGCCGATTGGTGGCGCGGTTCCCATGGCAGGTGATCTTTGTCCTTACAGTTTGAAGTCAGTCCGGTCAGGATATCAGTCAGTTCCGCCAGACGTGGTAAGAAGGCTGCCACGTATCGCACTAAGCCCAGAAAGGATTGGAGTTCTTTCAGTGTTTTTGGAGTAGGCCAGTCCATAATTCGGTCCACCTTCTTGTCATCAGCCGCTATACCATCAGACGAAATCGAGTGACCCAGGAAGCGAACGTTGAATGTAAACAGTTCACATTTCTTTGGATTGCAGTAAAGTCGAGCCATGCGAAGGGCCAGGAGCACCCTTTCAACATTGGCAACATGTTCTTCAATTGATTTGGACCAGATGATGATATCGTCAACGTAAACATAACAGATTTTCCCTATGAGGTGGCGGAGGGCAGAAGTTACCCGACGCTGGTGAATCGCAGGCGAATTTTTAAGTCCCTGGGGCATGACAGTCCATTCGTATAGCCCGAATGGTGTAGTTACTGCAGTGAGTTTGATACTGTCTTCATCCATTCGTGTTTGAAAGAATGAGTCTGTCATATCGATTTTTCCCCATATGCGACCTTTAGCACAGTCCGCAAGAATGTCATCAATCCGAGGCAGAGGGTGAGCATCGACCACGGTATTGTCATTAAGTTGTCGGTAGTCTGCCACCCATCGTGGTAAGGCATTGGGATCAGATTTAGGAATGACAAAGGATGGAGATGCGTATGGAGAATCGGAAGCACGGATTTTACCAGAGTCCAAATGTTTCTGGATTAGCGTTTGCCATGCTGAGCGAAATTTGCGGGGGCAGCGATATGAACGTGAAGAAATTGATTTAGCAGCATCAATTAACTGGATTTTTGCAGTGACAGTAGTCGGCAAGTCATCAACATGCGGTATGGGTTCGAAGATAGTGTGGAACTTTTGTTTGAGTCGTGTTTCATGGTCATGCAGTGTATTTAAGGTTGCCAGGTTCTCAATACGTGCACGGATAGAAGCAATAGTGTCAGAGGTACTCATGGTAGGGGAGACAGACGACGGGGGGAATTTAGGCCGTATCTTGGAACAAACCTCTGTTAGCTCAGCGACAAAGTCTCTCCGAGCTTCCCTAGCTCGGTTACCTGATTTCCGGAGGGTTGTGTTCACATTCTCAACAGATTTTGATTTAAACGAGAATGTACGAGGTACAGGTAAAGGTTTCAACAGGTCAATACCCGAAGGTTTATGTATACAGGAACGAGATGCGTAGTCTATAACAATATGATTGTGCGAAAGCCATGGTAGACCAAGAAGAAGCTGAGTACAGAGTGCGGGTGCGACAATAAAGGGAACCATTCGAGAGGTAAACGAGCCATCAGGAGATCCTACCTTAAGTAGGACATATTCGGTCAATGCGGGGATACTTGATTGTTTCTGATTCGATTGGAAGGCAGCGGAGACGGGTTCAGATTTCTTCAACAGTTGTCGAGCTAACCCAAGACGGTCGACTAGATCTGGGTGAATGAGAGCCAAGTGAGCACCATTATCAATCAATGCATTAACGAGAACAGGAAACGCAGCCTTAGGCCCAGAAACATGGCATTTCCAACGGAGATGAGCTATGCGGAACGGAGCACTTACCTCCTCTTCAGAGTCGGTGCCATCCCCCAGGACTGCGCTTGGCATGATCGATGCAACGACTTCATCATTGGCATCGTCCACAGGTGCAATAGTCGCAATAGGTCCGGAGCGAGATTTCTTGTTCGTTTCAGGATTAGTACCGCGCAGTTTACGAGCGGATTCAACGTCGGCTATCGTGAGTTCTTTGTAACCATTCCCAACAGGCAAGGGGAATTCGTGTTCAGCACTGGACGTGCGACATTTGACAAAGAATGACCTGCATTTGAAGCAGCCCTCATTTTCACTGAGCAAACGGCGTTCGTTGGTCGTCAACTGTGGGAGTCGACCCGTGGAACTTGCAGGAGCTCCGGTTCGGCGTGCGTTTGAATTCGCCGTCGAGGAAGAAGTCAACGGTGTGTTAGCACGAGAGTTCGGGCGCGAACGAATCATGTGTTCCGCCATTTGACGTGCCATTAGCAGTTGGCGGTGTCGACTATTATCCAGGACTTGGATAGCCTTCGTGAAGGTATGGAAGTCTTTGGAGTGGATACCATGAGTCGGGTTTGAAGCATGATCTTCAACTTCCTTGTTGTAAGCCTCACGCAGGCCGGAGTCAGCGGCATCGATGAGCATAATTTTCAAGTTCTCCTCGGATTGGAATCGTGGAGTGCCCTGTAGCAAGTTGTTCAAGACCATGAGTTGTACGGCGAGATCAGAGATAGAGGTCGAGAAGTCATCTGGCATTCGAACAGCCCGCATTTTGCGGAAGGTTGAGTCTTGCCAGTCGTGTTCAAGCACACGGTCTCGCAGAATGAGGAAAAATTCGTTGAAATCGAGTGCCGCGAACTTGTCACGGTTCTGGTCGATCCAGTTGGAGACCCTAGGATCTTCCCATACATTCAGGCAACGTAGAACGTAGTCGCTTGGCGCGAGCTTACGGTTGTTGGTCAGAAAAATGCGCAGGTCACGTTTAGCGGCTTCTAGGGTCTCAACAGTGATTTTACCACAAGACATGTTACCGGGCATACCATTGCCACATGGTTTCCATTTAGCGTAGGTAACGGTGTCGTCTAGCATGGTGGAGAAAACGTTGGGCATGTTGAACGAGGATGTATATGCAGGGTAGTAGTAGGACTCGGAGTCTGAGTCTGAGTCTGAGTCTGAAGACGAGGGTGGTGACGATGGGTGTAAAACAGCGGGAACCTGGTAGAATCCAAGGGCGAGGTCAATGTCTGGGGAGTTCGGGAGTTCGGAGTCAAAGAATGGCAATTCTTCCAAGGTCCTAACAGTGTCCGCAAGTAGAGCGGCACGATGACGAGTCAAGATTCGGTTGGGTGGTTTAGGAGCCACCGTGGTCTGTGGAGACAGGTACAGGTAAGCACAATGTGCACGGGAGGCGGGAATGCAGGAAAACAGGAAGGCAGGAAAAAAAAAACAGGTGAAGGTGATAGGCAGGTGACGAGAATTCTTCTTTCGCAATCAAAGTGTGTCACGAAATTGAATATATGCGTAAATAAATGGTTGTAGAGCGGTGATTATGGTTCGGGACAGGATTTTATGAATGGCGAGATAAGATATCGAGATGAACAAGGGTTTAATACACGAGATAGGGTCCGAGGACCGAAGCGCTGTTTAAAAAAAAGTGGAAGCCTGCCAGGTACACTGGCAAGCAACACTAAGAGAGAGGACTCACTGGGACCAATGAGTAAACAGGCAAGGATCTTCGATTGTGGAGGCAGTAAGGATCCGTAAGAGTGAGCGATGATGGTGGTACGAGTCTAAGTGTCTAGCTACTGAGGAATGGGTATATATAGTCTATAATGAGACCCATGACGTAGTAGACGCGTCGATGTAAAGGTAGGAAACACGTGGTCGTGCTTCCAGTAGTCGGAGCAATTCTACGACTTTAAATCGGATCTACATTGCTGGAATTTCCAGCCGAGCTTTGCAGGGCACAGAGCTGAGGACAAAAGATAATCAGAAACTTTTACGCACCTCGAGAGATCCTCCTCATTCTCCACCTCCACCGGCGTATTCCGCGAAGGATTTAACACTGGGACCTTCTTCATCCGATACGTTAACATCCGTTCATAGGATATGTACGCTGGAGTTCCCATCCCAATCCCATACGAGACCCAGACCATCTGAGCAAACATTTCCCGTGATCTCACCCATTATCATACCTTCTACTTTCTGTTAGGGCTGCTTTTCATTCCCGTACACGTACACATCGTAACATATTTAAGGAACGACCTGATATGACATATGAAGTTGGGATTCTATCATATTCCTGGATGTTCCTGGGTGTTAATCATCTTCAGCCATCGTATATGCCTCCAGCAGTGCTATAGCCTAAGGAGCAGCGAACACAGGGGGGAAATCAAAGAATAAACTGGTATGGACTGGGTTACCAGCCCTAGTCCTTACACAAGAGCATCAACGAACATCATCTGTTACACATGGATGAAGCTGTTCATTGAACTACAAATTCAATCAAGGAATGATAGAAGTTCAATTTTAGTACTAGTGCACGCCAACGCGCGTGTCGATCCATCTGCAGTCAGCATGAAAACCGTGATGAACATTACTAACAGTGATAACATATAAAACAAGCGCCTGTAAGTGGTTTCTCTTCCACGTACTCTACCACTGCGAATTAGAAACCGATTCCGACATAATTGTATCTGCTAAATCTTGCTGTACGAAACGAAGTGATACTGAAAAATCAATTATTAGGTGCTGAATAATTATCAGTCGCGGATCAATTTCTTTCACACCAAGTCATATACCTTTCTTTCTTCCGCTTCCATCCACCATATTTCTTTCTCGCCCAGTCTGGAATACTGAAATTTCAAAGTCAAGAGGTGTTTCTCATGGCCTCTCCAATCAATATAGCAAGCTCTGGAGGGACGGTGGAAAAAAAGTCTGTCCCTGATTGAATAATTGAGGCAATTGCGCTAATTTTCGTTCTTTATAGTTCACCAACCCAGGCAGAATCAGATAACTCTGCTCGCAGTCGGACGGTGATGACGATGCTCTCTGGCTTTGCCAACGAATGTATGACTGAATGGGGCTTTTATCCTGGAATGACACAGGAATTGGTAACTCTCAAAATGGAGAATGTGGCCCTTAGAAATGAAAATACGGCCCTTAGAGCGGGAAATGCAGCATTGAGGAACACCCAGTCTTCTATGGAAACCAGCATGAAGAAACTTTGGCAAGATAACGAGATCCTTGACCGTACATTGAAGAGTATTGGCCCGGAGCGAGACTTCTTTAAGGACAGAGCAGATCGCTATCATGCATTATTCGCTGCATCCCCTGAAGCACTTCCTGCTGTCTGTCGTGATCTTCAGCAGGAGGTCGAACGATTAAGAAGACAGTATGCTGCTCTCACATCGACTACCGAAAGACTGGTCAACGACGGGTTAGCTCTCGGGGTACTTGTGAAAACCGATAATAGTCCCGACGGTATGTAGATGCTACTCGCTCAATCACCGCTTTACTGATTTTGCTGATTAGATATGTCGCTCAATGTCCACTACCAACGACCTCACTTGCACACAACGCAAGCCCGAGCGGCTCCCTCAAATGTTGTTCAGAACATGCACCAACAGCAACCTTATACGAACGACTGTTCTCCAATAATATCCAATACCAGTCATCAATCCACCGGATCAGTTCATCTAACTTCCCAAACAGCATCACAACCACAGACCTTTGCGCATAGAACCTCGAATAATCCTTCCGAAGTCATGTCTCTTGCCGACCAACGCCGACATTCTGTTCCGTCTATCTCGTCAATCGCTCATGAGCGTCCTGTCACCAGCGTCTCGATGCCAGGCCAACTGTCACAGTCCCAGTATAACGCGAACGCTCCGCAATCGAACCGTGTTCCCGCCCAAGTTGGCATTCATTCTCATTCTCAGCCTCAGCCTCGTTCCCAGCCTTCCACGACCTGCCCGCCTTCCACGACCTGCCCGTACCCTTCTCGTACGATCACTCACCCACAACGTTCCGCATCCTCGCCTCATTCTTTGTCTCAAGTACAAATGATCTCGCAGGGTCATTCTACACCTTTCGAAAACCATTCGTCTCGTTCGTCAATCCCTCAGAGCCATTCTGTTCCTTCAAATATCCAACCTACCCAATTACGAATGAACGCGCAGAGCCATTCTGCACCTCTGGAGAACCAATCTTCTCGTTCATCGGTTCCGCAGAACAATTCCGTTCCTCCACATAATCGACTTTCCCAATCGCCAGTGATTCCGCTGGAACATCCTGCATCTCGTTCATCGACTCCTCATTCCTATCCGGTTCCTTCAAATAACCAATCCGTGCGCTCGTATGTTTCTTCAAACCGGGCATCGCCTTCGCAAAACGCACAAAATCCTCGATTCTTCAATAACGTCTGCCAGTCTAATCCATCTACGGTGCCGCAGTCTGTATCTCGCATGGGCCCGCCAAGCACCGTTGTATCTCACACGCCCGTTCCAGTGACCTCTTCCGGTGGGGTACATATATCTGCGCAGGTCCACGATGCACAGCTTGATGACAAGAAGCCTATCCAAGGACCAGCTCCGCCGACTCCTCCTCAGTCGGATAAATCACTTAGTCCCGACCAGGAGCAGTATCCGACGTTACCATCTCCCCTTCTTATTCGAACACCACTAAAACGCGCGAGTATCGATGAGGGTATCCCTTCAAGCCCTTCCAAGCGTATGCGTTTAGATGGAAAAGAAGCGGCGACTCCCGTTCACTCCGCTGAGGCTCCTACTGTGCCACAGAGTGTTGGATCCATGGTCCAGGATGTTGCCCCTTCACCCCATTTGGATCAACAGGTAACTGGGAACATAATCGTCCAATCCCCAAATTTGGAGTTTACTGGAACCATTGTGATGACTACGGAGAAGGATGAGCTGGTCTCTACTTCACACGTCCTTGCATCGATTGAGCCTGATCCAGAAAACTTGGAGATCCCACAAAGCAATTTGATGTCAGATGATCCATCTGACCCAGTGATTTCAGACATAGGAAGTCGTCAAATGGTCAACAACGCGGAAGCAGAGGGGTCGGAAGACGATGAAGCGGGAAGGGATAAAGAGAATAAAGAGGAAGGGGACGAGGATGAGGATGAGGATGAGTCGAGTTTCACAGAGAAGGAAGCACTAGAAGAGGTTCTAAAATTAGAACATTCGGGCAACATATGCAAGTTGTGTCGGTGAGTTGTCCCTGAATTTTATGCCCAATGTGCCCTTTGCTGACTACACCGAAGTGCAAGACATGACAGGTATCCAGACAAGTATACTGATGCAGTATTTAATCGCGATACTCCCACCTCGGTACTCGTCAGTCACTTTACCACTGTCCATCCAGCAGTATGGACTGAACTTCGGGGCTCTTCAGTCCCAAGTCCGACTCCTACTGCCTCCTAATTTCTTTTGCGACCAAGAGTATTGTGCTTTTTCAGACACGCATCAGACTCGCTCATTTCATCATTCTATGTTTGATCTTGCATTCTCGTTTCCTCCTTCCTCTTAAATTATTACAATTCTTCTTCTTGTGTTGTTAACCTTGTCTTCTTGATTTGTTGGTATCCAAGTTTTCGTCCTTTTCTCTTTTTTCTCTGTTTCTTTGGTATTGAATCCACCGTTTTTGGGTTCAAATCAAGGAATATTATTTCCGTTCATCGTCTCATTCACCGCAGTCATAATGTGCCCTTGAATTACACACTTCGTTGTATACACATTGCATTTCTGGGTCCTTGTATGTATATGCACAAGCTACTCACTCTATTATATCCACTCCTTTCAGTAATAGACACCTTCAAACCATGTATGGCGTTGTTATTCGCTTCACGTCGAAGAACTCGTCGAGTGCTTCTTTCTTCTGATTTAATCCCACACCTTATGATCACTTCTATGGCCAACTACACCTCTACACCATATCATTCTTCTATAAATCATGCCTCTGCATACGACGGGATTCCAGGGGCCGTTCTTTTAGATGGGATATTACAATCTTTTCTGTTGGGGTTTGTCATCGGGCAAGCTTCAAAGTACTTCTCTGCGTTCAAAGACGATCGTTGGCAAAAAAGAACGTTTGTTGGAGTTGTGGTTTTACTTTCTCTGTGCGTATAGGGACAGATGATCATTGGATTATCTACGTCTCATTGGTTTTACAGACTGCAAACGATTATCGAGGAATATAAGCTATGGCAGATATCTGTTAACAAGTCGTCTTGGGTTAGTCAACGCGGTGACCTTGACGCGTCTCTTGGTTTAATCTCGCGTCAGACAGGCTCACAGTCACTTTGTATGGACTGGCGTGGCTATCAATGGATGTATCAGCTGGTTGTGCGAGACGTTCTACATCCGACGATGTTGGAAGGTTCGTTTGCTTCAAATTTACCACTAGTCGCACGCATATAGCCATGATCGTGATTCATCCAGATGACAGACCATAACCCCTGGGTCCTTTATCCTTTGGGCACATTGTCCGTAACAGTTTTCATTGCGAATCTCATACAGGCTGTCAGTCTTCCTCTGGTCGTGAACAAGACTGATCCTGAATCTGGTGTATGTTGAGCACATGTTCTCAATAATTTTCTATGTTCCTGAACGAAATTGTAGAACTATCTCGGTAGCGGCCCTCTCATGAGCTTGGTAGGACAATCCAAAAACCTGTGAATCCTTCGGCGAGCTTACCATGTATCAACCCAGTTGCAGTTTGTCTTTTCGTACTGGATTTTTGGGTCTCTAGGTATGATTCCTTCTATGTTCCAGCAATCGTTATGCTGATGGGGAATTTTACAGTGCTGGACCTGATTGTCGCTTCTATTCGTGAGATTTCCATGCCGCTCAATTGATCAATGGGTAGCATTATCGATTGATCCTGACAGTGATCACGACTTTATGGCGAGCGAAAACAGGTCTCGAAGATTCCGACAGAGTGGTCTGGTCTGTTATCACTCTGACCTGTGAATCCGCTTCCCTGCCATGCATCAGTATGATAGCTGCTGTCTCCCTTTATCACTCAGTAAGTAGTCGCCATACCTTCGGAGTCCGATTACCAACCTATGGTTCTATCAGACAAAGGAGAGCAATCTGGTTTTATTTTTCGTGCTTTTGGCTGGCAAACTTTATTCCTATGGTCTTTTACGGACACTTAACTCTCGGGATGGATTTCGTCTCCGCTTGAACTCTCACAATCTGGGCCGAGCCACACTCAGTAACTGGCAGTGGGACCAAGGGAGAGGCGATGATCATCCGCACTTGGAAACAGCGGTCGCTTCAATATCCGAGGTTAGTTTGTGCATACATTTTCGCGAGACAGATCACTGTAGTAGCTAACTAGGAATTGTTATTGAAACAGCCTCCGAAATCTCTGGACACAACCTCCGCCACTCCACACGTTTATGAAGCTGTTCGTAGCTCGAGACGTTCCGATGAAATTTCTCCCCATGATGTCTCCTCTTCAATAGGTCCTCTAAGTTCTATATTATTCTCTAATACTTCTACACATTCCTTCCAGGGCAGATCGCCTACGACAACGAGAAGTAGAAACACCAGCCCTTCTCATAGCGAAGGCTGAACTTTTATTATCTTTTCTATCCTGCTCCGTTAGTATGATTTAATGGATGTGGTATGTACATTATATATGTACATTATAACTTTTCCTCCACCTGGGCAAATGATGTTCTATCAAATACGAATTCGATATGTGCAAAGGGTGAGGATATTTATGGCTCGCATGCATACTCGGGCACGATCTTCCAATATGGTCAAGGATATGAGCGGCGCGATTAGATGGACGAAAGACACATAATATGCTCTCTATAGAATCTCTTTCAAAGCTTCTACGACTTGATCCCCGAGCTCTGTTGTAGCAACTTTTCCCCCGAGATCTGCAGTTCGAAGACCATAGCCACCCGCAGAAGGCAAGTCGAGGACTTTGCGTACAGCAGCCTCGATGGCTGATGCGGGTTTGTCGAGACCGAGTGAGTAACGCAAGAGCATTGCGGCACTGAGAATGGTCCCGATAGGGTTGGCGATACCCTTGCCAGCAATATCCGGGGCAGAACCATGGATGGGCTCGTATAGACCAGGAGTAGGTTTGAAATCAGCGGAAGATGTTTCGACAGGTGCACCGGCAAGAGACGCGGAAGGTAATAGTCCGAGAGAGCCAGGGATAACACTTGATTGATCAGACAGGCTATGGAAGACATGAGGAACAATGAGTGTGAAATGAAAAGATCACAAAACGTACATATCGCCAAACAGATTTTCGGTAAGGATAACACCATTCAACTTTCGTGGATTGGCTACCATGACCATTGCCGTGGAATCGACAAGTTGATGGTCAAATTTAATTTGAGGAAACTCTTTTGTCAGAGTCTCCGTCACAGTTTTCCTCCATAACCGTGAACAAGCCAACACATTCGCTTTGTCGATCGAGTGTATCTCCATCGGTGGGTTCGTCGATAAAGCGATCTGAGCAGCTACCCGAGTGATACGCTGAATTTCAGCTTCACTATAAATCATATTGTCCCAAGCCGTTCCAATGTCTGGCTCCGCACTGGCCTCCTTTCTCTTGCCAAAGTATAACCCTCCGATGAGTTCACGCACAACAACTGTATCGAAACCTCGAGCAACTTCTGGTCGAAGAGGTGTATATTCAAGAAGACCTTCTGAAGCAAAATTTGCGGGACGGATGTTAGCGTAGAGACCGAGCGTTTTTCGGAGAGTGAGGAGGCCAGGTTCTGGCCTGATTTTGGCGTCTACGCCCCATTTGGGTCCTCCGATTGAACCTAGGACGCGTTCAGATGTGAAGATAGGAAGAATGAAGACATCCACACACCCATGAGAATGGCATCTGCCTCTTGACACGCCTTTAACGTTGAAGGTGGTAGAGGTTCACCGACAGCATCTATAGCAGCACCGCCGAATTGGTGTTCCTCTAATTTGAGTTCGAAATCGGTCGATGTAGAATTGATTAATTGGAGAACTTTGATGGCCTCAGCTACGACTTCGGGGCCTGTATAATACATCTGCGATCAATGAAGGAAATCAACGCAGATCTGGAATGTAAGCTCGTACCAATTCCATCACCTGGCAGAACGACAATTCGAAAGCTAATGAACGTGTCAAAATAGCTGAACGAAGGGATTATAGTTTGTGCAAAGCTTACATTCTGGGGGACATGATGAAGGAAGCGAGGGTCGTAAATCAGGCTTAGAGTTGACTCGATGATTTTTCAGTGCATCGGGATTCGGAGAAGCGAAGCGAAGTCGGCCGAAATGGAAATCACTGCGGGGATGAAGGCCTTTTCTTGCCGCGAATAGGCCGCGAATAAGTCGAGATTAGGTACAAAATTCTACGCCTCAGTAGAAGCTGAATATTTTATTTAATCACACTGTAAGCGAACGAACATTATGGAGAGAATATATTGAGATTATTCAAAAAATTCTTCCACAAAACTACCTAGGATTAGTCTAATTAAACCCATTGTCATTTTTCAATGTTTTCGCGTGCTGAATATGCAAGGATTTTTCAGTCTAATCTACTAGAAATTAGTGTGTGAATATACTAGGATTAATTTGAATAATTGCAACATAATCTTACCGTGATAGTTTGAAATTTTCGCGGAATATTCGCCGCGTGGAGAGCATGAGATTCTTCAAAATAATCTCACTGAGAATAGGGGTACGCGATGTCGGGACGTCGGGATATCGAGACGTCGTCGATATCGGGACATCGGGACATCGAGATGTCGTCGATATTGGGACGTGGGGACATCAGGATGTCGTCGATATCGGGACGTGGGGACATCAGGATGTCTCGATATCCAAGATATCCAAACCGAAAAGTGTTGCGGATGTCGGTCATCTAGTAATTGTGTCAGTACTAGAATTTTGAAAAACAGTAGGTAGGTACTCATCTGATGTGCTCATTCACTCATAATCAGTATACTTAAGCAAGCTTGCCTTTCAAGATGACACTATGATATATATATACAGTGTTTGCAAGAACTTCATAGGTAAAATATTGACCTCTCAGAATCTATTAACTTGTCAGTCATATACCATATCAGAGAAAGCTGAAAAGGACATACCATTATGCAGCTACCACTCTTGCAAGGACTGGTAGGATAATAGTTTCCCATACAACAAACCAATGACCAGGGATGAAGAATATTTCAATGTGTGCCTTGGAACCTTTGCAAGACAACGTGAATTAGAGTATAGATGGGAACGCGAACCATACGGACAGTTAAAACAATGACTTTTGGGTCTGTCAAAGCAGGCCAGTTCCAATAAAATGTGTGCTATAGATTCTGGAAGCGAGTGAACGTCAAATGAATTTGAGAGGCAACAAGAAAGACGTACCGGATTTCCTTCGCCGCAAAACACACATAGGGGGGAGCCAGACTCTGCCGGGACACGGACATTGTCTGTCCCACTCTGCCTTCCGCCGATCGTAGTCGGTCGTCATTCCTAGCTTCCAGTAGACACCGGAATCGACGAAAGCATACAAAAAACCGGGCCCATCAGCTGATGACGGGACGCGGAAGCGTCTGGACATGTACAGAGCGTGGAGTTTGTGGTTGGAGCGTTTTGTCATCGCGCGTGATTCTGACCAAGAGCGCAACTCAGGTCGGCGGGAGCGCGCGGTACCAGAGGGCTTAAGGACAAAGATGGGGTGCCTGAGGAACTGGAGAGCGAGCCGGATAAGTGTTGAAGAGGATGTAACAACTGTCTTTGGGGGGTATGTAGGGTAGGTACACTTGTAGCTTGGATTGTAGCTTGGATTGTGAGCTGTAAGTTTGTGGGTGATCTGACAAGAGCCTGGGGAATGCTCTGATGGGTATTATGTCGCTGTCGATGGGATTAGATAATGACCATCGGGCCTCTTGAAACCATAGTACCTTTGAGTTTCTTCATTATGAGATGATTTGCAAGGAAGTCCACCATAAAACTAGTACGCTTGAGCTCAACCCACCATGCAATCACATTAAAACATGAATATAGAATGAACACGAGTCAGGATAGCCTATGAGCAACAAAAAAGGGACCAGTGGGCAAATGTTATTAGCATACTGCCTTGTCCCGCCGTTGATTTTGTCGAGGTCACCCCTAGTTCAATCATTGGGTACATAACAGCTGAAGTTTCTAATTTCACGGGGAAAGGGCTTTGCAATCGGAATGGCAATGTCTCTTAATTGTTTGTTTGAGCTACAGCAAACTAAAAGGTCTGTTTATTCCACTCGCACTGTCAAATTTTCTGAGTATCAGCACAGGATATCGCATTACGTGGAGGTCCGATGAGGCATAGTTCATGAACGTCCGCGATAGAAGCTGACACCAGTGTCAGCTGGCACGCATTCATGTCGTGGAGAATTGATACACAAAGTTATGATCGCGGCGCTCTACGTAGTACGGCACTCATGTCAATGGGAAATATAGTCACAGTATAGTGTTGGCCAATGCAAGAATGGGGAAGTGAAAGGTATATGAGAGAGCAATGGTGAAATCAGGGTATCTTCCATTTGTCTATGGCCGCTTTGACCAAACGGGCCATCTCTTCTCTGGCCTGTTCCTTTGCACTGTCTGTTATCTCCTCGAGAGCATCCAATGCTTTCGGCGACGTTTGTAAAGAATCGAATTTGAGGACATGTCCTTTGTAGAGACTGTTACCACTACATTTTGTGTCTCGATGAGCTTTTTGGAGGACTGCTATACGGCCCCATTGTAAACTCAGCCAAGGTAGCATCAGAGTTTTTCGCGTGAATGCGGATTGGACACTAGGAGTCTGCTCGAGGAGGGAGACCGGATACGAGTGAAGGATCTCTCCGGATGAATATATATATTCGTAGTCAACCTATGTCCCCGCAAGACTTGCTATCTGGTGGCAGCCGACCATCCGGAACAGATTCGCTAGTGGTGAATCGTTCAAACTGAGCATCTGTTCGTCTTTTCTAGGGGGACAATAAGTGGTGGAAGGTGTATGTGCATGGTGAACGGTTCGAGGATTAGACGGGGTTTTCGCAGGCAGGTTGATATTGAACGCCAAACTCGACTTGGGTGGTAGTAATTTCGAAGGAGATAAAGGACCACGCGGAATATGAGCATTCGAAGTGGTGAAAGGAGGTTTGAATTTCTGCAGATTGGGCGAGGGTATGGGAATGAGGAGTGGGTATCAGCAAAAGATACGGCGCATTTGCGTTTGAGACTTGAGTTGGGGTTTGGGTTCGAGTTGATGACCGGATATTTTATCCATCGAAGCTAAAATTTATATTTAAGTGATCTTGACAAAGTGGGAGAAAGAGAGAAAAGGCCATGTATACCCTACCTCGTTTCCAAGAAGTCCAGCGCGCTGAGCGGTACCTGGCCCAGTGAATGTACACCTTTCTTCTTCGGCGATGTATACGACGTAAGACGAGCTGTAATCAAATGGACAGCTCAAAACAGAGAAAATGGAAAGTACCTCACGAACCACTAGCTTGGAATTCCTTGATGACTCGCCATCATCGCTGTCTTTTGTCTCTTGTATTACCATCCATTTCCTCTTCCTCTCAGTTTCATCCAGTTCTCCAGGGCAGCCATCGCCTGCTTGGGCCGTCAGCTTTTCCTTTTGAAGTCCTGTAACCGCAACGACAGGATTGCCGTAGTACTTTTCGCCGAATCCTTCATCGTTAGGGTCCTGACGGGTTTGGGTATACGCGAGATGGTGTGCTCAAGATAAATCCTGAAACCTTCGAGCTGATCTTCGAGCCATAAGCGAAACTGACGGGTCCAGTGTTGTACTGCTCAAAGATGGAAGTATTTTTGGTATTTCATGTAGTTTTTCTGTTGAAGGCCAGGTAGTCTATGAGTCTATGTACGAGTTGCACTCAGATACAAGACGAGACGACGATGAAGACGAAAGACGTATCGGGTTAAGAGACAAGTGATCAATTTTGATTTATAATTTTTAGGCACTCTACATTCAGATATCTGGGTCATTGGAACAGGATATATGTACATATTCTACTCTGTGTCTACATACTGGCAACATATTCTACTCTGTGTCTACATACTGGCAACATATTCTACTCTGTGTTTACATACTGGCAACTTCCTGTTGTAATTGGTTGTTGTGTCCGCAGCGACTGGTCCAGCAAAATCTGCAAAACTAGATTGATCATTTTTGTCCGTCAAGATGGATTCTATCTGCGCTGCCCCTAAAATGCATCAATGCCTGCATTACCGAAAAAAGAAGTACAGAGAGCACTCACGTTTGTAGTGTCTGTTTGTTGAATCATCGTAATTGAACCAGATATAACCCGAAGCGAGGTATTGAAGCTTCCCGTTTGCTCGGAGAGTACATGACTTGACGGAAGTCATTTAGAGCGCATGAGGTGAAACGAAGTCGAAGATATAAACAAACTACACACAATGGCGTTGAAGGTCTTACCCTGAGGAGAGTTCATGGTAAGTTGGATCGTGCTCAATAATTTAGATTCCACTTCTTCCTGCGGCCGTAGTAACACCACCCTCGAGTTCCGGTAGATTCTGGCCACCTTGACCGTCCTGTGGAGGAGGCAACAACCCGGCACGAACAAGCCATGCAAGATACCGGCCCATAAGCTTCTCGTCGATTGTGTTCGGGGGATCGTACTCGCTAATCCTGCCACGCTCGACAACAGCTACAGCGTTCCTGTCGTCCAGCATCGGTGCCTTTGTGGATGTAGGAAGATCATCGAGAACAAAATGTAGAAAAGGGAAGAGAGCGTTATCTTCTTCCACCTCTCCTACATTTCAAGATTTGTTTATGACATGTGCTTCGAGTTGCAAACGCCACTGCAGATACTCTGTCTTCTCCACTGCCCAGCCGTATATTTTGAGAGCAGTAAAGAGATCATTGAAGGTGGGCAGCGGACGTGCGGTAACGTGCATCACACTCATGTTGCCTCCAGGACCGCTTTTCTCTGACGATGCATTATCTGATGGGATAAGGCTTGCTGTCACCGCACTCACACAGCACATTGCTACTCGGTCCACCGGCACCATATTCACCCCATTAGACATATCAGGAATGCTTCCCAGTTGCACACATCCTTTGACCATCCGCCACACGAAGTCGTCCGTGTTCGTGACACCACCTTTACTTTCCCCGACAACATATCCTGGTCTGATGATATATCCACTCAAACCCCTCTTTCCTGCCTCGAATAGCAGCTTTTCGGCAACCCATTTGATCTGGCCGTATCCCGTTCTAAGTCCCCGCCGAGCAGTCTCAAGATCATCCATTTCCAGAACGCAACAACCGAGAATCTGAGAGATGACAGACGAGCCAATGCACATGTACGAGGGTGTCAAGCACTGAGGTACTACTCACAAACACCATAGACCTGGTCCTTCCCTGGGTTCCTGCTAATTCGAGTGCAGTGAGCGTTCCCATCACGTTCGGCGCCTTGAACCTCTCATATGGGTATACCCAATGCACCAAAGCACCATTATGCATTACTACGCCGACTTCATGCTCTAATCTCTCCCACTGGGAGAATGCTACACCAAAGTGGCGTAGGGCAAGATCACCAGGAAGAACGGTAAGACGGTTACTGGATATCCATGAATCGGACCATACACCGCGAGATGCGCAGGAGTCGCGTAGGCGAGCTATAGCGGAAGAGGGGGAAGACGCACGGACGAGACAGGTGACATGAGACACAAAAGAAGAGGAGGATTGAGTCTCAAGAAGCTGCTGCAAAATGAATGCACCTAGGAAACCTGTCGCGCCTGTTAGGAATACATGTAAACTCCGAGCAGATGATGCATTGTAGGAGGGATACGAATACGCAAGGTGAGAAGAGATGAGTTCATCAAGATCTTGCGCGTAGTGATTATCTTCTTTTCCTTGTTCGTCCACATCAATATCAGGTATACCATTTCCTTCCTTTGCATTGGGTCCTACACTTGTGTCCATGGGAAGTCCCAGGTCCTCACCCCGTAGGACATCCACTATCGAAGCTAAGCCACACACGGACATTATTTCCCCTCCGTGTTTACTGTAAACAACTCCCAGACTAATGCGATCCTTCAACACTGTAAAGGCTCTACGCATCTCAAAAACGAGACGTATAGCGAGGATGGAATGTCCACCGAGATCGAAAAATGATTCATTCGAGGGAATGGAAGGAAATGATCCTCCTGTGAAGCCTGGGGTAAATCTTGGAAGAAGGGAAGCAAAGAGGTTTAGAATAGTTTTCTGAGTAGGGGTGATATCTGCATGAAGGTTGTCGGGGCCGTCGGCAACAGCCAAGGCAGAGGTGGATACAGCAGAAAGAGAAGCAACGGTGGCAGTTCACCTTCATTTACACCAGTAGTAGTAACCAATTGCCCCATAGCTGGAGTCAAATGCGTCACGGTGACACTTTGCTCATCCATCCAGGCAGCGAGAGCACCCGGGGTCCCGATAGCACTTGACGGTGGTACATGGAGAGATGCGCCAAGGAAGAGAAGAGTGAATACTGAGTGAACAAGGTAAGATAATCCTGGAATACAGTACAATGTACCTAATATCTCTTTGAATTGGATCGTGTGCAATCCGCTCAGCATTGTGAATCTGCTCTCGGGGCCAAGACTAAGGGTAGGCATGCAAGGAAAGAAGTGCGTCAGGCCTGTGAGCCAATTTCAGTGATGAACATGACGCGAGAATAACCACATACTGTAATGTCTTCCCCTAACACCCTTCGGAACACCTGTACTCCCGCTAGTGAAAGAGAGCGTTGGAATTGAGTCCGGGCCCAGAACTACACCAGGATCTGCTACGTTTACTTTCAAGATTGATCCGTCCGCGTGCACAGTGCCATCTTTGCCCAGGCTAACACCCTCGATGCAGACTTTCACACCGCCCAAATCTTTCTCCCAATATCCTCGCAGTTCATCGACAGGATTGAGGTCCTGGGCACCCTGGAGTATAATGACTGCCCTTGTGCGTGCAACGGAGAGGTAGACGATCTGCCTTTCAGGCGGATATGCAGGATCGATGACACTGAATGTTGCACCAGCACCGAGTGTCCCAAGCACCGCCAGAACGAGGTCAGCAGATCGATGAGCATATATCATCACCACATCTCCGCGCTGAACTCCATGTTCCAGCAGATGATTTGAAAAAGAATTTGCTGCATTGAGTAACGAACCATACTTCAACTTGTAAGTTCTGGTTTGAGTGATGATAGCTGCTTTTTCCGGGTTTTTGGCCGCATTTGATTGGACCTGGCCATTCACAACAATTCAATAGAGCACGGGGGTCAGGAAGTATTCCTTCTTCCTTTTCAGTACGCAAAGAGACATGGCCGATAGGAGTTGTGCGATTTTGGATGACAAGAGCGAGGTGCAAATGCAAAAGCTGGATTCATATTGGAGTAAAAAGGATAGTGTTGTAAACTGTGCGAATGGAGTTCCCGGACACGAAGACGTTTAGGTCTCCGGTATTTAATGACTCGGTCTCTGTTACGTGTATTGAATCTAGATAGTCTTCGGGAGAAAGATCGATATGAAGAACAGAGGAAGGAGTCCCGAGAACGGCATGTGTATCCCCAGTATACCGGTGTACAACTGCCACCAGCGCGCGCAATATGTCTTGAGCACTTGCACCTTCAATCTGGTATCGTTCTTCAGCTTCAACGATCTAGTCAATGGAACGGTTGTCACCATCACTATTGGCGTCAATTCCTGCGTCAATGTCATCATTGTTGCTTGGAGTAGAGTCGCTCGGAGCGAATGTCAGCCAGCCAGCGAGGGATCGGTCAGGATGAATTGCCAAGGTAGAGAATACACCGGTTAGAGCGATATTGTTTTCAGGTGTGTAGATATCTCCCGCACAGTTACGGAGTAGTCGAAGTTATGAGTGGCAGAGTGGACAAGGAATTGCTCGTCCAGTAGAACGACCATATTTTGGACCGCACGAAGAACCTCAGTTTGAATGCCGAAAGGCCTGTCTGCTTCGCTCAAACGAACTAGTGTGCCAAGAACTTCTGGAACGTTGATTCTCAATCCGAGGCAAATACCAAATTTCAAAACTTACCGTTCTTGAAGAGATATTCAAGACATTCAGTTGTACTGCGAGATCACTAATTTAGCCCAGTCTGTCGCGGGGGAAGTAACGCGTACCCTCGTCGATCCAGGTAGACTCTGTAACGAGGCTGTTGACCATAGCTTGCAAGTGTGTTGGAACATAGTTGACGTTCATCTGGATGCTTAGCATCCAGATTCAAGAATGTATTGTTCTGCAAGTATGAGATACGGTTGAGAAGGTGAAGAATGAAATTAACAAAATAAACAACCTTGACGAAGTTCCAAGATTTGGTGAATTTTTGGTTATAGTCTGGCACTTCCTTCGGTGCAGGTGGAGTACCGCCTGACCAATTCTCATGTTTAACAAACTTTCGTGTTCGCCGGACGATACTGCTGTTTCGTTGGCTGACGGATCTAGACATAACCTTTGCGCCGGAAAAAGGAGAGCATGCATGGGAATTAATAGAATATATATATATACGACAAATGAAAGACGACAAGGAATAGTGGTTTTGTACTGCGCAAGAACTGCCTTCATTCCGGTACTCTAGACTTGGTAGAACGAGCTGGAAACAACAACACCAGCTGTTGCATCTAGGTGCCACTGTATGGTTTCGGAGCGAAACGAAGAATGGTGTTTGTGTACTCGATCTAACAAGGGGTTAACTAGGGCCTCTATAACAATTCAATTTCGACTTACTTCCTTCTTCAACGTTCGCAGAATCTCTGTTATTTTTGCAGCTTGGGTAAGCAGGGGCGTGAACATCAGGGTGTAAGCCTCCATCTTGATACGACGAGTCAGTAAGTAATGAAAGTAAATCAGACACCACACACCTCCATGGAAGAGGTCATATTCGGACCACGAATGAGTGCCATGTACATCTCCAGTTTTGTTCGCTGGGCCACTGGTGACAAGCTAGTGTGAAAATCACACAATGCGCTGAAGAGTAGCCGACATGTTGAGTCCATGGATGGAAGGACGATGGCGAGATTGACTAGAGGTTTTTCAAGCGTGGCAAGGAAGATCTTGGTAGAGATAAAAAATTAGACCATTTTATGATCATCATTGAAAAACCTTCTACCTTGCATTTGAGAATCTGGGTCAAACGTTGAAGAGAAAGGACTTCAGAGTGATAGGGGGGGAAAAATTCTAGCTAATGCAGAAACATCAGATAAACATGGATGCGAGATTTTGGGAACTTACTGAATCATCCATCCTTCCCGAGCAAAGAAGGTTAGCATATCCCTGCTTCATGCTTTCGATCGATGAACGCATGGCTTCTTGGAGGGTCTCAAAATTTTCTACCAACGAGTTTATGGTAGCGGTCGCTATGTCCATTGATTGGCGGCAAGTATCCATGTCGAAAGTATGGGTATACGAGGGACTGTATGAGTAAAAGCGGTCGGTTATATAGTAGTTCTTTCTGGCAAGATGATCAAAGGGACATGAGATCGAACTAGGACAAAGGGGTTGTTGCATCATGAGGGTTTCTTTGAGCTTTCCGTCCAATCGATTCAGATTTAGCGCTCAGTGTATAGTCACTGCTTGAACCTTGAGCCATGGAGTAATGAGACGGCCTTAGGTCTGGTTTTGAACCGAGACCAAGAGTTGATGAGGATGGTTAAGAGGAAGAAAAGGCGCTTGAAAAGAAAAGATGCTTCAGCGCTTACAGCTCCGATATATTATGTACCTCTATCTCTTTCTCAATGATCATTCAGTCCCACCGAGTACAACTCCGTGGGCTGTTCCTCCAAGGGGCCGTCGATTCTCCTTCATTTCTGTGGTCCCCTTCGAGCTCAACGCTTTCGTACATCCATTCGCAGAACACATATCTTTTGGGTGTTTATTAAATCTGGGCTTCGACATCGAGGTCAGCAATATGCTTCAACGTTCAACAAAAGGTTGCGTATATTTGACTTGGGTATTGCTTAGGTAGTACCTACAAAAACTTACCCTCAGGCGTCTTGAAAACACCTACATTGTTTTAAGTACTTATGCAGACTTCACGGGTGTAAACGCTTACCAGTTGCAAAACCAGAAAGGCGTTTGAAGGGTTCAGAGGCAGTGAGTCGTTCAAGAACCGAAGTATTTGCCTTGTTGTGTACAATGTTCTGAGGATGCTACATAAACCAAATGTCAGGGAAGGAGGTTAGATAAAATGTGTTGGACTCACCGTGCGACCGTTACCGTGTGAGACCCCGGTGGATAAAGCTGGAAACGAACCCCTGCGGTGTTCACGGTGTTCACGCTGTTCAGCAGAAAAGCTGCAGTTTTTTCGTTCTTGCTGAATAAGAACGGCGGCTTCTTCTGCGCAGTTTTTAACGGAGGGGTCGGATGGGTAGACGACCAAGCCATAAACTCGGTCGTCGGAGTCAATGAGTGGTATGGTGGTGCTGGAACGGAGTAAAGACGTTCAGAAAGAAGTTGTTATTTACATGATTTTGTGAGGCGTACCCTGCTTTAGCCTTGATGAGCTGAAAGCTCTCGTTTATGTCTGGGCCGACGAGCTCCCTCAGCCACCACGTTCTACCTTCACCTTCGAGGCCCTCATCCCAAAGACCAACGTACGCAGTAGAAGCTACCGGAGCTCCATCCATCGAGAATCTTGTGTTCAAGCCAGAACCCCCAGCAAAGCGATTCAGAGGGTCTACCCGTGAGCGGATGTCCAAAGCTTGGTTCGAGACCGTTTCCACCCGTTTCTTCTTCCGATTCTTCTTGCTAGAGCCCTTTGAGCGGGCTAGCTTCCGCTTTTTCACCCCGCTAAGTTTCATATGCGTAGGTTCTGCCGGCCATACGTTTTGCGACTGTGGGGAAGGCGAGAGTGGCAGAGAGGAGAGGGGAGAAGATAGAGAGGACCGTTCGTGATCAGATGAGGGAGTGGGACTTCTTGAAGCAGCGCAGGTGGTTGTGTTGTGATCGTGGTCATCCAGATGGTCGTATAGACCCTCCGCGGTAACCGACTGGAGGAGCGTGTTCTGGAAACTGAACTCCTGTTGGAACACGAAGGCGGACACCCCAAGTTCACGAGCAAGCTCTGTAAGCCGTAGTTAGAGCCTGATACATTTGAAATACGCGATTGTTTGGAAGAAAACGCGTCTATTCTAGAACGAGGGCAAGCTGAGGCCCCGCATACGCGTGAAGCAGCTCTGCCCTCCGTTTGACCTCGGATCTAAGCTTTTCCCCGAAGCCAGCGGCGAGACCATGAGCCCTGGGTCCTTCGAATTCCCATGGCGTGAGTATTCAAAGGCCAAGGTACAGGAGCCTGCGCCGCTCGCCCCAAAGCAAGCCTGGCAGGGAGGCCAAACGAATTGAAATAAACAAGGTAGATTTTACACACCTGATGAAAGTTTAAGCTTGAACTTCATTGTGAGCAGCAAAAAGAGGTAGAGGTGGAGGGGAAGGCGAGGGTGTTACGAGTGAGTTTAAGTTTAACAAACTGAGACTTACAACCGCTGATTATCAGCACGTGACGCTGCACCGCACCGCACCGTGGCGGCGCTTCTCATTCTGCAACTTTCAATCATCTTTGCATAATTACTACGTAGCACATTCCCTTCATAAAATGATAACAATTTTCTCACCACACCTTTGCTTATCTCTCGACCATCACCACTGCACCACCGATATGTCATCAGGGAATCGCAACATCTGTCTCAGCATCGCCGGACATTCTGTTCTTGGAAAACCAGGGGTTTATGAACAACCGTAAGTTTTTTTGAGTTGCAAACTGTGGAATGTGTTCACTCACTGCGTTACAGCATGTTCGTGAAAGGTGGATATCAACAGCCACCCCTCCCTCTCAACATTATCTGTAAGGATGCTCCGACTGCCACGCACTTGTACAGCGTGCTCCTACCAGTTGTCGAACGTATCTACAAATTGAATCCCGAGAAATTTGACATCAAGAAATCCGTCAACTCCAATGAGTTCCAGGAGGTCGCCTGTGAGCTGGATGGGGACGACTGTCTTAAATGGGCTGTTAAGCTCAGAAAATATGTTGGGGTGTTTCTCTCTGGGTGCGTTAACATTTACATCCCACCACGATCTTTGCCAAGTTATGTATTACAGCTTGGAGGCACTGGCTAGCATTGACTTAAGTAAAAACTCCCGTTTCAAGCAGGCGTTTGCCTTCAACAGTTTTGAAGATGCCGTTGCCTTCCAGATGGGAACCAGCGACAACCCAACAAATGCGGCTTGGGAGTACAGCCCATTGCAACAACCGCATGCCGCTGAAATCATCCGTCAGCAGATAACTCCAACCTCTCCACCTGACCCTCCTGCATCCATCCCTCCGCCAACACCAAGCCCCCCACCAACTCCGAAATCTTCATCAAAGAGCTTTGTAGTCTTGAGTTCGCCAACAAAGAGCTCTTCTACTCCACCTACTCCACGTACTCCAAGCCGCCGACAGGTCCCCCAGAGAAACAAGACTACGGCGGGCGGCATCATCAACAACATCAATATAAACTCTAGCAGCCCTGGTACGATCTGTCGCAGTCTGTTCTCTTGCTCTATTGCTACCAACTGATGCCCTCTGATGCCCCTATAGGACCCTCCCGACGTTCGCAATTTCATTCTGGCGCATATTGGGGCCTTCGGTTGATGGGTGCTCTTAAGCTTTCTGATGGCGACGCAGCACAAGTTGAAGAGCGGCTTCAAGTGAGCACTTCGAAGGAGGACTTTGTGGAGGCATGTCGCAGGTTCCCTGAACTCACAGAGGCATTGGCACAGTTCTTGTGGGATATTCATACTAAGTTGTAACATTGCACAATTCTCGTAATGCTAATAATCCCTGAATTTCAATATTTTTCCTTATTCCTATGGAGGTATAACCCTGAGCTTTGGTAATTTGTAAGTAGTAAAATTCCATGCTTTAGAGTCTGAGCTTCGACATGGCCAGGAAGAAGGCGAGTGAGCTTCAACGGCTGCTGCATGAATCCAGAAAGTCAGGTACAATAACCCGGAAAGTCTGTAGGGTGCGGACAAAGCTACCAGTCGTCAGGTCTACAGCCCAGGAGAAGAAAGAGCAACGCCTCCGACGTCTAGAAAAGAAAACAACTTACAACGCAGCCATTAATGATGCTCACCAACAAATTCAGGAGTTGGCAAGAGAGATCCAGTCTCGCTTTGGATACCGTACCTTTGAGCGGGTGGTCACCGACATTTTCCAGTCTCAACGGCTGAAGGACTCTTCAAAAGAAGTCAGCCGCTATGCAGCTTTTACGAGCTTACAGATGCGTATCCTCAATGCAAATATCCCGGAGGGACAACCTCGCCAAAAGGCCAACCAGTTGGCGCCTGTTATTGCTGAGAAGTGGCGGGAGATGACGGAGGAGGAGAGGGTTGCTGCTACAGAGGATGAGGTGACGGCAATGCATGAGCGGAGGGTGAGCAAGGAGCTTGGGACCTGGCATAACGCCGACGTTAGTGCCAACCACGACTCAACCATGACAGTTAGTCGTATCAAAGAGGAGGTACGTGTTCAATATTATCCTTGACAACCCCTTCGCTGAGTCCTGCTAGTTGATTCGCCTTCATGCACGCACTGGTGACGAAGCTGTCCTTGTAGTTACCAGAGGATCGCTAACGCGTTTTTGTGCTCCTGAAACCTATTGCACTAGTGAAAAGTCTGAGAGTTTTCTCTCAACGGTGTTAAAAACGTCAAATGAGGATCTAGCAATGCGCATGGATGCATTCATGATCCTAGGAGTAGAAGGTGCATCAAAATCTCCCAGTGCTCCACATAAACTAATGTGAATCAGGTGTTGCTCGTAACGGAGTTCAGGTACTTACGGAGATGAAGTCCAAGGTTGCTGGGTTGATTCTACAAAAACTAAGTGAGTCCTGTCGGAACAGCTGGAGCTACGCATGCTAACAAGGCCTTAGAACAATGTGCCGGGAAGTATGAGGTCAAGAAGATGTTCTACACTAATTTCGATGAACATTTCACTGAAACCTACGGGATTGTTGTCAAGAACTGGCCCTTGAAGGATTTCAAGAACCCAAGCTCCATTACTTCGAAGGCTGAGGTCAGTGTACTTTGGAACGCATGGGAAACAGGCACTGCCCACTTCCATATGATGACGCGGACTGAACATGCAGCCTGGAAGGAGGAGCGAGAGAAGGCATTGGCAGAGGCATATGGGAGGGTTCAGGAGGTTAGGGAGAGACGGGAGTCTGAGCGAGATACTCAGCAGGGGTTAGACTCTGGTGGGAAGGACAATGGAAGGACAACATGCCGCCAGAAGGCCCACCAAGGACTCCAGATATGTGTAACTCCAACCTTCCTCCGCATGAATCCACGCCAGATCCTCCTCAGCCAAACTCAGCAGGTCCAACGTTTGTCCATGCTGTCATCGTCACAGATGTAAATGGCACTGCAGTCAGTACGAAGTCAAGGGTGCGCAAGAAACGTTCCGATGCTGGGCAACCTCGTAAGAAGAAGAGGCCCAACAGACCTCAAACCTCTGACAGCACTGCAGATAATGATGGCAATGGCGGCAGTGGTGCATAAAGTATCTTCAGGATTTTCGATAGACCCGTAGCAGTAGCAATATATGAATTGAGTTATACACCAGTGCCTACGATAGTTATGAGTGCATAGTATTGGGCGGGAGGCGGGAGTCGGGAGTCGGGGCGGTCTGTAAGATCTATAAGCGCCAACAAGGAGAAGCGCTAGTCGGAACCTTTGGACATGCTGTAAGATCTCACGGATGTTACGGGCAATGTGCTCCGATGATAAGACTGCTTATGAGAAGGCCTAATCAGCTGGGCTGGACCCCTTCCATATTGAGAAAAGCTAGAAATATTGGCAAATTTATTGGCAATGTAGGGGAATAAGCTACATCAAGGGCTATAACCCTGTCATGTGAATCGACATGACAGGTCTACATATTATGGTTGTTGGGATGTCGAGGTGCTTTCAAATTCCATTTTCTGAAATGTCTAGATTACCATTTCGATTCTGTACCAATTGAAAAAATTATCGACAGCTACGTTCTCAAGCCCTCAGTGAAAGATGACTGGGACTCCTTAGAAAGGAACATGCGTGCATTTCTTCACGCATGCATGAAGCTGAACTGGCTTGGGATCCCTGAAGATTTTAGACTCTGGCCTTACCCAAATAACTACGGGTATCACTATCGCTGGAAGACAGATACGGATGCCCGCCATGCAATGATGCGGTCCCTGCCAAGCCTTCATCCCTCTGATCGCCTGTATCTCATTCTTCCTTCACACACTGTATCATCTAGACAATAAATGGGTCAAGCTCATCGCTTCAAATTACAATTCCGTATTACCTAGCCCCAATCCCTTCTGGAGTAAGCGGCAGAAGGAATATGAAGAACTTCGCCGAGAACCTGTCCCTTCGAAATGGCAATGGAAGGAGCGGCTTCAGCAAGAGACATCGATCAGTACAGAGTGGCTTGCGTATTTCCATCAACTGATGGATATTCCAATGGTTGGGATGTTTCTGGATGTGCACAATTCAAACTGTCTTCCGTGGATTCCTGTCTATCTCGAGGCTAAAATGCCTTTGATGTTGTATTGGGGCTCCAAGGATAATTGGTCCATCCATCCCATGTTAGAACACGTAATACCAACTCCCACTGCTACTATCATCAAAACTTTGATCTCAGAACAGACACCGTACCCACCATCTCCACGCGTACAGGAAAACCTTCCCATTGATATCAATGTTCCTATACTATAAACCTCGGCTGCGTTTACCCCGCATTGATGGTGGGACTTTACCCCGTCCAAATGAGGATCTTTTTTCATTCATTGAACGTCGCGATGCTCAAAGGCTCCGAGCCATCTCTTCTGAGACTGCTGTTGAACGTCAATCTCGTCTTTCACGTGAAAAAAATGCAGAGAAGGATAGAGCACCGGGCAGAAAAGGCGCTCGTGTGTACTACTGGGATCTGGTCGAAGGAGTGAGGGTGCGGACAGCAGTAGGAAGGAACAACTACGAAGATATCTGGGAGAGATATGGTTCGCGCCAGCGGCGTTATGATTCGGTTGCAGACGAATGGGAAGTTTGCACGGACTTGGATCCTGAAGACGGTCCTGACTACAGTTTTGACGATGATGATGACGACTCGGACTGTTTCATTTCAGTACAGACTCACATGAATGAGGAAACAGGTCATAACGCGGGTACTGCTTCCTCGGGCTCCTACCTTGCTCGTCTTCATCCGAATACACCGACAGACGCCGACTCATTAAACTCTGCGACGTCGACAGGGTTTCGTGAGGACATTGAGGATGTCGCCTATTATAGATTTGGGTTTCTCAAACAACCTCCGCCCGATAATCGCGGCGTTGTACTCAAATCACAGGTCTGGAACAAGGTATTGGGTCTGATTGGATGTGGTCGTTCCCCACCATCTCCTGGACCAGATGATTACATCAAACTTCAACTGTGTAACTTCATCACCCGACTAATGGATGCAGTTGATGTACGAAATGCACCCGAAGTGTATGACCTGGCTGTTCGGAATAGTCTCATGAGGCCTCCGGTTCCCTTCGAAGTCGATGTATTATCCTCATTCAATGGTCATTATTTTTTGATACAAGCTCAGGGTGCCACAGATCATGAACCATACTTGATCGCTTTACGCAGTGCCGCCACTGTTATGGAGATAGCTCGTCGGGAGTGGGGTCCAAAGACTGAAGATATCATTACATGTCTGATTGAGCATGGGATGCCCTTCAACACACTCATGGCTAGCTATCCTCCTCGCAAATACCGGGCCATCCCCTGTCGTCGACCTGCTATGTTGGGCCTGCGACCTGCTACATTCGAACCAACACTACAAGATTACTGTGCTTATGAGATTCTTCGTGATGATTTCCTGCGCTCAGCTAGAGGTCGTGCAGCACTCCTTGCTGGAGGTATCATTTCCCGATTAGCTCGAGAAGTGGTTGATGTAAATGATGTCTGCGATGGGCCTACTGGACATGCTTTGCAAGAAGGGGAGTATTCACTGTGTGTTTGGGAGATGGGTCAAAATCGAGCATTTTGGGATGACCAACTCACTAATGAAGAAATGGATCTCATATGTGGGTCATACGAGGTTGTAACAGGTACGTGCTTGTCTTTGTTCGAGAATTTTTTGTATAAGGTCTCCTCCAGGTTTAGTTTCAAAGGATGGCATAGAGCAGACCGCAATTCGATCATGGTGGCCCCGTTCAGGTTCCTGGAGATCCTGCGGCCTTAATTGTGGGTATTGGTCCAGAGATGCTGAAGATTGGTTTCAGGCACGCTTGCGCAAGATTCGTGACCCTAATGAGACAGTGAAATTAATGACCAGTCAAGAGTGGCATAGTCAACTGAAGTTCAAAAAAGCCCACTTTCTTTCGCACAAGAATGACCATTTTGCCACGGAGTATCTCAAGAAGAAGTGTGACCTGTCATTTTGACGTACGGTATTGATGCAATGTATTTTATTAGTATTGTTGCATAAGGACAGGCGATGAACGAGAAATATAATTTGATTTTTTTGCTCAGTATTGGTAACGGGCGACCATTTAAAACATCTAAACGGATGTAAACGAGTAACTACATACATGAAATGCCAAATAATTGATCATGAGGGAATACTGCTGGATCTGAGACGATGAGTCCAGACACCAGTCTGATGCACCAACGTGTACACAGGACTCGTCATAGAGAAGTTATTTTTGAAAATGTATACAGCTTCCTTCCACTATTCTATCTTGCTTTGCCTCTCAGATGTTCCTCAGTGACCTTGATAACACATAATTTGTGTCAATACCAGCACTAATATCCACTCTGTGTGGCTTAACGATCCATCCATTTGTGATCCAATCGCCGAATTCCGTCGTACAGACAAAAGGGTCAAGATTCACAATATCACATTGCTAAAAGTACATCCTGAGCATTACTACTGATTCTCCAATGACAGACATCATCAACCAGACAATAGTAGTGCAGATGAAAGCACCTACTAGGATCATGGTATCGACAATAATGTGTGAAAACCTCGATCTCTGTCAACAGGATAAATCAATATCACACCATAATCATAAATACTGATAGTAAAAATGATCTTACTTTGCCAATGACTTGTGTTAGAGCTGGTTTTGTGCCCCAATATCGAGTCAAAATAAACAACGCCACACTGAGAGCCAGATGTCCAACAGCAACAGAAATTTGATTTTGGAACATTGTCCAGATCTTTCGAAGAATTTTGACGAGGAATAGCAAGTAACTTAGAGTACCTGCCCTGAATAGAAAGTCGGAAAGCTAGTTTTAAATGAATCTGGTATCAAAGAGCGAGAACGGATATTACTCGAGGATACATACAACAAAGTTTTTTAACGCAATCAAACGCAAGTCCCTGGAGTCTCCCTGTAGATAGAATTTAAGATATCATGATGAGGTGCCTACTCGGGGAACCTACATCTTCTCCTGCGTGTTTTTCATCCTATGAGATTTTGAGCAAAGGATAAGATCAGTAAGTCACTACCGACCTGAAGCAGCTGCACAGGTTTGCCCGTTATAGTCCCGATGGAGGTCTAAACATGGACGAGATTGTAAGTGTTAGATATCCCACATGATTGCAACACACATTCACGATTTCGATTCGTCCCCGACCCCGAATAGTGCTCTTGGCAGATTTATCTTTGAGTTCAAGTACGGGTGTCTATTCATTGATTAGAGACGGCTACGAACATGATGGATTACGCTTACTGCTTTTGCTACACCGATATTTTCCTTTGGTGCATCAACAAGACAGAGATGGACTTTATGAAGATATATCTCACACTGCCATTCTGAAGATGAGGTGTATCGAGTGGACGGTCTGCGTATTCAGGCTTTGGTTCAAGGTGTCGCCCTTCATTATCGTCGATCTGAGCCTCTGGAGGTGCATCTTGAGGAGGAAAACTAGAGACCTGTGTATTACTTGTAAGTTTGTTGATGCGCAAAAATTGATCCTTCACTCACTGCTGTTGTTCGATTACCGTCCTCCAGATCTATCTCATCACCCTCCAATCTGCCTTCGACTTCTGTTGCCTGGTCGTTTCTCCAAGAAGCTGTGGGTACTCCAGTGCTTTTTTCGAAATGCTGAAGTAGAATTGTGCGGTAAATGTCGATCTTGATCAGTTCGAATAGGCAGCATGACCAACCGGTTTATACCATCCTTCTTGATCACGGAGAGGAGCTTGAAAATGTGAGTTTTGAGGACTTTTACTCATCACAATTGGCCGAGTGAACTGAGAACTGAGAAGAAGAAAAGGCCGCATGTCAACCATGCGCTTGACGCCAAGAAAGACGATTGAGAGAGCTCACTATCGGTGTGATACAGGACAATACAAAGAAGCACAGAGTTATACTCGTGTGTTCCACTAGCAGAGGAAGAACTACGTATACTAACGGTAGACGAATAAGAGCAAGTTACGGGCGCTTATTTCCTGGCGAGTTACAGGCGCTTATTTCCTGGCGAGTTACAGGCGCTTCTCATTGGCAGTTCTAATCTCTATCACGACCGCCATATTGACGTCTTGGGTCTCTGGGCAGATATTCCTCGGAGGGTAATCTATATCGACATGAGCATCGCGATCTCCCGTCTCGCAGAGATAAAGCAAATCCGTACGTCTTATCCTACCGGTACCGAGGCTTATATCTACACAAACTGACACTGCTTGTAGCCTACTATCGCATCGCCGTGCTGCAATCCTTCGATAACGTGATGTTTGTCGTAGACAAGGAAGACCTCGAAGTTGGTACTAGTGGATTTCCGCCTGCTACCACTCCATCCAACGTCGGAGAGGTGTCTCCTCTTCCAGAACGATCTAATGTACTGAATATCCTCTTCCAATATGTCGGCACCCAGAGTCATCAACCTGTGCTGGATCAAATCGAGTTTGCGTTGATATTGAAGGTCGCTGAAGCCGCAGAAAAATACGAAGTGCACAAAGCGATTGTGGCCGTCCAATTCAAACTTAGGTGAGTCGCATTTCATCATCAGATAAACTCAATATCGAAACACTTTCCGAATAGGAAGTTCCTCAAAAGCAACCCACGAGAACTTTTACACTTTGCCTTGACTTATTGGAATCCAGGACTCGTTGAAGAAGTTGCTCCTTTCATGGTGAATACACCCTTGCAAGAGATGGAAATTCTTATGAAGCATTGTCCTCGTCTATTTCTGAAATGGGTGTGTCTTGATCATTTGTATCTAAATCCATCATGCTAACAACCAACAACCGGCTCAAACAGTGTTTGTGGAGGCATTGCCTCGCTGCGACATTTTTCAAAACACCAACCATGCAGGCATCTAGAAATAAAAATGAAGAACGCTGGAGGATGTTATTCTCATATACTACGTTTGTGCCCGACGTATTGCCTATGGATCCCCTCAATGGCCTCCACTTGTTAATGCCGAGGAGATTCCTGGAGTTTCTACGATAGTTTGTTTTCTCATTTCCAAATCTTCGAGTTCCAATGTTCGACAATGCTAATACATGATGTGTACATACTACATACTACTTATATAACGAGACTGATTGACGGCTTCGTCCCTCTGCGTACAAAGTATTCATTGATAATTAATTTGATATTATAGGAGCACTATAACATTTAGTGTATAAGCGCCTAGCCAAGGATAGCGTGAGAGACATTTAAGCGCCGGGACGATTTGGTTGCTCGCGATCGTCCACCTCTTACGCTTCGACTCTCTAGTACGCTTTTCTCTTCACACGAACTTCTATAGAGTCCAACTCCATAGAACTCGTATACGATACGGAGCTCGTTGCAAACTCGACTTGGAACGTACGCAACGACACGGACGTCTATTGAATACTCGACCTCGATGTACCTTAGTTTTCCGTACTTATGGAACCACTGCCCATGGAGGCTGCCACCGAACGTGATCTAGATCTCCTGGGCTTTCGCGACCGATAAGTTGTCAAGGTACTAGTGAGCACCCAACTAGGCTTTCCCGACGTAGTCAACTTCAAGGCCCGCTCCGCAATTTTTGGATGCGCTACCCGCTCATTCTCCAGGTCCACTGGCTGCCAACCAAGCCCTCCGCCATCCCGATCGCACCACAGCCATATCTGATAGGCTCCGTCCTTCATGTTCCTGTGAATATAGATCGTTGCTAGCATCCTCGGGATTGGCGTTTCGGGAAGAGGCGCGTCCAGGTCAAATGGTGACTGGCTGAAGTACCAAGCAGTCTCTCCTTCGCTATCATGCGACCTGAACCGAGCGGTTTCTAGCTTTGTTGGCCCATGCGCATCGCTCGCCAAGGAATTGGTACGTTTTTCGCCTTCTAAAAAGTATTTTGGTGGACGTGTAGAAGATTTGAAGCTTACGGGTGTAGCTCCTCTAGGTTCCGCATCTTTGACAGAGCCTATATCAAGAGACGGACCTCAGCACAAATATTTACGACGGTACAGGAGTCAACACCAACCAGGACTTGAGGTCGCAGAGCCGTGTTTGAGAGCTCCCTTTGGAGGGGGTGTTTTTGTCCGTCCCCGCGTGTTCCTGTGTTCATACTTGGAACTTTGTAGAAGAAATATGAAGCACGAATTGACGTACGATTCTTCTGGATCGGGATTATTAAAGACCTTTTGAACGATCCCATCGTCGTCAGTTGAGTAACGGTAGTACTCGTACGTTTGCCTTCTCCACCAGGTTAACTGGCTAGGCTACGAATAGTCAAGGCACATATTAGAGGCTTTGCAAATGACACACAGTTGAAGTCTGCGTCTCTTCTTCCGACGTATCATAGGGCTCCATAGTTGGTCGCGATCCTGAAGATAACGACCTCGAAAACCTTCTTATATCAAAAGACTGTCTACTTGGGACTCGCTAAAAAGGTTGACTCCATCATGATCATGCTCCCCTCCGATGTCTACGATAGGAAATCGAATCTTCATTCTATACCCTTTTAGTTTGATCAGATAATCAAGCAATCGTGGTTCTGCATAGTCGAACTTGACTTATACTGGCTGTCTTTGGACTTCATCTCATCTTTCTTCCGGGTCAAACTCGGTCGAGAAATGGCTCGCCGCAGTAAAGTCGATGGCTCACCAAGTCAGCCATGTCGATGCCAGGAATGTTTGAAGCAGGATCCAGAGGGGGTACCAGCTCCACAGTCGGTTTTAAGAGCGCACCGGCATCGGGAACGTCTGAGAACCGCCTTTGCATCAGCCACGAAAACTCCCGGGACTGAGGCCGCACAGGAGACTTTCACGACTTCAAGTGACGGAACTGAATCAGCAAGTCAGCCTGGTGAAAGTTCCCGCCCAGCGTCGAATTCTTTCGGCGACGGCGAAGCATACAATTGCAGCGGACCAGAAACCAGGGCAGATCTCGAAGCCTGGTTGCGTTCTGTCGTGACAGAGATAGACTTGCGTTTAGAGGCTCTGTACGATTGCGACCTTTGTTTGGAGTTCATAACCCATCCTTCTCCAACGATAACCTTCCTGTTCCCTGATCCCGAAAGTCTATTACTGGTGAATTCCGGGCTGTTTGCTCTCAACCCCGGAAAAGCCTCTAATCGTCGCTTATTGGATGCGGAGGCTAGATTTTGTCACCTCCTCAGAACAATTCAGGCCCTGCCTCCGGGAGAGCGTTCGATAGGAGATGTGGATGTAGAGGACGAGGTTTTCCAGGCATTAAATAGGATCCATCGGATTAAAGAAAGGCAATGGCAAGCAAAGGCCTACCCTAACGGAGGCAAGGGACTGAAGGGACTGAATGTTGACAACGGTGAGTATCTTGTTCTCTCTCGGGATTTTTCCAGTGTCTAATCTGTTTAGGACGACGTTTTACTCGGAAACAGATGACCGAGGAAGCACCCACTCTCATAGCTGCATTGATTATATATGTCAAGTTTCAGGCTCCAGTTCGTCAAATGCGAGTAATTCTAGCGCTCTTTCGCTGTATCATCAAAGGATTGGTGCGAAGACACAAGGTAGATTCGCAGGTCGCATCTGGGATTCCAAAAGACATCCACACTATCGTCGACCATTACGATCTTGATCCGACATTACACATTTCCATTGCATGCCCAGATTGTTATGCGCTCTTCCCTCTTACAAATGAGGCAATCAGCAACTCTGAAAATGCACATAGATCCAATCAACCTCTACCTGTGTGCAACGAGAGATCTCACCCAGACTCGCCACCATGTGGTGCGACGTTATGGCGCACTCGCCGCATCGGAGCGCGTACTTTCGTCACTCCTATCAGGAAACAGGCTTTCCAAGATCTGCAAGAGTGGATTGGGAGAATTCTAGCTATCCCGGGCCTCGAAGATACGATTGATCAACATCAGCGACGCCCGCATCCGACAGAGGAGTCTCCAGAAAGAGATTTCGTTGATTCAACTACATTTCGATGCTTCAAAGGTGCAGATGGTCAGCCGTATGCGACACCACAGATGGGTCCATCTGGATCACCAGACCTGCAACTTGTTATGAGTCTCGGATTTGATGCTTTCAACCCATTCTTTTTGAAAGAACAACATGCTTCCTTCAGCTCTACAGCGTTGTACATGGTGGTCTTGTCCCTACCAGAGCACCTTCGATATCAGCCTAAGTACATGTATCTAGTCACGATCATCCCCGGAAAACCTTCCCGACATAACATCAATCATACCTTGCGCAGGCTGGTCCAGCAGCTACTCCCTTCTGGGAAGGAGTGTATTATCTGCGAACTGCACGATATGCTCTTGGTCGTAGAATCTTCGCGGTGCTAATCCCTGCCGTATGTGATACGGAGGGTGCTCATCAACTTTCGGGATTTGCTTCACACAGCCATACATACTTCTGTAGACGATGTTTACTGCCCATTCAGGATATTCATAACCTCGATTCGGACAATTGGGTAATGAGGAACTGGACTAAGCACCGACAGTTAGCTTTCGAGTGGAAAGAAGCCTCCACGGCGCGACGTAACACAATCTACCAGGAAAATGGACTCCGGTGGTCAGAGCTATTAGATCTGCCATATTGGGATCCTATTCGGTTTACAGTCATTGATGATATGCACCTTGGATATCTTGGCCTTTTCGAAACACATCTTCGTGAAATTTGGAAGATTGATGACAAGAAAAATGGCGGGAATGGACTTCACCCGGATACCAAGGATCAAAAGAAGATATCCAACGCAAGTCTCCGAAAGTTCTTGAATGAAATACGACAAAATGATACATCCTTGGGATCTATCTTGAATCAAGAAAGCAAAGGAGTTCTTTGGTATCTCACCTTTGTGCTTGGACTACGTACTGGACTTCGCACCAAGAAAGCAATGGTAGACCAGATTCTACAATGGGTGAGTTCGATAATTGAAGATTTTTCATTAGTCTGAAGTCGCACAGCGTATGTCTTCGCAACAGGAAGAAGTACCTAAAATTCCCCCACTGAACTATGACAAGGTCCCGGATGGTTGGCAGACTTATAATGCTCCGCATCCAATAGATACTGTTTGTTCATCTCCGCATCCTGCGACGATATTGTTATACTCATGTTATTCAAAGCCTGTCCCTTTCGATGAAGTGACAGATACCAACCTTTCCGAGACAGACGAAGCTTCAAATCACAGCCTTTCTGAGGCAGATGAAGTTTCAGATTCTGGTTTTTCCAAAGCAGTACGTCCTCGTTTTGTTTCAGAGTAACCTCCTAAATCACTTCCTGTAGTCATTTGATTCGAAGGTCTCGTCGGTTGTTGATCCTTCAGAAATACCACCAGTCCTGCGTGCTGCCCCACCGCTCGTCTTTGATGCAGATCAGGCTTTCGAGAACCTGAAGTCTAGAATACTTAATTTGACCACCAGGCCTCCTTCACTCCATAACAAGACCAAATCAGTTCTTCGAGCTTTATGCCAAGATTTTGGGATCGGCTACAATATCAATGATAACAAAAAGATCCTCGTTGCCCGAATCATGTTCTATGTTCGTACGTTCCTTCAGTGAGACGCTTCATTTCCTCACAATCCAAAATCAGCGTCAAGAATACGGATCGGATGATGATTATGTCTCAAAGATGCGATATGATAAACTCAAACGGATTTTTGAAGCGGATGAGCCCTCCAGATCAAACTTGATGAAATTTGAACATGAACATTTGGAGAAGTTATGCTCAGAGTATAGAATTCCGCCTTTTGATTCTAGTAAACCCGGTACTACCTCTTTGACGAAGGATGTTATGGTCCAGAGGATAGTAATCTGGGTGAGTAAAGATGACAATTATACAATCAGCGAGTCTTGACTGTAATGTAACTAGCGTCAAGAGTATCGCGATAGCACCCTTAAGCCAAAATCAGGATCCACTCCTCGCCATGTCATTGGTAAGGATTTGTTGGAGGAAATCTGGGCCGACATGAAACGGACTGTCCTTCCAAACTGGATTCAGCCACCGCCCTCAGAATGGGGCACATCTACTTCAGGCAAACTCAGTGCTGACGAATATAAGGTCATCTGTACAATATCCCTCGTCGTCACTCTAATTCGGGTCTGGGGTTACGAAAATGACTGAGGGAGTTGAGTCTCGTCATTACAAGATGTTAGAAAACTTCTTAGACCTTGTTCACTCTATGCGTGTCCTTTTTTTCTGTGAAACTTCACAGAAGTCGCTGCGCCTACTATAAATCTCATATCCTCAAATATCTGCGTGGCGTCCTCGAGCTATATCCTGATTTTACCCTAAAGCCTAATCATCATCATGCTGTTCACGTCGTTACCGATCTGGAAACCATGGGTCTGGGTCATGCTCGCAGTACACCAGTCTTCGAGCGCATTAACCACTCTTACAACAACTTAATACTAATCGACGTCTGGGTAAGCTAATGGAGTCTTATCTTCCATTCTTACAGTAATTTTGTGTTTTAGGAGAAGTTGAAGCTACAATGCTGACTTCTTATTGCCGGCAAGCCAACCTCCAAGTCATCCTAGATCATAACACAGATTTACAAGGAGAGATCAACGAGGCAATAACCTGCTTTAACAGATATCGATCGTGAAGACCATCGTGGTATATTTGCCGGCACTGACTTAGTGGCTTGGGCAAGTACCGAATTCAAAGCAAGCCCCGCTTGCATTGCAGAATCCACTCTGAATTGCATCATCTACCATCTATGCAACATATATGGTGTTTCTAGTTCACACTGGGATGGCAAGGTTTCTCGACAAGTACATACTGTGGGGGGAGTTGCGACTGGGCGGGTGATTTACTCCCCCGCCATCCGTCAGAACTCTGTTGTTTTTCGCGACAATGGAAGGATTTGTGCTGGCACAATTGAGCAGGTCATCAGTCACTCTCATCCCCACCCTATCACTCGAAAAACGATTTCCATTACATACCTCAAAGTTATCGCTATGGTGCCAATCGACGCAGATGATGATCTCTATCGGAGACTGAACTGTGGATGGTTGTGCTATCAAAATCCTGCGGCGACAAAAGCTCTAACTATACCATTATCACACATTATCTCGCATTTTGTCCGTATGGACTTGTCATTCAAAATCAGAGGCAAACCGATTACACATGTATATCCTGTTCCAAAGGTAAAGCCATTGCTTTCTCCATTAATTCAATGATTTGTGATATTGTTCCCTTTAGTTTTTCCATGACAATGATTCAGGAATGCCAGCACCAGTTGATGCTTGAGAGTCGCAGTAAGGGTTGTCCATCTATTCCAGTCTGAATAGCATTTCACACTACGCATTTTATGCCTTGCTGCTCCGAACAGGATCATCATTAGATACGAGAATGTACACATCTAGTACCGCAAATCTTAGCTGACCATTGATATTGAGTTGATGTGTGAGGATATTATATGACATGAAGTCACTTAACGAGTTTGAGACCACTAACTTGCACACTGCTGCGTCGTGAGTGCTTGGGACCACCAATTCTGTAGAGTTCCTTCTTTTTGATAGCTTAATGTCATATTATTGAAAGACGTGGTCCACATAGCAGAAGTTTCGCAAACATTGTTCTACACCATATTAAAACATGTAAGGTACTCTAAAGTTAATGAATATACATAGTACTGCAACCCAGTCTCCAAATATAGATATCACCAACCAAAACAGAAGGGTACAAATGAAGACCCCTACAAGAACTGTCATATCCAAAGCAGTTTGGAGGATAGGATTTGTCTGTCAAAATGTGAGCCCACGAGACATCAAAATAATTTCAGGCAGTCCTACTATCTTTGTAATGTTCTCTTGAGTCGGGAATCGATCACGGGAATATCGTTGAAGTTGAGCAAAGGTAAATAATGCAGCACTGGGAACCAGAAATCCGACACCAACAGCATGTGGTTGACTATGGAACATAACCGAAAGTTTCCAGAGTAGTTTGACAGAAAATAGCAAGTAGCTGATGATCCCCACATTGAACAGGACTTGGGGGAGTTGCAGATCAATGGACTAAACATTGAAGAGGTGAACACGGTCCCGCGCAAAGAAAAATGAATACATGGTCACTCACAGGAAAGTCTCTGAGAACGAGCGAACAATTGAAGAGTATTGCAGTAATTCGGCGACATGCATCCTTGATGGTGAGGCTTTCGCTCTGTACGGCTGTGAGACAAGCCGACCCTTATGATTCATGTTCAGACCTTAGGTTGAATGAAACTGTCTTTCACAATGGTGTCTTGCAAAGAATCTCTTCGGTGATTGGTTGAATAACGAATCTATTTAAGGGTATGAGATCGAGCGGCGAGTGCGAGCACCAAATCAAAGGTTTACTGGAGCATCCACTGCATGAGGTCCGACTTGTTCTGCATCGTTTACTCCCATGATTTCCACTGTCAAGTATAACAGAAGTTCGAGGAAATCTGAATCAGATGTTCCTAGCAAAGAGAGCAGATATAACTCACAGAGGTACCCTACTCCTCTGGAGGTGTGAAGAGAGGATTGGCTCCTACCAAGTTGGACTCTGTAGGAATGGCCGACACAAAGACAAGGACAGATGATCATGAGCGCTAGCGCTCGGGCCCAAAGAATTGATGTCATTAGATAATCAAATCATCGGCCATTTCTGTCGAGTTCTGTCTTGACCTAATACTTTGTTGATTTATCCCTTACCGTCGTCTTGTATTCGAGTCAAACTTGTTACAAGCTATCTTAATCTTCAAGGAACACGATCCGGAACACGATCTCAAGAAGCATTATTTCAAGTCGGCTCGAGAGTTCGACTATTGTCGACTCTTGCGCAGCATTCTCAAGCAGCCAGAACTTCCGCATTCGACCTCCTTGGCTCACACATGCGATACGCGCTACCCTAGCCGGTCAATCTAGTTATCTGTCAGTCTTTCTCAGTCATACCTTTGTTGTCAACCACCGCCAACCTAAACGTCCTTTTTTCAGCCTTCTGAACTTGAGCTCTTACGATTGAAGAACTTCCTTGACAAAACTGGCGTTGGGACGAGGTCCCTAAGCTAATTAGATGTGCACCATTACTCCTCATACAAATGTATACTATTTAGGACAAACTGTCAATTGATACACTCTGCCCAGCTCTCCATTTTATTGAATGAAGGCCTGGGACTGGCATCCTATAAAGTGGTTGTTTGATTCATTCTAACTTAGGCAAATATTACCTTGCTTTGGAGTATACCAATTCGAGGCAAGCTTTGCTTGCAAAATCATCTCAGAATGAGTGAACTCAAAAGTACTATGGTTTCAAGAGGCCCGGTAATCCCATCAACAGCGACATAATACCCATGACAGCATGGTTAGCATTCCTCAGGTTTTTGTCCACATCCGGACTGATCACAAACGTCTAACACACTATCCCAAGCTACACACATACCCATTGGTCTCCATCTACCCCCCGATCCCGGACCACAATGGCTCATATGCTGACAATCCACCACGACCGCCTTCTCCATCCTCTCAATTCATGCGCAACTGCAAACTCACAGGCAGTTCATTGATACACAAGACGCTAACTGTGCTTTATCCCTCTTAACGCTTGTTCAGTTTATTTCCATCCCTGCTCAGGAAATTGAGTGATTGGGTTGAGCTCAAGAGTCTATGGTCCCAGGAGGCCTGACAGTCATTATCTAATCCCATCGACAACGACATAATACCCATCACAGCATGGTTAGCATTCCTCAGGCTCTTGTCCACATCCAAATCACCCACAAACGTATAGCGCACAATCCAAGCTACAAGCGTACCCTATACACATCACCCAAACACACATTGTCTGTTTGAACACTTATCCGGATCGCTACTACTCCCGCTCCCCAGGTGCTTCATCCCTGCTTTGTCAATACCTCGTACCGCGCGCTCCCCCCGATCTGAGTCGCGATACTGGAGTTACGCGCGATGGCAAGACGCTCCAGCCGTATACTTCACACTCCCGCATCCCGTCGCCAGCGGATGGGCCCGGTTTTTTGTACGCTTTTGTCGATTCTGATGTCTACTGGAAAGTAGGCATGACGAGCGACTACGACCGGCGGAAGGCAGAGTGGGACAGACAGTGTCCGTGTCCCAGCAGAGTCTGGCTTCCGCCTGTACGGGTTGTATGGCGAAGGAAAGCTGGTGCGTTGTTGACTAATTCTCAATTGAATACATGTTTATTTTCTTTCAGAATCATTAGCACACATTTTATTGGAACATAGGTGCATCAGTCGACCTCGCAAGTACTGCTCTAACTGTCTGTACGGTTCACATCTCTATCCATACGCTAATTCATGCTGTGTTGCAAAGGTTCCAAGGCACATATTGAAATATTCATCTTCCCTGGTCATTGGTGGTATATCTGGATAACTATTGTCCTACCAGTCCTTGCAAGAGCAGCAGCAGCATAATCTACCTATGAATTTCTTGTACAGTGTATATACATATGATGGTGTTATCTAGGTCAGAGCTGTAAGGCAAGCTTGCTGATTATGAATGAATGAGCACATAGATAAGTATAGCTACCTTTTATCCTAAGATTCTACTAACACAATTACTAGATGACGGTACTGGTCTTCCCCGCCTCCTGACGTCCCGACATTTGCAACACTTCTTCGTTTGGATTTCTAGATATCGACGACGTCTAGATGTCCCGACGTCCCAATATCGACGACGTCTAGATGTCCCAACGTCCCGATATCGTGTACCCCTATTCTCGGTGAGATTATTTTGAAGAGTCTCATGCTCTCCACGCGGCGAATATTTCGCGAAAATTTCAAACTATCACGGTAAGATTATGTTGCAATTATCACTGCGGGGATGAGCCGATTTCCTCGAGGCGAAAATGTGGGTTTTATTTCGAGGTTATGTACAAAAATATGGCAGCAGATATTTTGAAGGAATTGAGCTGAGGTTATGGTAAAATTATGAAAAGATAATTTAAAATAAGCACGGCCCCCCGCCAAATTCACGATAGCTTCACAATAATCGCCACACGAAAAGTTTTAAAATTCGTGCCCAGGATTTTTGATGAATTTTGGTAAAAATCCTTGCATTTTCTCTACATTTTCACCGCGAAGACATTGGCTCATCCCCACAGTGTATTCAAATTAATCCTAGTATATTCACACACTAATTTCTAGTAGATTAGACTGAAAAATCCTTGCATATTCAGCACGCGAAAACATTGAAAATTCACGATGGGTTTCTTTAAACTAATCCTATGTAGTTTTGTGGTAGAATTTTTGGAATAATCTCAATATATTCTCTCCATAATGTTCGTTCGCTTACAGTGTGATTAAATAAAATATTCAGCTTCTACTGAGGCGTAGAATTTTGTACCTAATCTCGACTTATTCGCGGCCTATTCGCGGCAAGAAAAGGCCTTCATCCCCGCAGTGAATTTAGATCAATTTATTTTAGCGCCCTTCCCTTTTCCTCGACTTCCAGATACAATAATAATGGCTACAGAAAAGAAACCGTACTGCAAAAGTCTCGTCCTTGATGCAGGCCCATTGCTCTCCCTTTCCCCTCTCCGAGGCATTGCCGAATCATACTACACTGTCCCCCAAGTTTTAGCGGAGTTGAAGGATAAAAATGCCAAAGAGCACTTGGAGCGTCTTGGTTTAAATTTCGGTATCAAGATTGAGGTGAAGAATCCTGATCCAGCTAGTTTGGCTTCTGGTGGGTGCGTTTTGCGTTTTCTGTAAACTGCGATCTCAATATCGTGTACCCTCAACTGGTCAGTGATCCAGTGGGCAAAGAAAACAGGCGATTATGCTGTTCTTTCGCATCCAGATTTATCTGTCTTGGCTTTGACACATACGCTACAAGTGCGGGCAAAAAGGGATGCTGAAATTAAAGCGAGTATCCGTCTATCATATCTACTTGGACGCTTTGCTGACTGCAAGGGATAGTACAGTGCTAACGAGGCTGGACACGAGGCAGAAATCACTGCTGTTCCTACATCACCTCAGGATCAGAGCACCTCTGCAGAACTTGAAACAGCTGTAGAGTCCCTAGCAATAGACGATACCGCTGACGGCCCCACAGCCGAGTATCCTGATGGATCCGTAGCTGATGAAGGCGAAGACACTACGGAAAGAGAACCCTTGAATGTAGAGCTTCATCCAATAGAAGAATCTCCCCAGCCCGTTGCCTCCGTTCCAATATCTGCACCCTCACCCGATGTACCGCTCTACGATGATCCTTCAGATTCCGATGACGGCGAAGGGGAATGGATTACTCCCGCTAATGTTGCCTTACACAAATCCCGAGCACTAGATCTTTTACCGAGTGGAGGCCAGGAGAAGAAAGGCAAAGGACACAAGAAGGAGGAGGTCGTTGATGTAGGATGCATGACGGCGGATTTCGCTATGCAAAATGTGTTGATGCAGATGGGACTCAACCTGGTTGGTACAGAAGGAAAGAGGATACAGAGAGTGAAGACTTGGGTTCTCAGATGTCATGCCTGCTTCAAGTACGTGCTCGACTGTGATGGACAGCTGATATTTCTAACCATATCTATCTCAGAATATGCAAGGACGCCTCGAAACAATTCTGTCCTTCATGTGGAAATCCATCGCTTATCCGTGCTTCGGTAACAATCGCATCACCAAACGCCTCTTCCGACGCTCCCGCCATGCAGATCCACCTTAAACCTAATTTCCAGTACAAACTCCGCGGTACAAAATATTCGATACCTGCACCCAAACCTGGTTCTGCAAAACATGGCTCAGGAGAAGGTCTCATCTTGAGAGAAGACCAGGTCGAGTATATGAGAGCTAAAAAGCGAATGGAAGGAAAACAGGAACGGGAGGAAGCACGAATGATGAAGGGTTTACTGGAGAGGAGTGCGAAAGGCGAAGGAGGTGTCGCGGTGGGTAGTTGGATGGATCCGGATTGGGTACCGGAGATTATATCTGCTAGTGCAGGTGGTAAGGGCCGGACGACGAGATCGAATGGAGATCTACCTATCATTGGGTATGGGCGTAAGAATCCCAACGAAAGAAGGAGAAACAAAAAGTAGATCATAAGATGTATATGGTTCTTATTTCCGAGTATGTTGTTGTACAGGACGAGGATCTACATTCGCTCTTATGCACCCAAACTTCTGTTCATGAATCGTCTCTTTTGGAAGGACATCCACCATTTACTGGGAACATCGCCATCGGCGTAGAGGATATTGACCAAACGCAGCGATAGTTCCTGCCGCACCTGGGTAAGATACGAACGAAGGAATTCTAAAATCAAGATAAGAGATGGATGAGCAACCTCTTGACGCATCTTATGTTGATTTGAACGCACCAGCATCCGCACGGCTCGCAGCCGGAGCATAATGTGCATTCAAAGCAAAGTTCGCATCTCCTGGTATCGGGAAACTGTCCACAGATAAAGTATTCAGCGATTTGGTCGCCTCAAGTTTGGTCGGTGTAGAACGAGGGTTGCTCCCGATTTTGGCCAAACAATCTGATATGAACAGGATGAGAACGATGAGGGTACGGTCTGCAGGGCCTTTGATTTCAAAGTTGCGGAAGAGGGAGTTGGCTCGAAATAGATCAAGAGTTTCGTCGATTATATCGGGTTGAGAAGGATCAGCTATGTATAAGATTAGTTACTAGCTGAATAGATAGTTTATAACTACGCACCAAGAGGCGCTACTCCTCGATATTTCGTCTTTATAGGAAGAATCGACATATTGCCGACCTGGCGAACATCTGGCTCTTCGTTCAAAGATGAATGGTATGCCTAAAGTTTGTTCAATTTTGGTATACAATGAGTGATTGTGAAGAAATCCTTACTGGCATAATGGAGTTCAATGGACAAGGAGGCTTTTGATGGGACAGCCACAACAACGCGACCTTGCCAAATATTGCCAAGTTATTATCCGAACATTCATGACGTCGCGGTTACAAGGCTTGAACTTGTACGTCCACCATGTCCAATGGTTTTTTTGCGGGATCTGGAGGGAGCGAACCAATTCTGCCTGCTGCGAAGAATGCTAAACCATCTCCAGAGACTTTAACGAGTAAGCTTGAACCGTTTCTTTGTGAATAGTACTAATCTTATTCAACATGTAGAACTTGTTAAACGGCTTCGTGCTCTCACTCTCAAGCTCCTTCCAGTGGAGGTTGATCCACAAGCAGTCAATGAGCCAACAAGTAGAATTATAACACCACAGGTAATCTCAGCGTTTAGAGCTGCTGCTGGAGACTTTGACGAAACCGTGAGTTAAATGGTACTACTGATTTATACTTGGTAAGGACTTACACTTTGTTACTGTATGATCCAGCTGCCGTATTGTCTTCTGCGCGCTCGTGCAGAATTTATGTGGGACGCTGACCATAATGCTGCCGATTATGACGAAAACTTTGGTCGAGGTAGGCTCTTTTATACTTCCCTCGCACACATAACATAAGATTTCTACCTCCTTCCCAAGCAATCGCATGTGAGGTTCTTGCGCGTCGAATCGTTCATTTAACAGCCCCGGACCATTTGGCTGCGGTCATGGCCACGAGGTATACGCATTTACAGATCGACGGAGATGAGAGTGATCCTGCTAGTGCGCTGGAGATGGCTATTGATTCACATTGGTGCGTCTGAGTCTGTAATTCGCGTCGGGGAGGGTATTCCGATGACGCGCCTTTTTTCCTTTTGCTTCGTTAGCACGATTTTCTTGTCTTCAAGCGAATCTCAAGATGGTTGGACTTCATCCCCGCTTCTATGTGAAGGTAATTCTGATGCGGTTTTTCCAGTTGTGAATTCGCTATGGAAGGGCGACTTGATTCAAAAGATGAATGAGAAGTTTGATGTTGACTGTGAGCTATCTAACTCACTCACTACCTTGACTCATCAACCTTACCACGTCGTAGATGTTTCCTACTCTGAGTCTCAGACAGGAAGCTTCTGGAGCCACGTCAATCCATCGCGTCTTTGCGTACCGCGGTACCAGAACTTTTTTAGGATCGTGGTCTGGTTGTTTTTCCTTTTCGTTTATTCTCAAGCCGGTTTGTCCTATTCTATGTATACTACTCACATTATGGCTTAGATTTTTTCCCTTCCTTGCGTAGTGCGACAACCCGTCGAACGTCTAGCTGACCCGTCATATATGAATACTATGGATGCTTGGGAAGTCATTCTATATGTCATTGCTTTATCAACACTAGTTGAAGGTACACAATTTTCAACAGCCTTTATCGCTCACTCACTAAGTCTGTTCTAGACATGAACAGAGTAGGCAAACACGTCTGCAAACGAACAAACAGCCCATCACTCTAACTTTCACGCGTTTTTCCTTCCAGTTATACAAGCTTCTTCGATTCGTCACCTGGCGTGCTTTCTCATTTTGGAACATTGTTGCATTCCTCACGAACTCACTGCTCCTGGCTGCTTTCATTCTTCGTATTATCGGCTTGCATGACAACACCGACTATTCCGCCAAATTGCGCTTGAATAGTTTCCAGGTGCTCAGTTTCGTTGCACCGTTTATTTGGTGGGTTCTTATTCAGTCTGTTGTGATTCGGAATGATGTTGATCATCCATGTTGGGGTATGGTGTAGGATGAGTGCGTGTCGTTTACAGGGCTCCTGAATTTTTGGGTGACTGACCCGTCGTCGGCAGGGTTGATCACGGTATTCGACGGATACAAGTACGTCGGGATGATGCAGATCTGTGTTGCTCGTATGTTACAAGAATCCGGTATTTTCTTCGCTGTGAGCAGTTTTCTGGAGTGCTTGTGTAATTTTATGACACTCAAGGAAAACATCTAGTTGCTTTCGATCTTGGCCCTTGGATTTGGACAAGCGATGTACGCCCTGGATGCTGCGGATGGAACTACTGAAGCTCCTTCGGGGGTAAATTCGTCCCGTTTATATTCTTCCTCAATATTGCTGAGCATGACTTCTATGTATTCAGGTAGTCAATGCGTTAGTACAGGCGTTGCTCCAGTAGGTCAAGTGATTCCTTCAGTTGAAAAGCTGTATTGACCCCTCTTTTTCAAGATCACCCGATTTTTCGCGATATTCATCGAGGTGAATACCTGTGTTGCAATTGACTTTCTTGTTCGCGACTGACTTTGGCTACTAGTCCCTCGGGTTTGATCATGTATTATCTGTAGGTTTAATCTTGACTAGGTAGCACTACCGGCAAATTCACCTAAATCTATAGCTGGAACGTCGTAACGGTCATTGTTCTACTCAATGTGCTCATTTCGTTGTTCGCTTCTGCATACCAAGATGTGAGTGTCACTTTTGTGGTGCTTTTCGTTGTATTCATAACGTTGATCTGTGAAGGTCGTGGATGATGCAGAAGCACAGTATCTCGCTTTCTTTGCTGGAAAGACAGTAGGCATGATTCGAGCGCCGGATTCGTACGTGTATCCAGCACCGTTCAATTTGATTGAAACCTTCCTGGTTTCACCGTTCGAGTACGTAGCCTTCTTTACTTCTTCCTCGAGGGAAACACTGACAATAATGCAACGTAGATATTGGTTCAGCGAAAAACAATATGCGAAGGTCAGTCTACTATTTTGCACTTCAACTGCGAATAATTCTAACCCCAACTTGCTCACACAGCTAAACCGTATAATCATGTCTGTCCTCTTTTTCGTCCCTCTCACCATCATAGCCTTCTTCGAAACCGTCTTTCAACGACACGAAAACGAGTGGATGACCAACTGGTTACACGGAGAGAATGAAGGGGACAATTCTTATCCCGCGGTCAGGGATCCTGAAGTTGACGGAGCTGATGCGGAGGCTGGGCTGCGGATCAGCAAGGTGCCGTTCACGGAGTTGATCAAGGTCTTCCCAAATACAGCCCAATCAAGCGAAGCATTGATGTTGGAGGAGATCAGAGGCTTGAGGAAGCAGTTGGATCTGGTTCTGAGGAAGGTTGAGATAAATGGGAAGAATAGTAGTGGGGAAAGGAAGGAAGATTGAGTGATGGGGTTTGGATTTTTTGGTTTATGTCAAGAACATGCAAAAGGGTTGTATGTCAGAGATATGGAACTTTGTTTCATCCCGTGTCTTCGTACTTGAATTGAAGCCCAAGCTCAACCCTTCGTACTACCTACTCCTGCTGAAGGTGGGGTCTCGTCTTTGCGCGAAAATCGTAAGAGTCCATGTACATGTACACAACGTAGCGGAGTTATCCACACAATGACCGATAGTTTACTTATTGCCTAAAACTAATCAGCTCCTTATGCTGTGCATTGCTCCAAGACGGCCATTGTATATTCACTGATCAATCGGTGCGAATTCTGGGATGGGTGGCCAGCTGTAAATCAAGATCAAAATCATTTGTAAACCCCACATCCAAACGCAAACAGAAGAAAACTCACGAATCCAAAAAACACTATGATCAGGATCATCACATCCTCCTACGATCGTATTTGCGCTGATTAAACAGGTAGCGTTACCACGATACCCGAAAGCAGAGGGATCAGAGGCAATGGTATCAAACAGGCTGATGAAGTTGTGAAAATCAGGACTAACGAAGAGAACGCTTTTACAGGAGGAAGTTACCGCTCAAGATTGACAAAAGCGACGTTGGTTCCATTGACAGTGTTTGACTCGCGCAGGTAGACAAAGATCTGATTCTGTAGGAGGTCGATTTCAGGGGTGTGTTTGTACATCTATCGGATGTAAGGATGTGAGGAATTAGCCAGGATCATCGGACCTGAGGAATGGAAGATCGTACTCCTTGTATCAAGATGTTCGTCGCGCCTTGGGCTTGGAGTTCTCCAAGTTTAGCGACCTATCGATAACAGTGAATTATGCCCCAGTTTGGCAGTCGTAAACATATGCTGACATAGGTTTCATATGCCAAGGTCATATTGCCACCAGCTGTTAGTAGAGGGATTTCAGATCGGAGGTGTACAGTAGATTTGCTCTGTTACCTATTTTGAATTGTCCGTCGTCACTGTAGGTGTTACGGTCAGTATCGGTTGATGACTCGTGCGATCGTGCTCACTTGATTCCAAAAGAGACAGTGTAGAGTGTTTCATCGGGAATTAATGCATCGAGAAACCTGCCTTGTTGAAGGAATAGACTGAGCGGAGGGATTAGCTTTTGTTGCTAGCAGGAAACGGGTGTTACAACTTGCCTGGTTTCAGCGACAAAGTCAGTACGTGGTACACCCTTTCAAAGCCGTGTTAGTACATTTACAAGGTCCAAACAAAAGGACACGACCGACAGTTGCGTTTAGGGGGGACGTCGTATTATACGCCAGATTGTCGATCACCGCACCACCCCAGGCGTACTTGATCATGAAACGCAAAATCGTCAACAATCACACATGGACAAGAATAATTGCATCAGCGAACTCACATTCAATAACTTCGCACTGAGTTCATTTGCCATATCCTCGACCCAGATAAATCCATTGCTGGCTCTTCTATTTTCGGTGAATTGAGAACCTGCAGATGGGGATGGCGGCCACATAATTGGTGGTACTGGGACTGTCCCATTCGCTGTTGAAATTATCGAGAGTCGTCAGAAAACATGGTTGCAATAGGTCGGAGCAGAAAAGGCACCTCCGTTAGACGTCCAAGAGTCCCCGAATGCGACGATAGTCCTAGTGCAAGATTTATTGGCAAAATCGTTTCTACAAGATTGATCATCTCACCTTGTCGGACTAAGCTTGATACCTGTATTGACCTCCGTGAAATTCTCAGACAGAAGCGTTCCACATAGCGGTTGAACAGCCAACGTGATTGGAGATGTGATGTTGACCGTCACAGGAAAGTTCATTTGACCCTGCGCAATTACTTCGAAAGCATGTATTGCCACAGTGAGACCGAATCCAAACAGGAGTTTTGAACTTGATTGAACAAACAACATTTCAGTTCAAGTTAGAGGGAACAGATGGGTAGATTGGAATCATTGCGTGAATTTATTCAGATGGAGGCAAGTACATGAGGTCTGTTCTAAAAACAAAGGCATAGTACATAGAATGAGCAGGAGGACAACCAGGTGACACACCGATCGCGAGTTACATGCTGGTTACATGTACAGCAGAGGACGCCCGGGGCATGCGGACCGCAGAAACCCGGCACGGCACACCCTTCTCCACGATAGATAGATAGATAAATACGCGGCTCCGTCCTACTTGAAATGATACCAGCTGAAGTTGCGGAACGCAGTAAAAATAAAAAACCGTTGTACATATGTCCGTCCAAAAATGAAAACTCCCTGGCTGGGAGTCGAACCCAGCTTTCGCGCGAACGTTCTACACGACGCACATGACAGGCGCGTGTACTAACCGATATACTACCAGGGATGTGGAAATTGTGTAATCAACTGTTATGAAATAGAAATCCACCGTCTACTTACACTGATGCATTATAATCATATTTGTGCTCTGCTACCACCCACGATGTCGTTGCCGCAATCTCTGCGAACCTCCATCACACCTCCAGAGCTTGAATTCATTGCCTCCCAACAGCTGATAGAGATCATCCCTCTCATTGCTATGGAGAAGACTGCCTTCATATCTGTCCGTACTTCCCTCGCGTTTTGACTCGCAAATCCGCAACCTTACCTTGGATCCTCCCTTGCGCGTTTGAATCGTCCCTGGTGATTAGGGTGCCTTTGGTCCTCTCCAGCCCCCTCGGAGAGCTAAAATTCCTTTGTGGATGGCGATCAATCTGAAGCTCAAGAAGAAATGCCATATTGTTGCTCCCGAGTGGCTTAGCGTTGGTACGCGTGTAACTTGGTTTCTTAGGCAAACCATGGCTCTCTGACACCACCTTTCAATATAATCTTTTGTAGAATTCCTCCAATCACGTCTCGATGAAGAGCTGAGCGAGCCTGGGTACAGCCGGCTCCCATTCCGATACGCGGAAGTGTCGAAAGTTTTGCTGGATGTGTAAGTTTGCCCGTATCCCTTAGTGTGCTCATTAACTCATAATGCTGCACCTCCAGCGCGTCGGACGATATTCAAAATACAGATAAAATACGATCTTTGTTGAAGGACCTCAGGGAAGCACGTCAGGCGAAAAGTCGTGAGGGTTTAGAAGAATTAAATCGGAGTGAACTCAGTGTGCGTATCTTGTTTCTAGGAGGCTAGAAGTACCTTGCTGACCTCTTAACAGTTATCGAACTTGTCCTCAATGGAAATCAACGAGATTCGACCGTTCTTTGTACATGCTATGGGGATTCTCACACATTTGCATCGCGATGCCTCTACTGAAGACTAATTATGATAGTCTTTCACCGCTACCACTTCTGCTTCCCTTTGACGACGTGCACTATATCACCTTTGATTCCAAAGACTAGCGACTACCGGCCATTGTATAATTTTTTCGGCGAAAAATCATTATGTAATCTTACTTTCAACGGTTCTTATTCCATAGCGACATGTCCTTCAAAACCAAACCGCAGGGTAGACTTCTTATCTTTCGTTAGTCGAAGTTCTCATCAGTTGGTAGGATCCATATCTCGACTCCACTGGCCCAGCGAACCCACTGCTACTCGTTTATGCCTAAAATGTGGCGACTCCATCCGTTTCACTCTTTTCTTGAATGATTTTCAGGAAATCGTTCAGCATGTGCGCTCAGGGCTTCGTGTTACCTCCCTCCAGCGTTATCGCTATGAAGATTCCTTGGACGATGCTCAGGGATACATTGACCAATATCAAAAGGAAATAACCCGATTACGCGATGCAATGCACTCGATTGAAGAGCAGCAGAAGTTTTTGACCGCTTATGCGGATGGCCTTGAGCATTTGTTAGCCCCAATCAATCGACTCTCAGAGGACATTCTCGTCGAAATCTTCAAATACGTCTGTTGCGAGGACGCAGGTGCCAATTACATTGACTATACTGTCTGGCGCAAGCCTCTCCCCACTCTTACGCTTCGTGGTGTGTGTAGCAGATGGTTTCGCTTTATCGGGAATACACCCGTGCTATGGTCATGCTTCGGTATCAGATGCGTAGCCCGAAATCGAGACAACCTTGGTCCATCATTCTCGTCGTTTCTCACGCGTTCTCAATTCCACCCCATTGACTTCAAAATCGAACTTCGCCTAGGAACCGCGAAGCAACTAGGTCTTCTCTTGAACATGGAGACCACCAGACGTTGGCGTGTAGCAGTCTTTGCTGGTGTGGCTCACGGATTCAGCGAGTATGTTCTTCGAGAGCTAGTCAATTCAAAACTTGACCTCCCCGAACTGGTGAAACTTGATATTGATACAGGTTCCCAAACGGAGACCATAAAGTTCTTAATTAAGTGCCCTAAACTCCGTATTTTGCATTTACGTGGCTTCTTTTTGCGTCTCCTCTATGACCGACCTTCCATTACACACCTCGTCATGCATGAGCTCTCTTTTGTATCCGTGCTTGATATCCTCGGATATTGCCCAAACGTCCAGGATGTCACAGTGACGCACCTTCGCACGTTCGACTTTATGAGTGCTCATGTAAAACCAGAAATGGCCAGAGTCTGTAATGCCAAAAGCTTGTCTATTGATTTTGGTATCCATTCTCTCGACGGATATGGCGCCACTGGCCTTGATAACTTCCTCAAATCAATTACTATGCCCCGTCTAACTCACCTCGCCATACTTGACACTTTCCTCAACAACGAGAACTTCGTCGAACCTCTTCGTGATATGCTTGAGCGAAGTATGTGCTCAGTCACTCACGTCCGTATTCGCGGGGCGCAGTTCAACAAGGATAGGATGCATCGTTTGTTCGACTCGTGTTTATCATTGGTGACGAATTTGGAGTTCGAGGAAACTGGCGATGCAGCGTATGGATGTTTCTTCGATGGTTTGACTGCCCATCACCAGGAAAAGGATACCGCCAAAAATTCCACTTCTGGTTGTAATGCAGAGGTGGGCGGAAGTGCATCAACTGGGGTCACGCAAACACGAGTAGAAGGGGATTCCGCCCCTAGTACCAATAATGGTGCCGAGGTTGGTGTTAAAGCCGCAGTTGCTCCAACTCAGGAAGACCAGAGTTCACCATCCTTCTTACCAAATCTAACGGATCTCTCCCTGATAATCATACCTCAAACCGAAATGGTACTCAAGCTCATCCGCGCTAGGTGGAAACCTGCCACTGATCTAACAACCGCAGACCGAAGCTCAGAGTTGTCATGTATTGAAGGTTCGTACCGCATTCTTGTCTTTTAAATTACGCGATTCTCAAAGATCGTACAGTAGATGATTCAGATACCGGGGATGAAGTTGTCGATATGGACTGTGGGAAAGATAGTGGAAATGTGGATAAGGAGCAGGAAGCGAGGAGATGGCACAGCATATATATGTCCTTAACTGGCCAAACGCAGAGCGTTGTGCGTGCAGTAGACCCGGGAACTACTAAGGACGGAGGGGATTCTGGGGGAACTGGAAAACTTAGTGTTGCCCATGGGGTGCCCTCAATAGAAACTTCAGCGACCGAAGCGAACGCTGCGGCTACTTCCGATCCCCCTGAACCCAACTCAGATTCGAGTTCGGATTCACTGCGCGGATCCAACATCGTCTCATTGTCGAAATTGTGGATACATTGCATCGATACCAAGCATCCGAGTAATCGAGAGGAAGCAAAAAAGCTAATAAAGAGCTGTGAACAATACAAGGCGAGCGGGATGAATGTGCTTGTCACACATCCAGATCTTTATTCAGACTGATGTGGGTAAGTGCAGTGATATTAAACATTTTGGATTTCTCGATAGTTCACATATGTACTAGGTGTTACACGTACTCAGTTGGCAGCTGTGCCATTTTCATATGCGCAGTTGAACCACACCGCACAGGGAGGGAAAATGCCCGCGGGTTCGTCTCCTGCATCGTTGAGCAATAGTGCGACTACACCATGAGGCGGGACATCGACCGCGGTGAAGTTGCGTACAGCGGTACCGTTGTCAGTATGAGTCCATAGATCCTGTTGGGTTTCGCATAAAGGAGATAAACAAATGACGGGGGAGGACTACGTACGCGAACAGAGTATTGTCTTCCGGCTCTGATCCAGGGAGATTCAGTAAGATTGAAAAACATGTCAGACGTCTCGTTGAGGGTGTTCAACTGTAACATACGAGTAATCAGCATGCATAATAATTCAAATATCACCGTGCAGGAGCAACTTACAAGCATGAAAACAGTTCCATTTTCAGAAGGACCGCTGTAATACTGAGCTGGGGAGGTGGAATTGCTTGTCCAGTCGGGCTGTACGAAGGAGCAGTGAGGCAAGCATACAAGGCGAAAAAGGTAATGATCTGCACATTAATCCCCCACCTGAATGGTGAGATTGATTTGCCGACAACAGAATCTTGGTTGATAGCGAGGATTTCCGTGTTAGTGAGAATTCCAAGTATGTCGGGTGTAATAGCAGATAACTGTTCGGTGAGTTATACAAGCTTTCGTTTATTAGCGAGGAATATGCTTACATTGGTCCCGATCTGAAATGCAAGAAGGAAGCCGGGAAAAAATAAATCAGGTCATTCGAAGCTACCGCAGAGGCACCTACAAGAAGAGGCGATTTCATCAATGCCCACGCTGTGAAATGAGACTTGGCCTCATCAAAAGTAAGTCCTCCATTTCCTCTGTGTCAACCGGACGTGTCAGCTACGATTCTCAAATGTTACGGAAAGAAAAAGCATAGTACAATTGTAACTACGGTATGGCGAAAAAGATAAAGATACAGTTAGCTCATTGATTGAAAACTTTAACAGAAGGAACGTACCATATCCATGTCATTGTGTCCATAAAAGTCCGTGGCTTGGGTGATGAATGAGTTACTACATGTACAAAATGTTATCGCATCGTGACACATTCTTTATCAGACTAACAAGTTGATGATAAGCGCTAGAGAGTCCCACTCCGGTGCAATATCGCCAGTAACCTGAGCGAGCGAACGTAGAGGGGGGAGAAAGACAGTCTCGAATTGACGGTGAACAGACAAGGAAGCTGGTACTCACCCTCCAACTATGGCCTAATGTTGATCCCCAACTGTACAGTCCCGTACAGCGTTAGTGATACTTAGAGGGGTGGAGAAGAAAAACAGGGACAAACAGCCAGACTTGTTCCTAAGCAACGTCAAACTTTCTGAAGCGCAAAAATAGTGAGGCCCACACACCCAACCCCACTGACAAAGCGAAAACAGGAATGGCGGTTGTCCAGAGCTTTGGGAAAGCTGGGCCAAAGCATCGGACATACGTGTGTATTCTGCAAAGCGATAGTTGCAATCAGTCCAGTAACGAAAGATGAAGATGGTGTGTATACGCACTGCCTATCATGCCTTCGCGAATAATGTCGTCGAATGGGACTGGGAAGGGAAAAGACAGGGTAAGCGTGTCAAGCCCTATAGTTGATCCTATCTGGCGTCGTAGTTAGGGCTACTTACTCGCGCAATTGTCGAATCTATCAAACCCATCAGTGGAAGCTCGAGGCTTGCTACGGTGCATTTTTCACTCACTTCAGATAATCGAAGCCCCAATCTTGGAAAGTCGTAGCATCGCGAAGTTCGTTCTGGAAGGAACCTGGATAACCACCGCAGGTGAACCATCCGGAATCGCTGTACTGAAAGCGAACAAGATGAGTAGTGAGTAGCTCAACCAAGTAGTATGGCGTACTATTCCGGTTTTACTGTTCCCCAGTCGTATCGTTAAAGAGCGTTCAAGGCGGTCATAAATAGCCGTAACCACTCACAATCCTAATTCATGTATCTGATCCGTGAGGTTCTTCATCCCGTGTGCGAAGCGGACCGAATCTGATTTTAAGAAGATTCATCACTTTGTCCACTGTCTGAATAGGATAACTCACCGGCTACAATATCTCCACTCGCACTGCGGTTCTTCTCCGCGTAGCAGTCGTCAATGTTGACGTATTCGTACCCGACGGCTTGGAGACCAAGAGAGACCATTAACTGAGCGGATTCGAGGACGAGGTCTTCGTCGATATTACACTGTCGAATTTGACTCGGACTTGGTATGGTGGGGACAATGGAAGGAAACGTACGCCATAAGCATTCCATGCTACGCCAAGCGGACACTTTGAGTAATGATTGTTTTGAAAGCTCGAAGACGTACTGTTGTATCCTAAAGCTGTGGGTGTAGATTAGAAACGAAACTCAGCACAAACGAGCGGTATGATGAACGCACCAGGAAGCTTTCCTACACCATTGTTCAGAGCATCGACGGGAACAGGAGAGAAACTAGTGTAAAGTACAGCAGATAGAAGTCCGAAAAGACTTGCGCTTCCTAGCATTTTGAACGCACGACTGGATGGATATGCTGATCTATTAATCTAGGCTTGAATCCTTTTATACCTGGCGAGATCCTTTATGTAAATCAGGACAGTCAGAATGGCATTACAGCGTCATGACGAGGTACATACACACATATGCATTGAGAACTCGAAGCTTCCTGGGGTCAGGTCGACCGGGGCGGTTCCATAAGGTTGAGTTGAGACCATTGAGTAAGTTGAGGAACCGAAAGATCAGGTGTGTCATTGTATCCCTTCTCGTCTCGGGAGAATCTACAACGATTTAATGAATATTGAAAGAAGTCTTGTGGACTCGTTAGGTTTTGTCCAAAGATTCTCCGAAATATAGTGAGGTTTAGTTGCAGTAGCCTTGTGCTCGCCTGGGCCTGATTTCGAATCTTGCTGTACAATTGCGATATGGATGGCCATATTGAACGACCGCTTCGCAGATGTTAGCGTTGTTCGTCTTTGGCCACCTCAGTGGCAGCATAGCATTGCGGCCTCGAAGAGCACTGAGTCTCATATCTATCTCTGGTGACGAATTACCAAACATCGCGTCGTGATTTCTTGGAGGTGCAGCTGGATGGTGTTGATATTTCAGCCGACAAGATGATATTTCAGCCGACAAGACAGTTGTTCTGATATATATGGCAGCAAGTCAAGATAGGTACAGGTACCGTCTTACTTGTAGAACGTAAATCGCCAGCTCTGTTACAGTAGAAAGATGGTGAGAACACACACATATTAATCTGCGCGACAATAGGCGACAATTAACACGCTCGCCTACATATCATTCTATCTTGTGTACATATATGAAGTACACTTGTTCAGACTTGTTCTCGTTGAAGGAGAAGATTTCGGCCCGGCTTCGGCTCAGCTTCTCCTTTAAAAACCTCACTTTGGCACACTTTAGCTTCCATTTTGCTGACGATGCTGCTTTTACTTGGGGATCGCGATGCATAATTGCGGCTTAATTCTACAAACCATTTCACTCACCCACCGGAAGTGGCCCCGGAAAGTCTGAGATACTGAATATCTATCTATCTGGAGAAATTGTGCATCCAGTCACGAGTGTGGCGTCTCTCAAGAGCCTTCAAGCTTCAAGGGCAAGCCGCAAAATCTTTAATCTTTACCTCTTTACCTCTTGACACTGCAGTTATCGAGTTGAACCTCAAAATTGAACGTGGCCTTTGAGAGAAACGGAACTGCGTTATGAGCGCTTATGATTTCATCCATGCACTTCACCAAGCTCTCAACGACTTTTCAGGATGGCCATGGATGTTGATGACACAGAATGACATGAAATGACACGGGACGATACAGGCTATGGAATCGTTCAAACTGTCCATCCAGGAATCGCTCTACTTATAGCTAAGTCCACGAACGGATCCAGAACAAAGCCTTCCCGAAATCTACTAGGTCGTACCAAGCTCGATTTTTAGGCCTAGGTTCTGTTCTTACAGCCATATACTTACTAGCTTCGGGCTGCTTCACACCAGGAATTGACCTAGTTCCGAAACAGGACAAACAAACTTCAAGCGACATGGATCATCATACATCAAACCTTCCTGCGCCGCGCCGTGCATCGTGGAAGTACCTATGTAGAGTTTCGGATGACCGACAAAGGTTAAAGCAGATTCCAGCTTTTCATCATGACTCATCATGACTAAAGACCTTTTCCCATTACAGCTACAAATTTCAAGCTCAAGATCCTTGGAGGAATGGAACGGGTGGATATGTAGTGCATCAGAAGGAGAGCCGTCGCCAAGGCATCCTATAAATTACTGGAGGGAGCCTTGCCGAACTTACATAGACCAACACAGACTCCGAACCCGTATCACCAAGGGTCAGTTTCCTCGTCTCTTGATCGGGCTCTCGGAATAATCCCAGACAAACTCCTATTATATCCCCCTCGTTCCAGTACTTCCACCAATTCAACAAACCATAGAGACTCCAAAGAACGAACATTTTCTTATTCCTGTGCTACAAACCTCAGGCCTTAGATTTAGACCTCACCTCTATGACATCTTCGGGTTCTTACCTCATCTGGACAGCAAAACCCCTCTTCGAGGGCCCGGGGACATATCGTCAACACGCTGACAGTGATGACAGTAAAGAAAGTGGTGCTCTCCAGCTCCTCGAACCTCAACTGCCGAACTTGACGACCCGGGCTAGTATTCTTGCTGAGGATGCCATGGTCACTCACACGTTATCGTTATCCGGCATACGCCCCGAACCTCTCTGCTCGATCTCGTCGCCCTCATCATTTTCCTCCCCGTTCATTCCAAATTCAGCTCCAACATCAATGAGTCGAGATGCACAGTCCTTGCCCACAGTTGCCCCTGATATAAATATACTGCTCTCGCCAACTTCCCGCCTCCCTGATGAACTCCTTGGAGAGATTTTTCACGAGTACGTCCTGTCGTTCTCGTGGGGAGCTGCTTCGAATTCGCAGATCGACCCATCGAAGAGGCAATTCGCTCCTTTGAGCTTGATGCGGATATGTTCTCGCTGGCGGGACGTGTGTATATCCACGCCAAAGCTTTGGGTGTATCATTACATTCCGATGTTGAAACCTGGGCAACAATTATCAAGATTCACTTCATTGAAGTTGGGTGGGGAGGGAAATATGGATAGGTATGTACCGCTAATGAAAATCATATACAGTATACTCAGATATGTATTCATTCCAGATCTTCCAAATCCAAACCGTCTCGAGATCTCTTGAAATCCTACATCAACTTAACGCAATACACCAAACTCGCATTAACTAACTCAAAATCCTGCCCTCTCCATGTCCACATCGTCATGTCCCCTGCTATTTACCCCGTTCCAGCGGCGGTAGATCTTTTGTTTAGTACCTCACAACGTTGGAAGAGTGCGTACATCGCTTGCACTATCGAGGCGACGTCCCCTGTGACTCTGTTCCCAAACAACTTGGGTGGAGGAAATAATTCAAAAATCAATTATGCGGATTTGGAAGAACTGACGTTGGAGTATGATGTGAGCGGGTTGAATGAGGAACAGTTCAATCATGGTCTTGGTTTCGTTGGGAACGGACATGGGTTGAGGATTCCGTCCTTTGTGCGCGCTCCGAAGTTACATGCACTGAGGCTGGTGAAAATGAAGTGGTGGCCAGTGCTGGATTCGGAGTTGGATATTAGCATACAGGATGACGACGCTATCGGTGAGACGGATGATGGAGATGATGGAGAGGGATTTGAAAGGAACGATGGGGAAGGAAGGCATGAGATGGAAGAGGGAGTTGTTCCTCATTATCTTCCTTATTCGCAAATTCGAAGTCTAACGGGAAGCGCATCCCTGCCGACGTTGTACACCCTCCTCAAGTTGTGCACTAATCTCGAAAGGGTGGAGGTCGAGCAAGAGCGATTTCCAGGCCTCACCCTTCCTCCGCCAGATGTGTCTGATTCCGATCCAAATGGAGGTGGTGGTCGTGGAGACATTGGTGAAGGAGGAAGGGGACTAGCATCGGGAGTCGCTTCACCTCATACCTCAACTCAACAAGTTTATAGCCCCATTTACGATTGGAATAGCACTTTCCACACTGGTCACGCCCCGAACACCAAAATCAACACTCCGTGCCTCCATACGCTCCACCTCACATTGCCCACCGATCAACCCTCGTTGACAAATTGGATTCGGCGTGCGCCGTCGTTGAGAAGCCTTTCATTGACGGGGGGTAAACTCACTTCGAAAATCATTCATGCACAGGTTGTGCGTGATTTAATTGCGTTTGTGCGTCGGCACAGAGAATCAGGCTTCTTCGACTCTGGATTTGGTAGATTCGACGACGGCTTTGGTGGACCGAGAAGGTGCGACTTTGATAATTTTACGCCAAGTGCCCATGCTGAAAGCTGTACCAGTGGGTTAGAAAGCTTCGCTCTCTCAACAGTTGAAATCAGCCCTGACCAGCTCGTTGAGCTGTTCACACTTATGCATGGGTTGAAAAAGTTGAACCTAGTACACAGTCGTGGGCTGCGAGGTCATATTTGGAGGTGTTGAGAGGTGGAAGTGGAGAGGTGCTTAGATGGTTGAGGGTGTCGAGCTCATTGAGTCCATTGAGGGTTCATCGACGTCTTCAAACAATATCTCACTCTGTATCCCATCGCTCCGCGAAGGATATGTTTATTGAACGTGGCCCAGATGGTGTCTGCCAAATTGCAGATCCGAAGAACATTCCCAGTGAGACATTAAAAAAACGGAAGAAGAAAAGATCAAAGGAGCTGCGTGTCAGGCTGTTAGTCGAGGACAAATCTTACTCCCTTGTCTAACCAATTTCTTGCTGTATTCCCCTAGATCTTCCATACAAGTAGAATGTGAAGAGTCGCTGAACGTATTGGAGTTTTGCAGGCTTCGAGGTGTGGAGGATTGTTCAACCTACGAGTTGGGATTTCAACATCTCGAACAATAAAATGGGGCTCAGTAAGCTTTATTCTACCATACACACGGACGATAAGATAGATCGACTTGTAAAGAGTAATACATACTACTATGAATACAGTTGCCTATCCATGATAATGAAGTATCAAGTACATTATGGTGCTGAAGATTCTTGCAGTTGTCAAAATCAATGATTTGCTTACAACTGTAACTATCCATGCTCACCTTGACAAGCATCCCACAATGTAGAATTGAACTTTCCAAAGCTGTCAAACTTTCTTTTGACTTCATCTTCCACAACAGTTCCTACAAAGGGCCGATACGGATTTCCTTTGGAATTCCTGTTTTCGGACCTCCAATCAACCCTCGACACTGAAGGTGCCAGCTTCAAATATGGTGAATTCGGCCATTGAGTTTCGTAAATAGGATTTAACATTGCAGAAAATATCTGGCACCAGTTCTCGTCATAGATCTGGTATTGAAGATCCTGAGGCAGTGGACGACGGGGAACTGGATATTTCCCTAGGAGGTATTCTATGACTTTTTGAAGTGCAAGGAATTGGTTCGCCTGTGAAGGAAGATTCGCAATAGCGGAAAGCACCTGTGATTCATCATCGCTCCGAAATTTGACATACCCCAATAGGGTGCCAGATGACATTTGTTCATCTATGTCGGTCGTCTGGATGTTCCAAGCACCATTGTGGGCTTGCGCGCGGAAAAGATGCTTGGTACCCCAAACTAGTACCCACCTTTCATAATAGTCCAGAAGCAATACACATCCAGGACGTTTGGTGGGCACATTACGCAGCAGTTTGTCCCCCATATTATATCTTCTGAGGTTGAGGGGGCGTGTTCGGATTGCTAGGAAAAGGGGCAAGTAGATGCGTGAAAAAAGCTAATACACAACAGAAAGCTTACGATTATCATGCAGTTGCAGTTGAGGGGTGGTAGCATGCGATGCAAGTGGCATAGCCAAGACCCCAAGGATGATCGGGAAGATGAGAACGGATACGGAAAGTGAGCGGAGCAAAGATGGCGGTAGCAACAGCATCGCAACACTGGGTATAAAACAATGGAGCTATCAGTCACATTAGAGCGTCCAGAGAAGGGCCGTCATACGCACGAGTGGAAGAAATGATGGTGAACTGATACGGAGTATGTGAGATGTAGCTTGCAGTTTCTGACGTTAAGGTTGAGCGTGAGCGGGGTTTGATACGTGGGATAAAAGGACGTACTTGATATGAGTGAAGAATGCAATGAACGACGAGCAAAAACGAAAACCGGTAACGATAATGTGTCGGGCCTGGGTGAGATAGAATTCGACCAGCGAATTCTTATCTGCTAAGGTTGCGTATCGTCGAGCAGAATATACAGGGACAGTGAGCAGGTACTTGAGTAATAAATGAACGGGTCGAATTGATCTCTTTAAATTTTCAGTATGTGGTCCATTTCCTCTAACGTTTTGATCGGATCATCATCCGCATGTACATATGCGCAGAATTCGATGCGCTGTTTTAAGAATTTTGACTGGTTTCTTAAGGAGCATCTGCAAAACCTGGATGTTCGCGAGAGCAAGGGTACTAGCTGGAGAGCGCTGTCCAGCGCTGAAAGCACTCCCAGCAGTTTTTCAGTACTGCTGGGAGCGCTTTCCCAGCTGAACAGTGCTGTCCGAGTCAGCTGCTTTCGAGCTCTTAGCCGAAAATACAGGTTTTACAGATGAGTTCCTGAGATAAAGGAGAGCCCAATTGCAAACCGGTAGAATTTCTTGAAAACTACAATTTTTTGAGCCAAACTGAGACCTTGCAGGAGCAACCGTTTGAGGGACGTTGAATCTCTTGACTCTTGTGGCATACACTTGCTTCCAGTAAGCGTGAGATTATTTCCGCGCGCGCCTATAATAGAAAGGCTCCTAATTCTCCTTTCCAGCTTTCCTCACTCATGAACGACACTAACCTTATCTTGCTTTCCATCGACCCAGATGCTGCGATAACCACCGTGTCGTTCCCCATGTCAGTCAGCAAAGACTCGTTTCCCTCACAAGCTCAAAGTGACCTTAAAATCATGCTGGGTACCGAAGCCGGTGGGTGGATCTGTCTTCTTTGTGAGTTTGATGGCTGTTTTTACCTCAGGGTCAGATGTGCTTGATCCTTCGGTTGTGGTTGATCCTTCGGTTGTGCTCAATCCTTCATGCATGTGCTCAATATCCCTTAGGTACTCAACGACCCTATCGCGGTAGACGACGAACCCGCTATGGCTGCACAATTAGGACACTTCAGTTACGAATGGACGAGGTGGAACAAAGGGAGATTGCGAGAGGCATTGAAGACTAATCCAAACCCCCAAGTCATTCAAGTTGTTGCGATCATGGCCCGAGAATTTAGAATGCTCCGTACGCGAAGGAATCATTGCTGCTTTACTCGTTTTCACTTGCTGATTTTTTTTTGCCTCAGCTCCACGAGAATTCCTTCCAGAGCTTCCTGGTGGTAAATTCTTTCACAAGCGACCGTCTCAAGCGCCTTCAAACGGAGCTTGCCCCAAGAAATTCTCTGAAAGTCAAGCAGATCCGGAGACAAGGATTCATATAGACCGTCCTCGGGAGCCTGATAATACCTCGGTTCCAGTTGCTCTTCTCGTGCCGTCCTTTGGAACCTTCCAGACCAACGTCAGGAACATCGCACCCTCCGACCGCGCCATGCGTTCTGCAACCAAGATGGCGAATGAACTCTGTGTAATCTTTCGTGACGAGCAAGAACGGGCGCAGAAATTCTGTTCAATCTTAAGTGAATTTCTTGGTGAAGATGTTGTCTCAAATGCTACGATTGGCGATTTCAAGACCGACGGTGGGGTTACGGTTGACAAGGACGGTCCCGCACGACTTCTCGTCAGCGTCAAATCAGATCAAACTGGCACCAGTGATCCGTGCTTTCAAGTTTCGTTGTCCTATCTCGAGAATACGCGCCGAGTTCGCCAGGATGTTGTCGATGATAAGAACGCAAAAGCGGCGGCGGCGGCGGCTTGGGTCAGGGCAAGGCTACCATCGATTTTGATATCGCATCCTGGTGAGTACATCGTTCAGGTTGTACCCTTCAATGAGATTAGTTGTTTGTTCTTAGGCCCCAATATCCAAATTCTTGGCGGTGTTATGACTGATCGACCGCAGATCGAAGTTCTTACACCATCTGTGCCTATGTATTTCCATGTTTCGAATCAAGACCTGTTTCTTGACCTTGCGCGCACCCTGACAGCCCTCAACATCCTTTTCGGTGACCTCGGCAAGCTGTACGATAACCCTCTCTCTCTCAACCCACTTCTTCCAGTTCAACATGTGTACCCTTACCCCCGTGGGTTCAAACGTGGTACTGAGGTCGTTACTATCACTTATTTGAAGCGCGTCGACCCCATTCGGCTGGTCTTTGAGGTTGAAACTGAGGAGAAGGACATTCTATATGTAAAATACACGCAACGGTATGGTGTTGAAGCCCATCGGAGGGCGCACGAATTGGGGATTGCCCCGGAGCTGCTGGCGTATGACGACATGCTTCCTGGGGGTTTGAAGATGATAGTAATGAACCCAATTCCCCCCGGCTACGTGGAAACCGATAGTATCAAACAGGGGAGTGAGGAACAAGGCAAGGTTCGAGCTCTAGTCATCGCTCAAATGAAACGTTACCTCGACGAAGGATTCGTTCACGGTGACCTCCGCGCTGCTAATATTTTTGTTGATGGTGAACGGCAGAATATCATGGTCATTGACTATGACTGGGCCGGGCGCACCAAGGAGGTGATGTATCCTCCAGATGTGCGATCATCTATCGAGGTTTGGCGGCCACATGCGGAATTAAGCCTTCGTGCTATTGAGACAGAACATGATTGGCAGATGCTGGAGCATCTCTACTACTAGCATAAGCACTCTTAATTACACAGACGATGTTCTATTTCGTTTTTGTTCTGTTCCGTTGTTGCGTAACCAAATGTAATGGATCCCTCCTTCTCTCCCGTTCATACGCATACTTGGTCCGATTTTTGGAATTCCAGAGGAAGATGAAGAGGGACCTATAATGAGATGAGGGCAAGGGGTGTTAGAGAATGGGACAGGAAAGGAAGGAGTGAGGGGAAAGGAAGAGGCGATGGAGAACCCAAGGAATGAGAAATGGAGAAAGAAGAAAAGAGGAGAGAGAAGAGGGAATGGCTGAGAGAAAGCGAACAAGATGAACAATAAACGAGGAAAGAAAAAAGGAAGGTAGGTAAATCAACGAAGAATACAATGTAACATAGATGAAGAGGAAGCAAAACGAATCGAAGGAAAGGGAAATGATGTGAATTGAAAACAAGAAAAGAGCATTCCACTCACCAAAACACACTGAAGAACAAGTGTAAAGAAAAAGCTCAACACCTCTCATCGTCTCTGCCTTTCTTTCCTCACCTTCTCCCTTCCGAATTTGTTGACGACCGGTTACCCCTGCTGAAACTGGGACTGTGATTTCACCAACTGTACGGAGGTAGAAGACCGCAACATTGTGTCTGTTCGACGCCATTAGCGGCAGCTGGACGTTGGCGGAGTCGGTTTCCTTGGTTAACCTGGAGTAGTAATAGGACGGTGAGGGTAGGTGTGGTGGTGGTGGACGTGAGGCGTGATAGAGTCCGCACCGTTTCACTCCATCTCGCTTCGTTTCGGTAGTGGGTCTTGGTAATGAGTTTCCAAGGGAGCGGTACTTGAGGAGAAGGAGGTGAAAGAGGAGGTGAAGGAGGTGATGGTGGAGGTGCTGATGGTGCACGTCCGCTTCCGCTTCTACATCCACTCCTACTTCTACTTCTACTTCCCCTTCCGCTGCTTCTGCCACTGCTACCGTGTCAAATGAAAGGAGTGAAAGGAGCAAGAGAAAGAGAGGATATCGAGAGGCGACAAGAGAGGTGGGTGAGAGAAAGAGAGTGAGAAGAGGATATATCAAGATGGCGTTGACAAGTGGCAGGACGATGAATCGATAGCGGTTGTACTTCCACTTCCACTCCTACTGCTTCTGCCGCCGCTTGGCGGTTACGGAGGTGGAGGCGGTGACTATATATAAAAGGGTTCCTTTTCTTGTGGTTGTCCCTATCGCCTATCGCTTATCTCTGAGGAGGGGTTATGTCATGGTAGGGGTACCTATATGGGACTGAGGGATTCGGTAGTTGATGGAGGAAAGAGGGAATGTAAGAACGAGGAGGGAAGAGGGAAGAGGGATGGAGGACGGAGGACGGAGAACGGAGAGCGAAAGGCGGAGGAAGAAGGATTGAGGGAGAACAAGGGAGGGAGAACGCACTGGCGCTTAGGTTGGGAAACACGAAGCATGCTGAAAGCAGCGAAGTACCCGGGAAGAGAGGGGAAGGACAAAGCGTGAAGCACAAGCGAACCATCCATTCACCAACTAATACACGCAAACCCACTTCCATTAACGAATCCTCAATCCGAATCCCAATAACGAACAGGCAGAGATTGAGACAGCAACGAGTGATACGAGGCCAAAAACGAAACTACACTTTCCATCTCCCTCTCCCTCTCGAAACAGACTTTGTCCTCGTCCTCGTCGACATCGCACTCCCAGTACACAATACATCCCTACCCTTGCCTGTGTCTGCACCTGCAACTGCGGCTGAGCTCGTGTCTGTGTCTGCGAGTGCGCAGACTGCACCGAAACGGAGACGATGTTCCTCAAAAGAGAGGGGGGTAGACGACCTCTACTCTGAGTCCGACCTCAGCCCTCAAAGCTTCACCTTGACTTTGACCTTTGCCCTCGTTGTCGTGGTTCGACTCTTCACGGAGGTTGTAGCATTTTAACAGAGCCGGAGAGCGAGACGGAGATGGGGACTCGTTGGTCGTTCCGGAGTCTGCTCCTCGTTGTGGTGGTGTTAGTGGTCATTGTCATTGTGGTGGTGGTTGTGTTCGTCGTGGTGGTGGTGGTCATCTGGTAACATCGTGTACATCTTCCTCATCTTCTTCTTCGTCGTCGTTAAATCGTCCTTTTCCTTTTCCTTTTCCTTTTCCTTTTCCTTTTCCTTTTCCTTTTCCTTTTCCTTTTCCTTTTCCTTTTCCTTTTCCTTTCCCAACACTCCCATCCCCAATTCCATTTCCATTCAAACCATTCAAACCAAATCCTCCATTCTGGTTAACCACCGGCGTCTCAATATACACCTCGCCGTCTTCTAGGGTGTGTGGTGTCTGGGCTGGTGGTTGGGAAAAAGGTGAGTAGGCGTGTGGTGCATTCGGCGGGGAGAAAGAGTGTGGTGAGTGTGGTTCATAAGAGTGGCCATCGTAGATAACTTAGGGGTTAATGGGTCAGGGGGGTTTGTGTTAAGGAGAAGATGGCCTTCAAATTTGGTCAGAATAGGAATGCCATTGAGTGTCATGCTTGTAGCTCGTGGGTAATGCGAGATTGACAGAGGGAATGTTTTCAGCTGACCCGGATAGCTGTAAATAGTACATAGCTTTTTGCATGATCTTTATACCTTTTCCCACCATTGCAATATTATACCCCTTCCTCTTTGTTGAAATACCACTTCACCTATATACTTTTGTCTGTTCTATACTATCTGAATTGACTGGGAATTCATAAGGCTTTGTAGAATCTTTGTAGGTAACATGTAGGGCACCACGTTGCAGTTACCCAATGATCATTTGCATCTGTCAATCAAACTTTAAACATCAATGTCTATAAAAGAGGTTACTGCTTTGTGAAGCCCATCATTCCCCCTTGCTTTCTACTATCATCGTTCACTGCAGGACCAAAGTAACAGTTAGTACGTGTGACTTGTCCTGTAAAATTATTTGGGCTGATTTATTTCATTTGTGATCAAGGTCTACCAAAGTAATCATTCAATGGATACTGCGTATAGTTGTTTCAATCACCTCTTATTGCAACAGCTAATATTTCAAATAACATTAGCACCATGTTTACTGGTGCACATCATTTTATCATCAATGGTGGCAATTTTACAGCCATTTGTAAGTTGTACAAAGATAAAAAAATCACTCAAACTCTGAAAATATTATCTACAGCAAGTGATGAGGCCACTAAGGTTGACCAGTGGCTTAAAGCTCCAGATTGCTCTAGCAATTATGTGACTGCAGAAGACAAAAAATTACAAGGCACTGGCAAATGGATATTTGACCTTGATGAATACAAGAAATGGAAATCTGAGCCTGGTGTATTGTGGATTCAAGGACCAGGTGTGACAATCTTGAACAGATGAAGGTTTATCCTTACTGATTATGTGTTGTAGCTGGATCAGGAAAAACTATTTTGACGTGAGTGATGAAAATTATGAACACAGATGATTATTCATCCGAGAGATACCTATGATAGAACCACAATCCTCCAAGATATTAAAGAAGTTCACAAAAATGCTGTTTGGTATCATTATTTTGATACTCGGGACAATACTGGTCTAAAAACTACATACCGTGGATTCCTGCTGTCTCTTATCAAGCAAATGGGGCTGGGGAATGAACAAATCAATCCTGCACTCTATGCTCTCTATAAGACAAACAAATTTAATGGAATCACAATTGAAGAACTTCAGAAACTGCTGAAAACCGTGATTGAAGAGAGAAATGCAGGATACATCGTTGTTGATGCAATGGATGAATGCAAAGAAGCAGACAAAGTATCAAAGTGGTTGTCCTCACACTCAAGTCAACTGTGGATGCTTGTGACAAGCAGATTACCAGCAGTTGGATTTGAAAACGGGATTATAAACATTGCACTTGGAGAGAAAGGGTCAAGAATGAATGCAGATATAGAACTGTATCTGAAATCAACAATTGACACTATACCAAGATTCAGAGACACAACCAGGGATTATATAAAGGAATCATTGAAAAACGGTGCTCATGGGGTGTAAGTAGTGGTGTTATTTTCATAATTTAGCATAATCTGAAATGATGTTTAGATTCCGTTGGGTTGAGTGCCAACTTAGAGCAGTGCAACAATGTACTTCCCATACAAGTGTGAAGAAGGCCCTGGGTAAACTCCCCAAAGACTTGGAGGAAACATATGAACAAGCTTTGAAAAGGTGTAAAGACCAGGGAAATGCAGAAGAAGCACAACATTTGCTTTTGTGGTTGCTCTATGCATATGAGCCATTGACAAAAAGGCAATTTGGTGAAATATTGGCAGTTGACCTAGGAGAGCAGGTTGTTAATCCTTACATGGAATTCAAAGAGGGACTGGTTATTGACACCACAATTGTGACTGTGGGACAGGACAAAATTGTCCAACTTGCCCATGCTTCAGTCAAGGAGTATCTCATTTCCTATTCTCTTCAAAAAGAGACCCAAGATCTATTTCAATTGAATGAAAAACTGGCTCATGATATTATGACACAAACAACCATCATCTACTTGATGCAGAAAGAAAATATTGACAGTGGCTATTATAGGTCTTTTGCTCATTACAGTGTGGAGAAATGGCTGTCTCATGCATCAAAGGTGGAAGAGTACAAGTTAAAAGGCAAAGCCCAAAACTTGATTCACAGAATGTTGGAAAATAATAACCAGTATTTTGCGAGATGGGAAACAATATACAGGAGACAGAGATATTTCAGTCCAAAAACACCATTATACTATGGAGCACTGAATGGCTTATGTGAGGTAGTCCCAAAGCTTATCAGTGAGCTAAACCTGGTAACTGCCAAAGAGAATATAGACACAAGTGGTGGTGAATATGGAAATGCACTCTGGGCTGCCTCATCTGAGGGGCATGAAGCAGCTGTCAAATTACTACTGGAGACTGGTGCAGATGCCAATGCACATAAGGGGTATTATAGAGATGCACTCCGGATTGCCTCATCTCAGGGGAATGAAGTAATTATCAAGTTGCTGCTGGAGAATGGTGCAGATGTCAATGCATATGGGGAGCACTATGGAAATGCACTCCAGTTTGCTGCATACAAGGGGAATGAAGCAATTGTCAAGTTGCTGCTGGAGAATGGTGCAGATGTCAATGTACAAGGGGGACAATACAGAAATGCACTCCTGGCTGCTACAAATAGGGGGAATGAAGCCATTGTTAAGTTGCTACTGGAGAATGGTGCAGATGTCAATGTACAAGGGGGACAATACATTGCCAAGTTGCTACTTTATGGTCCAGAGGTCAATCTACAAGGGGGACAATACAGATATGCACTCCTGGCTGCTGCAAATAGGGGGAATGAAGCCATTGTCAAGTTGCTGCTGGAGAATGGTGCAGATGTCAATGCACAAGGAGGGGAATATAGTAATGCACTCCAGGCTGCTGCTCATGCAAGAGATGAAGCCATTGTCAAGTTGCTGCTGGAGAATGGTGCAGATGTCAATGCACAAGGAGGGGAATATGGTAATGCACTCCAGGCTGCTGCTCATGCAAGAGATGAAGCAATTGTCAAGTTACTGCTGGAAAAGGGGGCAGATGTCAATGCCCAAGGAGGGGAATATGGTAATGCACTCCAGGCTGCTGCTCATGCAAGAGATGAAGCAATTGTCAAGTTACTGCTGGAAAAGGGGGCAGATGTCAATGCACAAGGAGGGGAATATGGTAATGCACTCCAGGCTGCTGCATACCAGGAGAATGAAGTAATTGTCAAGTTACTGCTGGAGAAGGGGGCAGATGTCAATGCCCAAGGAGGCAAATATGGTAATGCACTCCAGGCTGCTGCTCATGCAGGAGATGAAGCAATTGTCAAGTTACTGCTGGAGATGGGTGCAGATGTCAATACACAAGGAGGGAAATAAGGTAATGCACTCTGGTCTGCTAAATATGAAGGGAATGAAGCAATGGCCAACTTATTGCTGAAGAAGGGTGCCATGCCTTGCCCACAATCAGACTGGACCTCACTCCAAATTCCTCCATCTCCTTCTTTCCGCTGGTCTACCACATATTTCCATGGTAACTCACAACATTTTCTCCTCCTGAACCTATCCAGAACTCCTTCAAGACCTCAACACCACATTAGACCTCCCAGGAACATCCAAGAGCCTGCAGACAAGCTGCAGACCTCCATCAAAACACCTAAGTACTACAGCCACTAGCACAAATTGAGATCCTATGCTGTATTTTCTCATTGTGAAGTTCCCGATGTCCCCTTGTTCACTTCCCAAACTTATTTAAGTATTCTTTCAACATTCCAAGCCCTAACTTGATATATTCTGATCACACACCCTTGACATAGGTTTAGTTCCTGTCCCTTTGTACCTGCTAATCAGACACATTTCCTTTACTCTCTGTTTCTCTACTCACAGTCTCTTTACCTTTGTTCCTTGTCTCTACCAATTGTCCCTATGATCAAATACATGTTTTTACCTCATGCTTAAGCATCCTGAGTCAGTACCCAACCTCCCTCAGCCAATTCTAAAGCTCCCCAAATGTCTATTGTTCTGGTGAGCCAACCTTTCCAACACCTACCTTGAGCTCCCTACTTGTTTCCCAAGTACTGGGACCTTATCTACAAGCAATGTTGAAGCTCTCCATGTAGTCTACCCTCATATTGCTACTAACCTCCACCACTTGAGGACATCAACCTCAACTCCCTCTCATTTCGGGCTCCCCACTCCTCTAGCTTCCATCCCTTGACAGCTCAAACTACCCATATTGACAACCTGTTAAGATCATGTACACCATGAAGCTGTGCCAGAGGCCACAATGTGTCTAAGGGCGGAAGGTCAAATGGGACAGTAGTGAAGTTATTAACAACACCGCCGTTACACCGCTAGTCCCCAGAGATTGAGAGTAGAGAAGTAGAGAGCTGGGAGCAGCAAAGTCGGAGTGGCAGTAACACCAACAACGAGGAGCAAACCAGAGAACCTTAAGTCCTGAGGTTGGAGTAAGGAGAGCTTCAAGGCAACGAGCCTGAAGACTTAGAGGAGAAGAGAAGGAGACCTAGGGTGATCCTAAGTTCATGAGGATAATCTAAGCTGATAATTAAACTGAGGAACTATGGTATAGTACAGGAGTATTTATACCTATGGATCAGTGCATTGGAGTGGAGCACCAGACAAACTACTAGCTACTAGGAGCTATACGTGTAGTACCTGCAGAGTAGAGAATAAGACAGTAAGGGAGAGAATAAAACAATAAGGAAGAGACTAGGTAGAACGGGAATGTGTAGCAAGAAAGAACAATAAGGATGAGATTACAACAAACAGTAGATCTCGGAGTACCAAGCAGCAGAGCAGGGCACCAAGGCATGGACTTGACACAACCCAGGTTACTATCATTCACAAACCTCATCCATCCTAATGCATTCACCATCCTAGGGACCTCCTCAAGGGTCTTATTCAACATTCTTGTACTTCTATTAGGTCATTCCAGTCCTCGGTTGTGGTCCCTGTAGCTCCCTCTGAGCTTCAGCTTGCTCCTAGCATGCTACATCATAAACTACTCATGCTGGCCATTGTCAAGTCCATGCCTTGGCGCCCCATTCCGCCGCTCGGTATTCCGAGATCCACCTTTATTGTAATCTCTTTCTTATTGTTCTTTCTCGCTACACATACCCTTTCATTCTAGCCTCTCCTTATTGTCTTTTACTTTACCCTGCAGGTACTACCCGTATAGCTCCTAGTAGTTAGTCTAGCGCTCCGCACTGATGCGCCAATCCATAGATATAAATACTGCCTGTATGCTACTGTAGTTCCTCAGTTTAATTATCAACTTAGATTCCCTCTTTGATCTAGTCCTCTCTTAAGTCTTCAGGCTCCTCGCCTTGAAGTACTCTCTACTACAACCTTAGGACTTATAGTTCTTTGGTTCACTCCTCATCGTTGGCAAGACTGCCGCTCTGACTTGGCTGCTACTGGCTCCTTCCTTCTATACTCTCGATCTCTGGGGACTAACAGCATAACAGCGGTGTTGTTAATAACTTCACCACTGTTCCACTCGACCTTCCACCCTTAGACACCTTGTGGCCTTTGGCACGGTTACACGGTGTACATGATCTTAACAGTATAATTAAACTCAATCCGTTAACGTCGTACTGACATATGATTTTTTATGCTTCTGAGAACTCGAGCTCAATCTAGAGCTAACTCCGAAGAAAATACTTTCTTCACCACAGCTCAATCATTTGCCCCTTTCTCCGAATCTATTTCTGCCATCGGTCAACCACGTCGCTGTAATCACGGTTTTGGTCCAGCCACAATTCCTACTATGTCGACTCTTGCTGAAACTATGGAAGAAGATCAACAATTCGAGTACAGTACTTTGTATACCGGTGATGGACAGCCTGTCCAAGTCTTAACCCCTTGCCATGGACAACCCCCCGTGGTCGCTCCGGCTCGGGGCCAGTCTATTACTCGAATTGAATCTCCAATCCTCCAAGCTATAGCTCATCGTACTGGGAAACAACCTCAACGTCGTGCTACTTCAGAATCTCCTCGCGACCTGCCTCCTCACTTTGATCTGGACGCTGGTGATCACGACGATCAAGACCCTCTTGTCGAACCCAACGATCCAGGTGCCAACAACGACAATCCTGACAACGACAATCTGAATGACGGCTCCGGCGGTTTACCATGTGGTGAGCCTGGTAACCCCAGTGGTCCTGGTGGACCTCGTGGACCCCGTTCCCCAATCTCTCCTGACATCCCCAACGAGCAACGTGCTATGTTGGAGCTTCTCTTGGGTTTCAAGGGTTCCATTCTCGCCGCTCTCGGCCGACTCTCTGACAGCTCTGAATCTAAGAGCAAAGTCAAGGAGCCAGAGGTATTTGATGGTTCAGACCCCCAAAAACTCAAGACGTTGTTGGTCAATCTTGCCCTGGTCTTCAATGACCGTCCAAATAGGGTACCGTAACTAATTCTCAAACTATTACTTACATTTGTTTCTAACATCAAAGTTCTGAATCCATTAGTTACACGCGTAAGTAACAGTAACTAATTAGTGTAAGAAACAGTGTAACTAATACGGTGTTACTATTTGTAACTTGAAGAATTCGAGTAACTAAGTGTAACTTATATTCCAAGGCTTTCCCAGTTGACTGGCACATCCCTTCGATTCACCTCTTCACTGACCAGTAGTTGAGAAGAACCAGAGGCCATGGCTGACTCTGGGGTATCACAGAGAGTCTGCAACTCATCTGATATCATTGCCAGCAAAGCAGGAGATGCGAGGTTGATCTCATTTTCATCAACAACAATGCACGAAGCAGACGAAATGACTCGCTTTTTACGGCCTCGCTTCTTGGGCATCTGAGCCTCCTTCTCTCCCTCGGACTGCTCTTCTTCATCCTCTTCATTATCCTCGCTCTCGTCGGAACTGTCACCAAGATTACGTGTGGGATGAGGCTCGAACTGAAGCTTCTTCAAGTAAGTCTTGTCGAGGTTGGAAAACTTAACTACAGGATGTTTGCGAGGAGCGGGCACCACTTTTGATGCCTATAGAACAGTGAGAACATGCATAGAAATAGATACAAATCGAAGCTTACCTCGTCATGGCGACGATACCATTGACCAACCATTACCATACTTTCAACTGTCTGAGAAGTTTGACGTCCTCGATATGGGCTATTGAACCAAGTAATCATTGAGTTCGTTCGCTCGTCAGCCATAGAATTGATTGTAATGGAAAATATCTTGACCGCGAGATACTGAGGATGATGATAAGTGTAATGCGTGATAACAGGCAATGTTGACTATGACTTACTCCAATAACGCGTGCAAACTTGATCTGTGCTAAACCTCGCCAGTATATCAGAGGATCCTTGTTGCGAGAGGATTTTTCATCACTGAATGGAAACTCTTTCCGCCAAAATGCTTCAAATTCCCGCTCGAAAGTAGAAACCACCTCCTTCCCATCCATATCCCATGGAAAGACATCAAGAATGAAAGGAGCATTGGATCCTGAGCGTTTCTTCAATGCTCTTTGCAGTTCGGGTTTCAGTAGACAAAGTAGGAAGTGACAAACACGGCAGAATGCAGAAACATTTCGTATCTGTGGGCGAGGAAGTGCTGTTGCTGTGTCGGAGATAGAGAGTACCTCACTACGGCGAGGAATGATACGGATTTTTGCAGCATCTACGAAGAATTCGGCTTCATCGTAGCCTGGAGACTAATTGAGACCAAGGACTGTTTTAAGGTTTGAAATACACTCACGGTTATCGAGGATGAATGCGGTAAAGTACAGATCATTGGAGAAAAACTCAGCAAAGCGTGCATTAAAGATGCCGTTGACTTGCTCCTTTAAATGCCTTGGTATTCCTGTAATATTAGAACTTTTCTTGAATAGATCCGTCACTGCGGCGGCGCTCAAAAGCCAGAAAACATAGACATCAGAGGCATTGGCCTTTGGTGCTTCGAGAGACCACAAAGAACGAATGAATGGCGCAACAATTGCCTCATAATGACCAAGGGTAAGCTTGAACATGGTGAGCTTCCCATTGAGCTCGTGCTTGAACATCGCCTGTACTGACTTTGACTAACTGAGATCAGGATTTATGATATGAATGACTGGAGAATGATACTCACTTTGAATTCAATGTCTTTAGCCTGTACACACTTTGCAATAGCATCAAGCTTTGGGCTCACAGACGTTGCCATGGTCCAGTTTGACCCAAAGCGAGTATTTCCAGATTTCTGGATAGCTCGATAATCATCGCCATCAAGTGAAGCTTGCTCTTTCAGACTTGCAACAGAGAGATTTGATTTACTGAAATGGGCGACCGTACTCTTGAGAAGCTTCATTGTCTATCAGATGTTCTATCAGTAAAATGAAGTTAAAATGAAAATTGTTGTGCTCACAG